GTACCATGCCGCCCTGGAGGAATCCACCAGGCGCTACTTGCAAGGCGAAAAGCGTAGTTTCTCCAAAGCCGAAGCCAACCTGTCGAGTTCCAAGTGTCGATGAAAACGAGCAAGCCTTTGAGGAAAACCAGTGGTACCGTGCGCAGGATCAAAAGAAACCTGATAGCAGCTCGGAGACAGAGCCTCCCACCTCTCCCACTGAGAAGAAAAAAAAGCAGCCCAGCCGGGGACGCATAGCAAGGCCCAAGAAGAAGCTTCCCCAACCTCGTAGACCGGTGAAGATCGAACCACCTGAAGAGCCTGATTTTTTTGGACTAGAAGAGGCGAAGGAAACAAAATCTAACAGTACTACTAGCCCTGCCGATGCATCAGAAGATCCATATCAGGACTTGACACTGGGCAAGGAGTTGCTCATGGCTTTCAAAAGAGTAGACAAGGAAGAGAAGAAGAAAAAAGGATCCAAGAAGCCCTCTGGCTCCACAAGCAGCAGTTCTCGAGAGAAAAGCAGAACAAGATCGAGGAAGAGAAAGGACAAGGGCAGAAGGAAAGACAAGTCATCTCAAAGGCGTAGCAAAAGAAGAAGAGGCCATGAGAGAAGAAGGACAAGATCCACTTCGAGCTCGAGCGACTGGACAACTTCTGCAGGACGCAAGCGTCGTCGCAGAAGGTAGTTTCACTACCACAGGGTTTCAACGTGCAGTACGAGCATGAGCGAGAAAAAAGTTGGAGCTATCACTTGACATGAATGTTCACATAGATGTCATTAAAACAGGAATAAGTTTTCTTTCCATGACAGTTGCAAGACATGGCAATATGAAACAAACAGAGATACGCTTTGAATCACCATGTCAGAAGTGTCAAGCTGAGAGGTAGAAACTGTGAGAGAGACTGAGAGAGACGGCTTTCAAGTTTAAAGATGTTTAAAGAATGTTTTGAAACGTAAGTGACATTGGATCGCATTTCATTTATTCTTCTCGACATAAGCCGAAGGAGTAATGATCAAATAAGTCTCTGTTTAAAAGGTAATGTTGCAAAATTGATGCTCTGAAAACATCAGCTACCATTTCACCTGTGTCGACACTTCACCAAAAACAACGACATGTAAAAACAACAGACAATAAACTCTCATGGTAAACTCTCACAGTTGTTCATGGTGCAAGCACTCTCATAGTAAACTACCACATAGTAAATTCCCCTGGTGAACTCTCATGGTAAACTCTAGAGTAAACTCTCACAGGATATATTCTCGTATAAAACACTAATAGTAAACTTTGAGTAGCAAACTCTCGTAGTGAACTCTCAGAGTTAACTGTGACAGAAAACTTTCATAGCAAACACTTATATAGTAACCTCTCAAGCCATCAGGGCCGCCAAACAAACATTCCTTTTTTCCTCTGTGTTCTTGCCAAAACGCATATGCGTCATGTCATGATGCAACACTCACGGTCTCAAAAGTCATGCTTGGTCACTCACGTCTTGTGACAAACATATTTTTTCTCTGTTTTTGATGTGCTATATTATAGGAAAAATCGCAAACGTTGAAAAATGCTACAATGTTCATGCTGGTCGAATTCCAAGATGAGGTGCTTTTTGGTACACTTGCAAGAGAGACTGTGAGAGAGTTCAAATACTTTGAGAGTTTGATTGTACATGGCAAGCCTCACTTTTTACAGACTGGTCGCACATAGCTGTTTTATCGAAACACAAAGGGGCGTACTCCGTTCGTGACCTTCCACCCATGGCGTCCCAAAGTTCCTTGATGCGTTTCAAGTCCACCTGCGACGGTTGGAACCCAGCTGACTCCCAAGAAGTTCCAGATTCACAAGAAGCTGAGAAAGGTGACACGGACTCAGAGAAGACCCTTTGCCTGGATGACTTCGCAGAGACTGAGGAGAAAGAAGGTGGGCTCACCCAACAAGCTACACCTGACGACTTCAAGGAGATGAAGCCTGCCGAAGAAGTTACACCTGACCTGAGCAAGGAGACAGGAGAGTTCTTTGGGCGCAAAATGAAGGTGGCTTATGGTCCAGGGTATGGACCTGGGTCTTTGGATGGAGCCATGCTGCAAACTCTTCTGGGTGGCCTCATGGATAAGACGAGGCTGAAGAACTATGTGGGTGGATTCGAGGAGCATCTGGCTGAAGCTGCCGCATCATCGAGCCAGAAGACTCCTGATCAGACTCGTGAGAAGACTCCTGAGAAGAAGCCAGCAGGAAAGAGTGTACGCAAGAAGAAGGGAACTTCGTCCAAGGGTAAAACACCCAAGAAGTGATCTCTGAAGCAACAACAGAGTATCTCACATTTTGTTGAGCAGCAGCTTGATGAAGCTGGATTTTTTGTGATCGTGTTCATTGCCGAGAAAACACACGCAATGTACTGAGCAGTTTTCATACTTTGCTGGCTTACTGACTTCCAAGTGTCTAAGTAGTTTCGAACAAACTTCGACTTTGTTACATATGGCCAAACGCCATTGAGCCATTGACAGGTTTAGACCAATTTTGCTGAAATGGCAAATAGACTTGACATAGAAATGATCAGATCTAGCGCAGAGTGCCGACAGAGATTTGGAAAAAAGGTGCGTCTCACTTCTTGAACACAATCATGTACTTTGAGAACATGTCCACAGCACTTCGAAGTTTCTAAGAAGTTTCGAAGAAACTTCGAAGCTATGACTTAGAAGTTTGTTCGAAGTTTATTCGTAGTTTCCAATGAAACTTCGTACAAACTTCGAAGATATGTTGATAAAACATTGTAAATACCAATATATTTGATAATGAAACTTCGAAGTTGGACTTCGAAGTTTCCATCATAAACTTCGAATTGCCCTTTCGAAGTTTCGAAGAAGTTTCGAACAAACTTCGAAGCTTACATTTGACTGCTGTTTTTGGCCACTGTCGCACAATCAACATTTTCAATCAGTTTCGTTCAGAAACTTGTCATTTGTTTTGACTCCACAAGACGTTTTCACAACTTGTCGGATCTACTAACCGCAGAATTTTCTTTCCAGCCACTTAGATACATTCATAGGTTTCGACTTCTGTGAAGAGCTGTGTGCTTGCAATGCCGGTTTTGAAACGACCATCATCGAATTCTTCGGCAATGCCCCAAAAGAAGCCAGCCAAGGAGACAATCCCAGGAACAGTTGCAAGTCTCAGGAAGGGGATTCAAAATGATGATGACAATGCTGATGGTGATGAAGGACAGCGGGACAAGTTGAAGGCTGAGAAGTGGGCAAGACTTCGTTCCACTGGCGCACTTCCGGAGTACTTGCTGCAGCTGTACGACCAGGAGTCAAAGCAATCACCGCTGGGGAAGCGGGCATTTCAAACCACAATCATAAACAAACTCTTCAAGAAGGTCAACGGTGCCTGGCAATTGGACACGAGTGACGCCCAATTCAAGGATTACAAATCTCTCTACGAGCGCCGCTACTCGAAAGAGGAGAACGAAGCGATGCCGAAATCGTTGATTGTGGGCCTCTATTATCAGGGGGACGAGCAGAAATTTAACCGAGCTTTGGAATTGGGCGAACTGCAGCATGTCAAAGATGACGGCGGTGTGCGGTTCTACTCATACAAGAAGCTCACCTCTGCAGTTGAGAAGGGCAGTGATCAGAGGCTCGAAGCCATTGGGACGAAGAAAGGCAAACTTCAAGAGTTTCATGAGATTGGGAATCTTTTGTCCAAGCTGAGCTGGACGTTTCGCAAGAAGCCAGGAGATCAGAAGGAACTTACTGCTGGGAGCCTCCCCACTAGCTACGAGGCCTTGATCAAAAAAGCACATGGAGCTTGTGACAAGTTGTCGAAGGACACGCTCAAACTTCAGAAAGAGGTGGGGCATGAGCGCAAAGAGATCATGAAGGATGGATACAAGTCCATGACTGCTCACTTGGCCACTTTGGATCACATGAAAAACTTTGTGGAATTGCCAGATGGCACGAAGCTCACCAGCACGGTTTTCGAATCAGCTCTTGGAGATATCGCTTCTTCGGTTGACCAGCTGAACACGAAGATTGAGGAGATCAAAGGCTACATGAAGTCCAAGGCCAAGTGAGTCTTGATTCAAGTCTGTGTGAGATATCCACAGAAAATTTCTCAAGGCCCTGAATACAAATGTTTGAGTATGTGTGTGAAAACCACATAAATTTTGTGTATCTGGCCGTCAACGGTGAGTCAAATGCGATGGGGAAAACAGTGCAAATGCGTGACAGTTTTTCTGTATATGCTTTGAAAACAAGTTCTTGTCAGAGAAACACTCTGTGAAACATGTGTGTTCATGCTTTTTTTACAATTAAATTGGGACCCAAGGTGTGGTGGTATTTACATTTGTTTAGTTTTGTATATAGTTTGCCTGGTTCTAGTGTTTGAAAAGAACTTTGAGATAACCATGTGGGAAAACGTTGTGTCAGACTTTGAGAGAACTTTGAGGGATCTTTGAAAGAACCCTGAGAGAACCTTGAGAGGAAACCCCGAGAGAACTCTGAGAGAACTTTGATAGAACATTGTGACAGGACTTGGACGGACTACTTTGATAGAACATTGTGACAGGACTTGGACGGACTCTCTCTCTCTCTCTTTCTCTCTTTCTCTCTTTCTCTTACACATTTCTGACTGAAGTCTTCTCATGCAACAAATTTCATGTACACAAATTACTTTGATGCCCTCTGTGCAGTCGTACTGTCTAACCGTGAGCGAGTGAGAGTAAGATTTGGAGTGAGAGTGGGTTACTTTGAGAGAGGAAAGAGATGGTTTACGGGTATCACACTGTGTGACGAATCTTGTCTAAAACCTTCCATTTTTAAACATCCAGATGCTGAAACAAAAGAACACAGTATCAGAATAGTGAATTATGATCCTGGAAATCGATTATCGAAAGACTTTTTCAAACATGTTCAAACAGTTCTAACACATGTATACTGTGCCATTGGTGACGTAGCATTTTCCTCATATCAATTTCAAACCCTTTCGTGTAGTTGTGGACTGTCACTTGAACCTGCGGCCATGGAGACCTTCCAGCTGAAGAACCTGAACCCTGCGCAGCTGTTTCAGCTGTTGTTCCTCACCGTGCTGGAGCTGGCAGAGCGCTTCCAGATCAACCTGAGGGGGCGGCCGCGTGTTTTCATGCGGGAAGAACCTGATGAGGAAAACCCACCAGAAGCTGTCCAGCCACCACCGGTGCCAGCTCATGGGCCAGTACGTGCTCGCAGATGCCAGAGTGCCTGCCGCTTCTGCGTGCAAGGCTGCGACCGAACGAAGCCCTACCACAAGCATCATGCTTGCCAAGGACATGCCCACCTGAGGTTTTGAACTTTGAACAAGGTTCCACAGCAGTACAATAGATTATACAGTATTTAGCAATTCATGCAAAGTTCCAACCTTGAACCTTACAGATCTTCAGGGAATTGTGGAGCGCAGAGAAGAAAAAAGGCGGTCGCATCCTAGAGAAAGTCGAGAAGTTTTGGGTTGAAGTTGGTTCACTGTGAGAGAACTTTGAGAGAGGTTGTCGTGTTGTGACCTGGTTTTTTTTGAGAGAGGTTGTCGTGTTGTGACCTGGTTTTAGAGAGGTTGTCGTGTTGTGACCTGGTTTTACTTTGAGAGAACTTTGAGAGATACTATATCGTGTTGTGACCTGGTTTTGCTTTGAGAGAACTTTGAGAGAGGTTGTCGTGTTGTGACCTGGTTTTACTTTGAGAGAACTTTGAGAGAGGTTGGACTTGTGTAGAAGGAAAATGTCCGAAAGTTCTAGGTTTGAAGGCTGTCAAGATGGTTGCACGCTGACTCTCAAAGTGAACATCAACAACACTCTCATGGTTAGGACACACTCTCATGGTCGCCAAAAAAAAACAGGAACAAAATGTGATATCCACTTTCTCGACCCCGTATGCAATGTTTTATTTTCAGATCAGAAGAACAAATAAATATGTCGTATAAATATCCAAACCTTTCAACACCATCATAGAGTATAAGAAGAGTTTCTTGTCAGGGCCACAGCTGTGCACCCCATATCGACACACACCTGAATTAGATCTTTGCTTAGCACCGCCATGGTGGCGCACATGTCTCGAAAACGTGATCGTTCTGGTGGCCAGAGGCAAAGACTGCGACGCATGTTGCAGGAAGAACAGCTGAACTGCCAGAGCGTTCTCTGTACTTGGTTGTTGTCAATGTTTGCATGGGGACACTTTAGCGTGCAACGAGTACAAAAGATCAGTGCTTTGGTTATGAAAGATTTGAAGAGTGCTGAGACTTCTGAAACAATCTGGAATGACTTGGAGACATTATCCAAGTTAGGAACTGAAGGTCTGTACGCGAACAAGATGCACACGGAGCTCATGGGCAAATGCAAAGGCTTGTCTAACCTACCGGAGCCTTACCCAGTGGATATCCAATATGCTCCGCCTTTGGGCATGCAGAAACAGGATGTTTTTCTTCCTCATGAAGTCTTCAGCGCAATTTATCACAAGTATCCACAAACATGGCAAAAAACGATGGTACCGTCGCAGGCTCACTTGGAAAGGTTCTGGACAGTCACCGATGGCCATCCAACCTTGGTTAATTCCCCACTGAAAGAATGTCCTTCTTACAAAACGAAAACTGTACCTATCCTGCTGCACGGGGACGGGGTTCCAATCGTCGGAATTGGAAAGGGATGGTCCAAGATTGCAACTGTGTTTAGCTGGGCCAGCATGCTTACATCTTCAGGGACCAAGGAGTCCATGAAATTTATATGGGGAGCTTTCGACAAACTCTGCAAAAAGGATGGTGAGGGAACTGATGGTACATTTTCAACATTTTTCAAAGTTCTAGTCTGGTCGCTGCAGTCTTTGTATTCGGGTAAGTGGCCCCATCGGGACCACAATGGACACTTATTTCCTTCATCTTCCTGGCGGGGAAAGTTGGCAGGTCAAGATCTGGCGGCAGGTTTCACTGGTTATCTTTTCTCTGTCATTGGAGACATGGATTATTTTTCATCGATACTACAGCTTCCTCACTTTAGCTGGGCAAAGGGGCCGTGTGCACTTTGCAAATGTACCCTTGGTGGAGTGACCACATGGACAGACTTTAGAAAGACTGCGGCTTGGCTAGGTACTCGGTGGAGCAAAGCCGACTAAATATCCAGTTTGAGAACATTTTGGACGACCACAAGGATGACTATGCCTTACCCCTTGCTGCCTACACTGCCTTTATGAATGCGGCATTTTCTATGATGCAACTGTGCTCATCACTGGCAGACCATTTTATTCAAGAGGGTATACCCATGTTCGACATGACGTCGAAGGCGCATGCTGTCCTGGAGATTGCAATTCTCAGTCGTCACATAAACCCGAGAACTACTTGTGGTGCTTCCGAGGAGAAGACATGATGCAGAAAAGTCAAGTTTTGCTACAAAGTTGCGTTCGAGGCAACAACGGAGCCCTTTGCTTCAGGAAGATGCTTGCCCACTATAGATTGGGTTTACACATGCTTTTCACTGAGCACAAAGATTGAAAAAGTGACAAAAAACATGGCTTGGTTGTGATGGGACTCTATATGCTGGCGAGAAACTTGTGAACACAGAGAGAAATTTGTCGTATACATACATATCTATACATATATACTTGTTTATTGATTTACTGTGCATTCATTCGTTTATTTGTTTATATCACAACACTAGATAGATTTCTCCTCTATGTATATCTACATATTTATATTGCAGGTTGTTTATGTCTTTAACTTTTAGGATATGACATGGTTCTTTTGGGATCACTCTCAACGGAGACACGCAGTCACACTTAGAGAGAGAGAGACCTGGAGAGTCATGAGATACTTGGAGAGAGATGGTTCTTCGATGTGGTGTGAGTGTGTTTTCTCTCTCTGTCAGAATTCGTTTATCAAAGGGCCTTTGGCGCCATCCCGACACGTCTTCCTGAGACTTTTGTGATCTCCCGAGCTCAAGCCATGGACGTGCTTTGCGACCGCGATGAGTCCCCGTGGTTCAGGGTCCTTTCAGGAATGGTGTTCCTTATCAATGCTGGCTATAGGGATCGATTTTTCTTATCCCTCATGGACTTGCACCTTGGTGAAAAATAGTACTTGTCTTACTTTTCTTTCTTTTTGGAGTGGATGCTCGATTAAAAGGGTTTTGCCAAACACTCTTGACGTGCAGGCACAAGTTTTACAATGGCTGTCCAGGGCAACGAAAGGAGGACCATTCCGCAGGGTTCCACGAACGTTCTCGCTTTCAGTGGGGAAGTTGGGAAATCAAGGCAAGGGGAGTTCAAACATATTTGTTGGGTCTAGGGCATAGAGAATCTAAAGTGTTTTCAAGTTTAGGTTTTGTATTAAACACCAAAAAAACATTGTGGTAAACACCTTCGTTGAATCTGTTGGTGTCCAACCTTGCTGCCAGACCATGAATGGCCTTGTGGTTCCTCGATGGGATCTTTGGATGTCGAACCGTGGCAAAGCTCGAGACTTTTTCGAAAGTTGGCTACATGTGCAGATGCGAGACTCTCCAGGCAGCGACCTCACCTACCAAGTATTGGTCTTCTTGGATCGGCTCTTCATGGCAGGCTTGAAGCTATATGGTGAAGACCACCGAGATGTCTTTGAAAATCCTGAAGACTTCTTTGTGCGAATGCTGCGACATGAAGGGCAACTTGGATACACCATATGAGATTACATTCTTCATCTTTTGATAGATAGATAGATATATATATGTGTGTATTTTTACGTGGTTTTGTTGGATGCAGAGAAAACTATACAATCACCTGACCTCCATACTTTTTGAAAAACATTATGGATGTGTTTTTTGTTTCACTGAGAGGTGTTTCCCTGAATCCAATGAGGTACCGTGTCGAAGATCAGAAAATATGGCTTGTTGACGAGAGCAGCGGCTGGTGGGAGGAGAAAAAGCCATGTGGTCTAAATTTGAAGGAAGCGTTTGACTTGTTGCACGATGTGAAACTAAAAGACATCATGCAGCAGTGGGTTGAACCCAATGCTCCTTCTTTGCAATGGCAATGGCAATAATGAGAAGTATATACGGAACATGTGCAATTTATGTTTACAAAATATTTCAGCTGGACTGAAACACATGAACACCCACATATATATGTATATTACGATCCTATACAGTATATGAATAATTTCATGATGTTATCATGTGAGAGGAGTGTCAGAATATACAAAAAAATCATTGCCTTTGCCGCATATAAGCTTTTTTGCTTTTGAATTTTGGCCGGCCTTCACCCGAAAAACTTCGGTGTTGTGGCAGAGCTGAGACTAGGAATTGTCTAGTCTGGTAAAGATCTGAAGGATCCCTTTTTAGGACCCACAGCTGTTTACAGGACGGACTTTTGGATGTGTCCAAATCTGTACTATGTAGGAATAGGCACGGAGACAAACCGATCTCTGGCTCAAAAAAAGGAAAGCAGTGCTCTTGTGTGTGAGGGGAATGGGAACGAATTTGGGTGAGAACCCTGAGAGAAAACTTTGAGAGAACTTCGAGAGAACTTTGAGAGATTTCTTGGAGATGTGTTTTTTGAGAGAGATGATATTTAATGTTGTTTTTGGGAGATATGATATATTTAGAAAGAAAGTATGTTCATTGGATTTCACTGAATACAGCTACGATGTGAACAATGCAAATATTCATTTGGTAATCATACCTTCCTAACTATTTCGATGACACTCTCACAGTCAACTCTCATGGTAAACTCAAACAGTCAACTCTCATGGTAAACTCCTACAATCAACTGTCATGGTAAACTCTCACAGTGAACTCTCATGGTAAACTCTTACAATCAACTCTCATGGTAAACTCTCACAATCAACTCTCATGGTAAACTCTCACAGTCAACTCTCATGGTAAACTCAAACAGTCAACTCTCATGGTAAACTCAAACAGTCAACTCTCATGGTAAACTCCTACAATCAACTGTCATGGTAAACTCTCACAGTGAACTCTCATGGTAAACTCTTACAATCAACTCTCATGGTAAACTCTCACAATCAACTCTCATGGTAAACTCAAACAGTCAACTCTCATGGTAAACTCTCACAGTGAACTCTCATGGTAAACTCTTATACAATCAACTGTCATGGTAAACTCTCACAGTGAACTCTCATGGTAAACTCTTACAATCAACTCTCATGGTAAACTCTCACAATCAACTCTCATGGTAAACTCTCACAGTCAACTCTCATGGTAAACTCAAACAGTCAACTCTCATGGTAAACTCAAACAGTCAACTCTCATGGTAAACTCCTACAATCAACTGTCATGGTAAACTCTCACAGTGAACTCTCATGGTAAACTCTTACAATCAACTCTCATGGTAAACTCTCACAATCAACTCTCATGGTAAACTCTAACAGTCAACTCTCATGGTAAACTCTCACAGTGAACTCTCATGGTAAACTCTTATACAATCAACTCTCATGGTCATGGTAAACTCTCACAGTCTCTCAAAACTCTCACAGTCAACTCTCATGGTAAACTCTTACAAAATCAACTCTCATGGTAAACTCACAGTCAGCTTTCATGGTAAACTCTTACAATCAACCCAAATGGTAAAGTCTCACAGAATCAACTCCCATGGTAAACTCTCACAGAGTCAACTCTCATGGTAAACTCTCACAGTCAACTCTCATGGTAAACTCTCATATATTTTGCACTCATATATAGAAAACGCTCAATCCATCAATGCCCCAAGCAAATGAACATGTTTCTCTTTCTCTTCATGTCTGATACAAGTTTTCTCTCAAAATGATAAGTGGGGACAGATCAAAAAAACTATCAGAGGATGTATACACCCAAAAAGAGATGCCCCAACAAAGGTATACTGTGAGATATACCATGTATGGTGCTGTGCATTTACTGTGAGAGACCACATGTTGATAACATACTGTGAGAGATTTTGAATTATGAGGAATGCCGAGAGAGAGGGAGAGAGAGAGAGAACCACTATGTAGCAAAAGAGACATTGCCTGTAGTATCTTGACCGTTCGTGTTCTAATGCATATATAATATATTGATGCATGCACTGAATCAAACTGGAACATGTTTACATGACATTGTGTGGTCAGAGCCAATGACAGTTTTTATGATCAAAACATCAAAATGCATCAATATATATGTATATATATTTATCACAACTTATTGCATGATCGTGTGTGTCCACAAAACTAAGAGGCAAATTATCTGTCAAATTTTGATATAAAACTCCGAAGCCAACTTCGAAGTTTTATATCGTGCCCCAGGTGTGACCCCGGAGTTCGTTCGAAGTTTTACTGTCAAAAATAGATATCTATTTCGGCAAATTCTATCTATTTATAGATATCTATTTCGGCAAAATTTATCTATATAGGTAACTCTAAATCTAACTATTTTTTTGAAAATAGACAAATCAAAATAGATAGATTTCCAGAAAATAGTTTGCAAAAAATCTATCTATTTTGTAGTTTTTAAATAGTCTAAAATAGTTATCTAAAAAAATATCTTATATATAAAAATCTAGGAAATAGTCAAAATCCTAGAATAGATAGGATTTTGTCTAATTCGGTCTATTGGGTACTACTACTACTACTTCTACTACTACTACTACTACTACTACTACTACTACTGGGATGGTCTATGGTATTATGGATCCTTGTTGTTTCCAGCTGTCTTCATGGTACATTTAATCCCTGAAAAAATCTGGTGTCGATAAACATTGCTTTTTTGGAACATCCAGCTTTTAGTTCGATGATTTTCCCCGTCGACACCTGCGAGCGACAGAAGAATCGGTCCGCTTGTCATTCAAGACCGTTCATACCTTCCAATTCCAGGTCTTGACCGACCGATACGGTGAACGGTGAACATTCACCAACCCTTCTCGCCAGGGAGCAGTGGGGAAACAATCAATGGTATCATGGGCTGCAGGCACACTTCAACGGAATAGCAAGAAAGCAGGCAGAGTATTGGCGCTGGTTTTATCAGCATGCACAAAACGAGCAGCTCACTGCAGATGTGACTGCTGATTCTGGACATCGGGTCGAGCAGCTCACTGCAGATGTGACTGCTGATTCTGGACATCGGGTGTTCCAGGACATGGAAGTTGAGGGCTAAGACGCCATGCAACCCAGAAATTCGTCTTTTCTGCAGATTTGGCTGCCTGTTTTTGAGATCATCTACCGTGATGTGATTTGTTAATAATACCTTTTTTGGAGTTGATCCCCCGCCTGGTGTGTACCATATATTCCAGATACACCGGTTCACCGTAGAGTGGATGTCTTCCGAGAGTTAAAATAGCTGCGAGAGTGTTTTCCAGTCCGGCGCATCAATATGCATTGAATGAACGCTTTCCTGATGTAGACCGCTACTGCCGTCAGGTATATAACTGTTACCAGCTGGGCGTAGAAAATTTCACGGTCATTCCTTCAGTGCATATCCAGGCATTTTTGAAAATGGAATTGAATTTACGGATCAGGCTCGCTATAAACCTCCATTTGATGCGGGGATTTCCAACATGATTTTCTCATATGTACCCATTAATCCCTTCCTCCTAATACTAAAGCCCCCCCCTATTACTAAACACGGCAGGTAGTTTTTAGTATTAGGGTGGTCTTTATTATTAGGGAACCCTATTAATAAAATTAAACCCTTAATAAGAAAAACTATTTTTTTCCGATCTCAAAATCAATAAAATTTCTTTACATAACGCTTTAAAATATTGCCATAAATTGGATTTCGAAACTTCCCCCTAATATAAAATTAAAACCCTTAATGATTTTTTTCCGATCTCAAAATCAATTAAATTTCTTTATATAACGCGATTAAAAAATGAAATGCAAAAATTGGATTTCGAAGCTTCCCCCTAATATGAAATTAAAACCCTTAACAATAAAAACTATTTTTTCCGATCTCAAAATCAATTAAATTTCTTTATATAACGCGATTTAAATATTGCCCAAAATTGGATTTCGAAGCTTCCCCCCAATATTAAATTAGAACCCTTAATAATAAAAACTATTTTTTCCGATCTCAAAATCAACTAAATTTCTTTGTATAACGCAATTAAAATATTGCCAAAGATTGGATTTCGAAGCTTCCCCTTAATACTAAATTAAAAACCTCAATATAAAAAACTAAAAAAAATCGGACGGACCCTAATAATAAACACCCCGGGGTGAACTAGTTTTTAGTATTAAGGGGGGAAAACCCACAAATGGTAGCTTGATTCTTAGGATCAATTAAAAGTCAAAATGGCCAATCTGAAATTTTCAAAAATTGGAGATGGATACTCGTTTTTAGTATTTGCGCGGGGTTTAGGAATAGGAGGAAGGGATTATTTACAGGGGTTTTCCCATGATTGTCCCAGATTTTCCCATTGTTTATCGGTGATTTCCCATATTGTCCCATATTTTCTTTTGGTTTTCCCAAAATTTCCCATTGCTTATAGGGGATCCCACATTTTTCCAGGGACACTAGCCCGCTGTTGGCCACCGCGGCGTCAGGACGTGGACAAGGGCGCCTTCTGTGGCCTGCTCTGCCAGGCGGCAGAACAGTTTGGTTGGGTCAAACGAAGAGGGAGTGGAGGATGGTGGTTATAATAGGGATATAATATATTAGGTATACAACCAATGCTTCACCCACTTTCTTAGAAAATAGAATGGTGTTATTGACTTGATTTATGGTGATTTAATGGTGATCATTATGGGGATTTGACAATTATGGGGATTGAATGGGGATATATATATATATATATTGGAAACTAATGATTCACCCACTTACTTGGAGGATCACCCCACGAATCATAACTAATTTTTGATTTGTAGATGCGGCTATAAGCCACTTAGATGTGGAGAAAAATCCCGCACAAGTATGGTTACGACTACTGCGTAGTCACGGACCAGCGAGATGGGGTCTCTGTCCCAGTTGACCAATAATGTGAGTGGGGCGAGCTGACCTGGCTTGGTGGGAACTGTGATGGGCACCGCCACGTCAAAGGGGCCTGGGAGATCCTTACAAAGTGTCCTGTCATTGCCGGTAGGGGCTACGATTGCGACGGGAAGGGCCACGACGTTGTCATTGCCTTCGAAATCACAAATCGCATTGGGCCCATGCTCGCTTGGACCGCCGCTCGCGTAGCCAAGTTGGAGCCTAAGGTCCGGACGATTGGTCCCAGGCTCCATGAACCATGAACAACCCTAGTTAGGGGACCTGCTACCGATCATCCCACGAATCATAAACCACTTACAAATGGAAAGAACTTCCAGCTACTATATAATTACTTTGAAAGAGTAAACCTACTGGTGATTAATAGTGGTTATACCAATAGTACCGCACAAGGCGGCGGCGGAAGTTTCAAAAATAGGAAACCTATAGGAGAGGTTGGTTGTTGTGAATCACGGATGGCAGAGCGAAGCCACTGATGGACCGAAAGGTGGTTGAGGTCTCCTCTCTTTCTCTCTCTTTCTCTCTCTTTCTCTGACTATCTACCTACCTATCTACCTACCTACCTATCTATGTATGTATCTATCTATCTATCTATCTATCTATCTATCTATCTATCTATCTATCATATTCTATCTATCTATCTATCTATCGATCGATCTATCTATCTATCTATCGATCTATCGATCTATCGATCTATCGATCTATCGATCTATCTATCTATCTATCTGTCTATCTTTCTATCTTTCTCTCTTTCTATCTATCTATCTACCTATCTACCTACCTACCTACCTATCTACCTACCTACCTACCTATCTACCTACCTACCTATCTATGTATGTATCTATCTATCTATCGATCTATCGATCTATCGATCTATCTATCTATCTATCTCTCTATCTATCTATCTATCTATCTATCTTTCTATCTATCTTTCTATCTATCTATCTATCTATCTATCTATCTATCTCTATTTCTCTTTCATCTAATGATCTATCTCTCTCTCTCTCTCTTTCATCTAGTTATCTATCTATCTACCTACCTACCTACCTTTCTTTCTTTCTTTCTTTCTTTCTTTCTGTCTGTGTGTCGTTTTTTCTTTCTTTCTTTCTATCTATCTACCTACCTATCTATCTACCTACCTACCTATCTTTCTTTCGTTCTTTATTTCTTTCTTTCTTTCTGTCTCTCTCTCTCTCTCTCTATCTCTCTCTCTATCTCTCTCTATTTATCTATCTATCTATCTATTTATCTATCTATCTATCTATCTAGTCTAATCTAACCTAACCTAACCTAACCTAATCTAATCTAATCTAATCTAACCTCCTCTATTTATCCATCTATCTAATCTAATCTTATTTTATCTTATCTTATCTTATCTATCTATCTCTCTCTCTCTGTCTGTCTGTCTATCTATCTATCTGCAAGCTTGAAAACGAAGCTATTCTGCGAGACTTCGTCAGTTTTTGAACTTGACAACATCAAATACGCAGCAATTCAGCGAGACTTCCTCAATTTTTGCACTTGACAACATCAAAAACGAAGCAATTCTGCCATTTATTTAAAGTTGACAACATCAAAAATGAAGCAATTCTGCGAGACGTCCTTCAAAAATGGAAAGTTGAGTCCAGAGCTGACGGCCTCGTACCAATGCATTTTGCCATTTTTCCAGTCCACCTGTCTAAAGTATTGCGCCTGCCACGAAAAAGTGATTCCAGGTCATACGAAGTGCTGCACCTGTCACGCAAAATCATCTCAGCAAACCTGAAGATCTGAGGCTCCAAAATGTAACCCCTCTCAGGAAATCAGCGCCCGGACCTCCTAACAGCTCTGATGAACATGTCTCTTCTGCTGCACCTGCCACGGAAAATGCATCTTTGCAGATCCTCTTCAAAAGTCCCACGCCTGCTATCTTTTTGAAAATGCTACAAAACCCTCACGCTTTGCTCACTTTTAACAAGATCCACAATCCCTTGCGCCTGCCAAAAGCACATCTGAACGTCCAAAAGTGGTCCGAACCCCTTGTGTTTTTAACATTTTGACTTCGAAATGTGCTTCGCGCCACAACGGCGTGCTCTTTTTCAAAATCTCAACTTCCAAAAGTGGTCCGAACATGGTGTGTTTTGTAAATTTTCGCTTGGAAATGTTCTTCGCGCCACAACGGCGTGCAATTTTTCATCTCTCATCTGCCCAGCAGGCTCCGCACCCGCCGCTTTAGCGAGCCTACTTTTCGACCCTCCGGAGCCACAAATCATTGGAAAAACACAGTGTTTCGCGACTTTCCTACCTTTTTGCGCACCTGGATCGTCTTTCTTCTGAGACTTTATCTTTTTGATTTTCTTTCTTCTCTTCTCTTCTCTTCTCTTCTCTTCTCTTCTCTGACTCTTACCACCTCTGCTTTACATCTGTCCATATTGTCGGAAGTTTGACTTCTAAACTTCCTTCGATAATCTTTATTTACCTAGAGGATCAATTAATAACCCAATTAATAGCAGATTAGTCCGTGGGGTTATAACTTGTAACTTATAACCCACTAGCAAACGGAATCCTAATAGGGGGCTTACTAAAATAACTACTTTCTAAGTGGGGTTAAATACCCCTATCCCATCTCATTATACTGGTTGGTTGATAGGGATTCCCATAATGTGTTACGATGATTTTGACAATCCCCAACAATCCAGGTACTCGTAGTATAATCACCTGTACTAACCAATCAACAGTGGTAGGTTTGATGGCTTACATGTTATACTATGCTATACCAGTGGTTGGATAAAATGTTAATGGGGTATCTAGCATATCCAACATGATACCTGCTTGCTAACTATTTCATCGGATGGGATGTTCACCGCTCATATGGGTAAACTAGACCAAGCCACTGTTGGCAGGAAGAAGGGCAGCCAGTCGAGAAAGTCCAGATAGAAAAAGTTTGCATTGCAGCAGCGAAGTTGCATTTTCTGGTTTCAATGCCGTTTCTGATAAACATCTTTCCGAAAGGGTAATCAGAGACTGAGTTCGCAAATCCACCTTCAGGGGCCCATGAGTTTGAGTGATGCATGATGTCCCACTTTGCGGGAAAAAAATGTTTCCATTTAATTTATGGTGGTTTCCATAAATGGGGTACCAAAATGGATGGTTTATAAGGGAAGATCCGACTAACATGGATGATTTGGGGGGACCCCTATTTTAGGAAACCCCCATATAAGGAGTTCCCCTCCAGCCACGGTATCTTTGGCCATGCAATGGCATGGCCGCTGTTCCGCGACAGGTCGATGCGCAATGCCCCAGCGGGGCGCAGTGCAAGCAGTTGAGTCAGGCAAGGGGGTGGAATGGATTCCAACCTTTTGGGATATGGATAAATGAGATTGAATGGGACATTTGATGGGATTTAATCGGACAATGAATGGTTAATAATGGTTGATCATGAAGATGTTCATGGATATTTAGTGGGATGTTGAATGGTTGAACGTTGAATGGGACATTTAATGGGATACCTTTCGGTGTCATCAAGCACGGCTAGGGAAATCTCTGCACTAGCCATGGAGGTTTACAGCTGGCAAATTCCTGTAATAGGAATTTTTCTGGCAGACCATGTTTGAGTACCGGAGGGCAGGAGTTCATTGGCAAATTGTAGCGGCCTCACTGGCCTAACCTTACATGACGGTGTTGGAATATAGATTCAGATATACATATACATATATAGTTAGATAGAATCAGAAGGCCGGGGAGACTATTCCTTGCGGACCCAGCAGCGTCATCGTGCGTGCAACTCAAGAAGGTGTCACTACCATATCTCTAATAACCAGAGGCTAAATCCTCTCAGAACTCCCATTTTTAATCAATATATTAATATAGATATACATCATCTCATTATTAGTCACTATGATATCCCCATTTTCCATAGCTATGACTTGGCTATGTAACAAATTACCAGAGGGTAGTCCTCTAAAAGTCCCATTATGAATCATCATTATATACCCTCTGGTAAACTAACATAGCAATGGAAAATCACCATTTTTCATGGGAAAATCCACTATTTTGATGGCCATTTTCCATTGCTTTTTGTATGTTCACCAGTGGGTAATCGATATAAAACCGGAAAAAAATGTCTATTTCGTTCGGGGCATGTTTCAGTCACGTTGGATAAATGGAGGGCATTCCATTAGTAATCCTATTTAAAATATACCATAAAAATTATTCACCATTATTAATCATTGTTAAACCACTCACCAAAATTTCTCCCATTGAATCATGATTAATCAGGTTTAATCACTATTAACCACTATTAATCACTCTTAATCGCCACTAATCACTATGAATCGCTATGAAGCACTATTAATAACCAAAGGCTAAAATGTTCTCAGAACTCCCATGATTATTCACTATATTAATTTAGATATTATACATAATCCCATTATTAATCACTATGATATCCCCATTTTCCATAGCTATCTCATCGCAGATGGGCGTGGGCCTCTGCATGTACGCCGCATCCTTCACCGACTGGGCACGTGCCGCCAGGGCATCCCAGGAACCATGGGGAAACCAAGCATGACAGGGGGGGACCTGGGGGGATATACCTGGGAAATGGGATGTTAGTAGTAGGATTTAGTGGGACATACTGGAGAATGCGATTTTGGTGGAACTCACCAACTTTCCTGGTGTGATATCGCAATGTGTCACTTGACTTGGACTATTTGTGTCCATTCTTGTAGGGGCTAACCACGAATTGAAGGTTACTGACATGTAAGTTGTGTCTTGTCAGTGTGAGGTACTCTTTATGAACATATTACATATGTTTGATTCAGGACAGGTACAACAATCAAAACATGAGTGTATTCACATATGGTATGTCATAGATTCTATATCTGATTCTATTTTTTCAAATGCCAAGATGTTGCGTTTTGCTTAGCGTTTAAGCGCACTACCATCGACACTGCCAGGACTTGCAGAATAGAGGTTACTTGTGTTAATATGTAATATACATGTATATAATATAATATACATATATACATATACATATATAATCATATATATATACATATAAATAGATATATATATATATACATATACATACATACATATATATATGTACATATATATATATATACAAAGATACAAAGATACAAAGATGAGCACGGGATCAACAGTTGCCATCCACAACTTGGATCCCTTCGTGCCAAGGCCACCACGCGCAAATTGGCCGTGGGTTGGCCCAACAGGGGCGGCCAACTCGTCCCTTGCCCGGATCAGTTGGTTTCCCCTATGATTTTCATAGGGATTAATGGGGAGTTATATGATTAATATGGGAATTAATATGGGGATTAATATGGATTAATATGGTTAACATATATATATATATGATATAGGGATTAACAATGATTAATATGGGGATTAATCTGATTAATGATGATTAATAATGATTGATGAGTAATGGGGGTACCCCAATAGCTGGATGGGTGGAAACTAATCAACTTTAATCTTTTGCTATAGGAATTTAATGGAATATCTACTAACCAGCTAAGATTTTTTTTCTTTTGAGGGTATCTAAGATTGGCAATATTATTCAATAGGTGGGGGAATCATTACGGGTTGGAAAATGGCAAATCCCTTCCCACCTGGTTGGGGAGCAATTCCTGGATTGCATTTGGTATCGCCAAATACCAGACATAATGAGCATGGCTTCAACTGGACCTGCGCTCGTCTTCCAATATGTATATATATATACATATACATATACATATATATATATATACATATGATATATGTTTGCAAGTTTACAATGGGCCAACATGTCCCCAGATGAAACCAATATTCAGTCCACGCTGTTTTGCTCCTATGTATAACCAGTGGGACACCATCCAGGGTTTTGGGTCCCGTTCGACATGATACGATCTAAAAATCTACATCAGCGCGGGTCACTTAATTGCATATATATATATATTAAGCATGTTATAGACATTCCAATCCAATCCATTTCAGCAAAGTCTAAGATTTGAGTAGATATATATATATATATCCGCAACCACACATAGTCAATTCTGCTATTTTATGCAGAACACTGTAATGTTAACCTTGGATTAATGACCCCTCAGGCCCTAGCGTTTAAATCTATCCTAGGAAATAAACGGGTATCTGGGCAAAAATATTTTAAGTATTGCCGAACAAAATGCGTATACTTGAAAATGAACACATAATTGCAAAACAAACATGCCCGATTGAAAACACGTACTGCTGAATAGGTTGCCTAATTGACCACATCTTAAGAAATCCAAGCAGAAAATCCAAACCCAATAAAAAATCACCTGCGCATGTTCCCACCGTCAACTCTGGGCCATTCTTCACCACATGGCGGAATGGTGGAAGGAAATGAAAAAATGCGACTTGCCACGGCGAACCTGAAACCCATTGGGAAGCTGAAGCTGATGGTTGTTATCGCAACCACACTATGTCAGGAGAGCCCTAGACACCATCCCGCCTCCATGCCGGGTTATTGTTTCCGCCGGCGAAAATGGACAAAGGAAGTCCAAGCGTTTTTTTAAATCCCACGTTAACATGATGTTTCCAGGAATCACAGCTCCGCCTTGGTTCACAGATAGCCTACAATCAATGCCAAATGATTGAGTCAACTCTGCTAGACCATCACTTCCCAATCGAAAGCCTGTTGGAATGTATTGGATCTAGTCAGTTTCCCCAAGATATGTGGTACATATACTGGTTGGTGGTTTTGAACATGTTTTATTTTTCCATATATTGGGAATAACAAGCCCAACTAACTTTCATATTTTTCAGAGGGGTAGGTCAACCACCAACCAGTATATCATATATGTTCCAATGATTCATTTTACCGGTTTAAGTGGCTTATCACTTCCAAACCCGGGCTCCAATGAGTTGATGTTCAGGGTACACACTGTACAGGCTGGTGCCAGTTATGTTGCTTTAGTTCATCCCCTTGAAGTAGTCCGTTATATCCCCATATATCCCCCATAAGGCCCTAGTTTTTTTTCGTAAGACCAAGGCTAGCTTCCAAGTCGCCAAGACTTTTCAGGCCCTACAGGCCATCCGCAAGGGTATTCATGGGGAAAAAATATGGAGAAAGCTCTGGATTTTGGGAGTCAACTGGGTCAACTCATGTGGGGATGGGTCAAAATCCAATTATTACCATATGACTGCGAACAAACATCCATGAAGCAGCGATTTTTGGGTCCCGTTTGGGTACCGTTTTGACCCATTAACCATGGTATGTTACTGTATATACTCCAAGTTTCGGAGAAGACTGCCAAACGTGTTAGCAGAAACAGTTTCTTCGAAGTGGTGCCGGAAGAGAATGAGGTTGTGCAACAAGGAAGCGCGCAAAATTGAAGTTTCTGAAACCTTCAAAACTATGAAGCGCTGCGAATGCACCCCTGTATTGGACAGTAGCACGTTGGAACTCTACTCTCTGTGCTCTCTATGCATTCCCGTCGAAGCAGTGGCGCGCTGAATAAAAAGTGCAGATCAGCGCCACCACGCCTAGGGGCAGGAGCCGGTGCAAGCTGGATCCAGACGCTCGTTTTTTTTAACTATGGCTCTTTGCTAATGCAGACCATTCAGGTACAATGTGAGGCCCCCAAGATAGCTAAGTTGGCTTATAACTCCAATAACTATGGTTTATGGTACTTATAACTATAGTTGCCGGGGCTTATAAACCAACTTATAATTGGGGGGTCTCACATTGTAGCTGTAATCATGGGATCATTGGATTTCAATCACGGGTGCGCCGGCATGGTATCCTTGGCTACGGTTGGTTCAGGTCTCAGTTGGAACATCACCATGTGTTAGTCATCAAAACCCGGTTCGTATCAGTTGAAACCCTACTTTGCTATAGTTCAAACTCCAATGATATCTGGTCGTTTAAAACCTAATTTTATAGCACCTTGGTTTAAGATCCCCGTCTTTGTTGATTTCTTATTGAAACCGTATAATTGGCTAATACTGAGAGCCCTTCAGTCCCGCTGGCAGAATCTGAAGTCCAAGTATGGCGTGGATGACGGCGACGTCGCGCCAACCTCAGTTCGGCGCAGGGTGGGCCCAACCAAGAGCTTTGGAGAAGATGGTCATGGATTCTCGTTGATTTTGAATGTGTAAGCAATGACATACCGATGCAGATTTGGATAGATATGGATGGGTCAAAACCCAAGAAATTACCATATGTTGGGGAACGACCATCTATTAACCAGCTATTTTAGGGTACCGTTTGGGTACTGTACCAGGGTTTTGACCCCTATTCATATGCATCACACCAAGTAGCAAACTGAAGAAACTTGTGGCCCGAGAAGAAGAAGTTGTCCATCCAGATCCCAACATGCTGACCATTCTGCTGATTTTTTTTAATGGGAACTATTGGGTGCCACGATAAAATGACCGACAAAGAGGCAGCCCTGTTGAACTTGTTGGAACTGTTGGAACTCATTTTTACTAATGTACCGTTTGGGACCCATTTACCAACTATTTTCGAGGGTTGCGTTTGGTTTTGACCCATACCCAAATTGAGAGTCGCACATCATGGTCGTCGCATCGCCAACATGACCGAGGATATGTTGACTTTGAAGGACGAAGGGTGGCAGTCGGGATGATGCGGCTGGCGTGCCAAGGTTGACATGTTGATTCTATAATCACGTCATGGTTGGTGGCAATCGTTTGCATGCATACCTGAGAAAGACCGGTCATTAGGGTAGACTTTGATCCACGAGTGCGGCACCGGTTTTTGCATGGAACAGGCGACTATCATGTCTGTACACAAAACATTGATGGAGTTGCCACACAGGGTATCTGATATTCACAGGAGTGTTGAGTAGTCGTTAGTTCTGAACTGTGCAACGCTGACGACTCTATCATTGTTGAAATTGGCAAAGCGAGTACAGTCTCTGGCATCTTGAGCATGTTAAGTATTCCCTCCTGTGTTCGTTACATCCCATATATGTTAGGCTAAGTTCATCGTCCTTGTTGGTTGGATCAACAAAACAAACAAATGTTCAATTCACTACTTGCACGCATATCTAGAGAGAGAGAGAGAGGAAAAAAAAACATACTCTATGTGACTAAAAAAACGTGTTCGATGTATATGGAACATAGTTGGTTGAACATAGTTTCCGCAGCATTACATAATTCTATGTGACCTTGCAGGAGTTGCTGAACTCCATTGCCCCAGCGGGCACAGCGAATGCAGCTGGAAGCAGCGCGGGAAACACCGCGCTTTCTGCTGCCGCGGTTTCTGCAGTGTGGGGGCGCTGGGTTTCATGTTGGACACCTGATGACACCTGTGGCCTGAGAATCCATGGCTAAACAGTTGGGAGTGGGTCAAAATCCCCTTATTATCAATTGGAATGGGATGAACATTCATTTACCATCTATTTTTGGGTTCACTAAGTACCAGGCTTTTGACCCATAGCCAGTTGGATTTTTTGGAACTCTGGAAGACCATGGAAGACCAATCTCCTCATTGGATTTTTGGGGAACCAGGAACGAAAATATGGATTTGGGAAGGAGGACCATTTTTGACAAAAGGCTGCTTGTGTGATCATATATCTTGCTGTTGCGGATGTAACATGATTCATAACCGACCAAAAAAATAGGGTTTCTAATGGTTACTAGGACCTAGGAAAAACACGTGGCATTTTAAGAACAACAATTGGTAATTATTTAAACATCACTTGGGATATTTGAGAAGGGGTTGAACCCTTCGGGGGCCACAGGGCCCAAGAGGAACAATATTCACCCACAGGGGCGATTCTGACCCACAATTGCCATCATAGCCATTGATTTGAGGTTTATAAATGTTCATTATTTAGATTGCTTCATATTGCTTCATTTGGGTCTGGGTCAATAGGGAAATCCCATGTGTGTGATCGGGAAATCGTATGAATGAATACATCCGGGTACATTCCTGCAGAAGAAACTGAAGCAAGGCAGTCCACGCCTGGTGAATGATACAGCCGATCGGGGGAATGACCCTAAGATTGGCGAACCTTTCTGCTCGGTGGTTTATATGATTCTGTGATTTATTATTTTCAATTCTGTTTGGCGTCTTTCCCATTGATCCCTAATGACCCATACTGGCCCATACTTCTAGGATGATTAAAAGCACCAAATTGTTGAATGGCTGTTGAAAAATGATGCTTTGCTTTAGCCAGATGGGTGAATTTTAGGATCCTTTTCGTTTTCACAAGAGTCGGGATATAGTAAACTGGCTAAACCTTGCTTTGATTGGCATTTGTTTCAATTGACAGACTAAATTGGTTACAGGGAAGGTGTGCAGGAACGTCCCACATTTGATGATCATGACCCAGGTTTGCTTTTGAATTTCCCTTCAATGAATGCACTGAATCAATGTACTTAAACACCCTTTAAGGTGTTTCAACATGTTCCAACGGAAATATTTCATCAGAAAATCTATTGATTTATTGAGGGCTGCCGCCCCTGCCGCCCACCCCGGAAAACAATATTGGCATTGAAAGCCAGTGATTTTCCAGGTCGCTACGTTAAATCACTTCTGTAGATTGTTGTTTTTTTGGTTATATACTAATTGGATCTTACTGGTTTCTTGGATTATAACAAACAATCATGGGGATATCCATGTGCCAACCAATTTTGGGATGGTGGTATGCTCATGGGGTGATAGTTTTAACGGCTGTTTCTGAAAGTTCTCATTTTGGAAGGCCAAGTGGGCAGTGTCCAAAGACTTTGTGGCCTGGTGAGGTAGCAATCTGGTGATTTTAACGTTGCTATGGAGAAGCACCAGTTTCAGGAGGTAAAACATCATTCCAATCATCTATAGATGGCCCATGGCTGCCATGGTTTAGTTTAAAAACTAGAGGGTAAGTATATGCAGTATGTATAATATATATATAATATACATGTACACACACATACATATATATATTATATATATATACCGTTACCATATATATGTATCTTGTAAATTTGGGTTTATATGCTACTTGATTGATTCTGCAATACCATGGCCCGATGATGGGAACATCGACGTTTACGAGCTTCCCGCAGCGCGGCAGCCCTTCGTCTCTGTGGTCTACGTCCATGCGCATGATACGACACAATTTTAAGCCAAAACATGCTAAAACTTGTTGTTTCACCGGAGACGTACTGAATAGATTTTGCAGGTGTGCAAAATCCAGATTTCCCAGGAACATGGCAGATTTGCCGGATCTATGTTGATTTACCCGGGGGTCTTGTGTGCTTTTATTTGAATACTGCCAGCCCCCCAAAGCTTGCTGCCCCCGCAGAGCCTTAGCCCCATAGTGCTGAAGGACGGAGCCGGCCCGCGGCCTGCAGCTTACGGTGCCTAACGTTGCTTTCTGACCCGACAAGAAACTAGCTCCCAAAAGCTTGCTATTTGCTAGTTTCGGGGCTGCCCCTGCAGAGCCTTAGCCCCATGCTGCTGAAGGCCCGCGGGCTTACGGTGCCTAACAAAAGCTTCTTGCCTTCTTGCCCCTTGCTGCTGGTAATTTCTCCTCTCACGCGCTCCCCCTGCTGCAAGCGGGTTCGGCGGATATATATATATACATATATATATATATCATATATAATTATAATATAATTATAATATATATAATATGTAATATATATAATATATATATAATATAATATAATATAATATATATATATATATATTATATTATAATATATATATATATATTAAAAAATATATTGTATATAGTATAATATATATTATATATAGAATACATATAATACATATAATATATATATATAATATAGAATATATATAATATATAATATATATAATATAATATAATATATATAATATATTTAATTTTTTATATATAATATATAGTATATATATATTTAATATTATATGTATGATATATATTTAATATTATATGTATGATATATATTTAATATTTTATGTATGATATATATATATATTGAATAATTATAATATATTATATATTTAATAAATAATATATATAATATATATGATACATATATAATATAAATGATACATATATAATATATATGATATATATATATATATAATATTTTATATATAATGTATATATCATGTATATATATGATATATGATATATTTATAATATAAAATATTTATTTTGTAATATATATATATAAAAGGATATATTATTTTAGTAATATATATATATATTTATTTACTCAAGAACATATATTCCAATATATTCCATCCATAGGGATGATTCCCGTTCATTCCATTTATATATCCATTCTGTCATGGATGATTTTGTCACCATGTGGCAGGCCAGGACCTTCTGGTGGTGCGGCTGCGAGCTGGAGTCCCAACGGAGTGAAGCAATGATCCCTTGAAATGCATCAGTTATTTTTGACCAATAGTAATGTATGTAAATCAAGAATTTATTAACTGACTACGATTAATATGTATATATAATATGTATTATATTTTATTAGTATGATCCATGTATACAATATCATTTAGCCCATTGTCATATATGCTGCTCCATATTAATGGAATATGTAGACCAGCATTGTAAAGAACATTTCTGTAACTCCAAAACTACACAGAAATGTATGCAAGTGGAACATGTGGGGACGATTAAGTAGCTGCTTGATAAGCATGTCGAACTATACGTGAGCCATTTATGGGATAATTCCAGCAATCGAGGACTGATTTCCAGGGTTAGTTTCATCAGTTACGACCGATGATCCTCAAAATGGGATCCCTGAGGTTAGTGAGAGGTTAGTGGCTGGGGTAAATCTGAACTATCTCAGTCGCAAGGGGTTATAACCCAATTTTTTGTTACTTTCATACTTATGTTTCACATCTTGTGATGCCATTTATGTTGGTGACAGACCCTAATTTATGTTAAAACCCAACTCCAGTTGGATTATCTTGGTATGGCATCTTCTAAATAGAGAAACCAAATTGGACACCCGGAAATCATGAGGTCTTAAATTCAAATCAAAAAAACATGTTACCATCTATTTGGACATATCAGGTAAATCTCCATTGATATAATTCGGAGTTTCCCCCGATTTTGGCAGGTTGAAACACCCTCCCAAGTGGTAATGGTGCTGGAAGTACATAATTCAGTATTTTTTGGGAAAATTACCCCAAAGACTATCCAGTTTTATAAGCAAATATACCGGGACCGTGGAGCATTTCCCCATCATTTTTTGTTGGTTAAAGCATGTTAAAACAAGTTTCCTTTGTAACTATTTGTTTTTGGAACATGGTTTGGGTTTGTCTGAAAATAGGGCACCCCAGAATTCATTGTCCCAATTAAAATAGCATACAATTGCTATTTCAGGGAATTCACCATTAAATTGACTATTTTCAGACACAGCCAACTATTGTGAATTGTATATCGCATTCTATCACATTAATTGTCTGTTTTTGTTGGTTTTATCCAATGAATATCCCATTCTATCCGTCATAAACCGGTTCCTGTGACCATCCACAGGTCAGCCCTCTGGCTGGAGTCGCAGTGCTCAGCTTCGGGTGCCGCCGTTGTTTCGGAGTAGCCACATTCAACAAAACCAAGAAATTAGGCTAACTAGGGTTTATACATATATATATATGTAGTGTATATATAGAGAAATAGATATAGATATAGATATAGATAATACAGCTAATGGGGGTTATAAACCAACTTTCATGGTTTTCGCCGGAAGAGTGAGGAGGCTTAAGCGATATTGGATGGATTTCACCAACATGAATGCGGAATTCACCAGCCAGCCAAACTTAGGGGTTCATTGGAATGTCGTCAACCAAAGTGCAGAGATGTCACCAACCAAAATGGTTCGGAATGAAGAATTGTTGGTTGATAGTTGATACAATCAGTCCCATATTTTTTGAACGAAAGAACTACACATGTCTTGGCGTTTCGCCAATGGGAGTTAACAAGGGCCCATGGTCGAATTGCTTAAACAGATTGAACATTGAACCAATCATAGCAAATCCATCCAATAATCCACTCGCGCAGCATGGAACCCCAGAAAATTATGGTTTTGGACATTTGCCCGTCTATTGGAAACGGCAATTTGTGAGTTCCAGTTCTATTTATTTTGGGATAATTAATATGTTATATAATAATTAGATAGAGCGTTTGGGTGGAATGCGGTTCTAATTTTCCACCAGCTTTATTGGGATCAGTAACTTTACAGGGCCCTCAAGAAAGAAATGCGACAACAACTGGGTATGTTTTGCAGATAGGGTACTCGCAAATCCGCTAGTCAATAATCGGTTTCCCTGGCAAAAAGGGCCATGTGAGGGTATACCTACCCCATTTTAAAGTTTCAGAAACAGCCCAAAACTAAATTAAGGATCAAGTTTGTTTAATATGTTATCATATACCTGATAGATCATCATTTTATGATTTTATGATTTTCATGTGGTAAATCCAGCAATTTTCCGTAACACACCCTAATACAGTTGATGATTGCTGAGGATTCCAGGTGAATCATATAGACCTCCCCACAGCATCACCAGAAATGAATAGAAATGATGGGTAGTGACAGGAACCTTCTCAAAGCACTTTAGAAAATACTTGATCTATCTGTCATTATCTGTCATCATCGTGCTGAATTAGAGAACAGGATGATGGGGTTTTCAAACACATTCCCGTTTTAGTGAGCCATTCGTGAAAATTCCAACTTCTACTCCAGGATGACCATTGGGGGGTAGGATTCATATCCAAATCATAACAGGAATTTTATGGTTCAATCCTGTTCCATATCCATTAGTAATGGTAATTATAGAGCTAAATCCCACAATATCCATTGATCTCCATACACCTAACTAGGTAAACTCGGGTTTATGGTAGAATATGGTAGATATACATCTAAAGGATTCTAAAGGTAAGGGTCGCTATAAACCAACAACCATATGGATACCACCTTGCAGAAATGGCTGATGGCCACCATCAAACTGCCGTGCATTCGACTGAGGTCTCTTCGGACAAGCGGGCCGAGTTGGAAAACTCAGCAAATCAATCGATGGGTGATACATGAGGGGCTCAATCTGCGGGTATCTATGCACTTCTGTTGGTATACATCATACCCATGACGGATCCATGGTGCTGGTATATATGCTAACATAAAGGGGGTATATTGATGGTAAATGTTACCATATATAGCATACATGGATCCTATGGGATATGCAGTTGGTAAAGCTAAATAACAATACCTGAGAGTGTTTGGTGGTTCCAGGCAATTGTTCAATGTGGTATACCTGCGAATGTGCTACATCAATGCAAACAAAACAGCCTCAAAGTTCACAGTTTGACTTAAAAAGACAACAGCAACACTAGAATAATGGATAGAAACCCACCAAAACATGAAGGTGTGCCCCCCAAAAAATTAAAGCAAGGTTTCTCATTGGGTTCATTTGGGTTCCCTTGGGTGTTTTTTCCGGCGAAAATGTCAAAAGTGAAGCCACCAAGGATGTCGGCCTTTGGGAGAAGGACCTGAATCGCTTGGGAAACGAGATGAGTCCCTGGGCTGGGCAAGATGAAGTGGCTGCTGGTCATCTGCAATGGTTGGTCAATGCATTGAGTTAAGACAAGTAAACTGATTGGTGGTTTCAAACATGTTTTATTTTCCCCAATAGTTGGGATGATGATCCAATCTGACTAATAACTAAAATTTTTGAGGGGGGTTAAAACCACCAACCAGTAAGACAAGTAAAGGACAATGGTCAAAAACCTTCATTTATTTGAGGAAGTATGAGGTAGTCAAATTCTGCAGCGATCTTGGTGCCCAAAAAGAGCGGCGTATTGTTGCATGGAAGTGGATCATATTTTTTACCCAAGACTTGCCATGGCGAGAACTGCGGAAGCCCGCAGGGGCAGTGTGGTCTAGATTCACCACGGGTGCCAAACTGAATCTCTTTCCACTGGAAAACTGTCACTGAACTCAGGTCAAGGACTACCAGGAATTGAGAGTTGGGTGCTCAGCATGACAATGTCGCTTGCTGTGTCTGAAAATGTGGGATGGGCACCCAATTTCTTGGGGAAATGGGGAACATATTGAGAATCCATGGGATTCTTAAGTACCTCAAGTCCCAGACTAAGCTAGTGAATGATTCCAAGGATCATTTGTTTGCAATCCTACCCAGGATGACTGTCCAATTGTCCCAATTGATCCCAATTAATTACTATGCTTTGGCGTGGACCCAACCAGATGTGCGAAGAAGAGGGCAAGTAGGGATTGAATGTGTTGATATGTTCCAGTACCAGATTTGACAATTCAGAAACTGGCTTAAGCTCTTTAGTGTCATACTTGAATCTTTTGCCATCAATAGGATTACGTATGCTAACCAGCTTTTTTTTTTGTGGAGCTTTCCTAAGTCATGGGGGTACCCCCAGTTATCCTCGATCGGAACTCCCATGGCCAGTTGGGGGTGTATTCCTCGACTGCAGATGAAATTCAGCGAGACGTCTACTACGAGAAGCCGACATGCTTGTGATCCGTGCGGCACTTCCTCTGGTTGATATCAGTTACCCTCTGGTTATGACTAACATAGCTTTGGAAAATGGCCCATTTACAGATGATTTTCCCATCTAGAAACCTCCATTTATAATGGATTTTCCATAGCTATGTTAAATAACCAGATGGTACCTGGAATTACTGTGTGTTACTTCACGTTCAGCTCACAGCAACGACATGTGGTTTCAATTCAACATGTCGATGTCTTGAGGGTTTTTGTTTAGATCCCTGCCCCTATGATTTCTGCGGAGATTTACAAAACTCTATCCAAGGATGAAATTCCAGTTTTTTAAATTTAATTGATGTTGATTCAATCAATTTCAATCATTTTGATCCAAACAACGAGTCGATTGTGTGAAATTACCCTCTGGCTATTTAACATAGCCATGGAAAATCACCATGCTGTTAATAGGTAAACCATCTATAAATGGGCCATCTATACCATGGCTATGTTAGTCATAACCAGATGGTAGTCTCACCATCATGTGATGGTCCAGCTTTTTAGTGTGACTGCAGTGCCATCCCTAGGGGATTCCCCGTAGAGATCAGAATAGTAGGTATATGTTATCAACACGTATCAACTCTCAACGAGTTTTCTAACTATTTGAACCACACTAGTAGAGATCATAGATAGATCTATATATATATATAGATCTATATAAAATTATAAAGATGTATTTCTAACGACAGTTGGTTTTTCTTCTGCTGATGGCCAGGCAGAACATTTGGGCACCTTCGGCAGTGCTCAAAGCCTTCTCAGAGGCGTGCGCAAATCTTGGGACAACAGCGTGGCAGGTACCAACATCTCCTCCGAAAGTGACAAAACCTGGTTGGTCGTTTGGAACATTTTCTATTTTTTCCATATATCGGGAATAATCATCCCAACTGACTTTCATATTTTTCAGAGGGGTAGGTCAACCACCAACCAGAAAATGACCCCACATTGACATAGATGTAGCATACATGGGAGATACATGGAGCCATAGATAGAGCTGGGAATGGTTGTCCTGAACTGGTGGGCAGATGTTGGTGATTTTAGCAGGAAGCCATCCCCAAGTCCTGAATGTGTTCTAGATTCTAGCCGGGATGGGGCCCCCGTTTGAGCTCGCGTTCAGTTGCCTGAAAAAAGTTGCTGAATTCTATGGTTTAAGGATGTTCCTGGTAGATAGAACTATGGTTTTCATGGGGTGTTTAAATAAACCAACGTTCACATTTTTCTGGGGGGCAGCAATTTTTTGTGGCCGGGATGGGTCTCTAGCACTGCCATCCCTGGTGTTTTCCGAGTTGTGATCATCTTGGCCATCATCTACCTGCTGGTGGGTTCCTTCATCAAGTGCCCCGTGCGGGATCCATTTGGATCCCCCAAAACCCAGGGAATCCCACAGACACAACGGTGATGACATGGAGAGGTAACTGGGAAACTGGGTGGATTTTCACTGTCCTATATCTCAAATAGATTACATATAGATTACATATGATAACCACGAATTCATTATACTTGGTGGTTCATCCCAGTCAGTAAGTGGATTATAACCCCGGTTATAAGTGAACTAACCCTACTTAGCCCAGTCATAACCAGGGGTATAACCTACTTACTAAGTGGGAGTGAACCACCAAGTAGTTATACATAAATACCCTCCTCTAAACGTTTCATGTGGAAAGCCCACCAGAAATGTAGATCAGAAACCAGATGGCTTTTCCATATCGTAAATGATTTAAACACGTTTAAGCCAGACATATCCCATGAATTCCAGTTCTTATTGGGTAAACGCCCATCGGTTTACCTCAACCATTCTTTGTATCAATGTCCACCCCAGGTACCAGCTCATGGGCGCCTCAGGCTTCCGCCTCAGAAAATGATCGACGCCAAATACAAAAAGCACATCTTGACACCAAGGAAAAAATGGGATGTGAATGAACTTAACCAGGAAAAAACATAATTTTTGGCCAGAGAATTGGACTTAAGATGATTTAAGTGGAACAATTTCCAGCCACTCAAATGTGGAGAGAGATGATGCTCCATGCTCAAGGACCACCCCAGCAGTGGCTCATGAATGGTTGATATGACTATATGGCTTTGTCTAAAAACAGCGTCGAATGAAATATGATGGTTACTCATGGTTAATCATGTTTGTTCCATTCGAATTGCAAAAAATGCCATTTCAACGATATACCCCCTTTTCAGACACACGCATATGTTTTATATATATATATAAATGTCATATGGTTTTGTCTGAAAATGTATTGACACATCTCCTTAAAATTCATGGTTTGAAAGCTCTTTTCCCCTGACATCCAGCTGATCAGTTCGGGGCTTCAGCATTAGGCACACTTTGTATACTTGTATCCCATAGGATCCATGGTGCTGGTATATATGCTAACATAAAGGAAGTATATTGATGGGATCCATGGCACACCATATATAGCAGCACCATGGATCCTATGGGTATATATTTCTTGATTCCTGGCTTGTGCAACCTATTTCGACTGGCCGAGCTTAGGAATCAATGCCATTCCTCATGTGGGCTTTTGGCTGGAGTTGGAGAGCCCAAGATCGAACAATCGAACAATGCGTGTGTGACCCTTTTGCAATACGCTTGGTGGTTGCCAACATGTCCATTCGGGTGTGTCTGAAAATAGGCTAAACCCCTAAACCCAATGGTTTTGCTGATCATTATCCCTATTAAATGGCTATAATTGGGAATATACCCTATTTTCAGACAAACCCATTCCTACGTTCATTTTGATTTGGGATGATCAAAAATTGCAAGACGTTGATGCGTCGTGGAACCATTGGGTAACGTTGAAACTACCGTTGCAGCATATCTATTGGTAGATATATAATGGAAAACACCAGAAATCGATTTTGGTAATCCATCCATGCTTGATTCACCTAAAAGATTCCAAGTGACTTTGGAAATTGTTTGTCCTTTCTTGTTTGGTCCGAGTGAATTACTCATGATGCCGTGAACTTTGTGACTGTTCGAAACCATCACATGCAGTCCATCATTGGTTGGTGGTTTCCAAGATTTATTAGCTTTCAAAACTAAGCGTCCTACGTGCGATTTCGGTCCCCACTGACTCATAGTTCTCCAGCATTGAATGAGGGGAAAATCTGCACGAAAGCCTTACATTTGGTAAAAAACTATGGCTTCTATACTTGGTTCCCTCAAATCAGTCCATTGAATTATGAACACCCATTCTGGTTGGTGGTTTGGAACATGTTTTCCATATATTGGGAATAATCATCCCAACTGACTAATATTTTTCAAGATGCTTAAAACCACCAACCAGAACGCCATAATTTCCGATGGTAAAACAGAGTAGGTATCCCCTTACCAAAACCACCTCATCACCTCGTGGCGGCCAGTTATCCACAGCTTGTGATAGATGGTGTGACCTACTCCAAGATCCTTCTAGGCGGGACCAAACGGCTTTGGGATAGGAGAAGTACAGTAGGCTCCATACGTATAAATATATTGTCTAGATGTGATGATATGCGTATCAGGTATTTTTTTCAGTATATTGTATCGTCCTATCGAAACCCGAAAAGAGATCAAAACCTTTTGACGGATTCCGGGATGTTATAGATGAATTTCTCTTCATGATGTCCAGCTTTCCAAGAATTCTGCTTATGTTCTGCTTATCTTGGGCCATCCTGGTGACGTCTTGGAAGGATTTGAGGCATGTCTCATGTTACTGCAGAGTTTGGGGATCACAGATTGGAATGATTTGGAATGCCTATTTTCAGTGTTAACCATCCAACCAATTATTGGGGTACTTAATGTTGACCCATACCCAAAGGATTTAAATGTCAAAAAGAACCGAATGACTTGATATCATTACCATAAGCATAACCATTACTGATTGGTGGTTTGGAACATTATTTTCCATAATATATGGGATAGTCCTTCCCATTGACGAACTCATATGTTTCAAGATGGTTATTGCACCACCAACCAGATTATTATTAACCATCATTAACCATATCAAAACCATCATCATTAACCATTATTAACAGTATATTAACCATATTTAACCATAGATAAACCATCTATCCACTATAAATGGACCATTTTCCATGGCTTTTGAAAGGTTTTTAGCTCCCCTAGCTACGCCATGACGGCTCGTTTGGCCAACGACCAACACGCCCGCAGATGGCGCCATGGGAAAGGCGCCGCGATCTCAAAACTTCGAGGATCTCTATGGAGGCCTTCACATGTGGTGCGCTAAGGCCCCCAGAAGTTATAAGTTGTGTTTTGACCACCATTATCCATAGATATTACATATGTATATATATATATGTACATACATATATATATACATACATATATATATATATACATATATGTATACATATATATATGTATATATATGTATACATATATGTATATATATATGTATGTATATATATATGTATGTATATATATATGTATGTATATATATATATGTATGTGTATATATATATGTATGTATATGTGTATGTGTGTACTAATTACAGTATTATGTGTAATTACATTTACTATATTATATGTACCATTGACCCCTAGTTAAGCTACTCATGATCATCGACTTCACACAGCTTAGTCATGCCTTCGTTATACCAGGGCTGAGATAAGTACTGGGATGAGCCCACTCCATCAGTCTGGAGCGATGGTGACGAAATCCAGTTTTTGAAACACCGTGATTGTAGAAAATCAATGGATCATCAATCCAGTTAAATGCAATGAAATCTAGTTAAAACTGACCGTGTTGGTTTTAAAACCAATTTTACTGTGGATTCCTGGACATTGATTGTAGATAGGGAGCTTGTGATGAACAGACACAGGAGCTTCATAGAAGCACTAAATGCGAACATCACATTAGAATGTACCCTCCGGTAATTTAACATAGCTATTAAAAATTGCCATTTATAGTGGATTTACCCATTAATAATGGTGATTTTCCATAGCTACGTTAGTTTACCAGAGGGTACGTGCATTGTACATGCATTGTACCTGCATTCAAGGGAAACCTGCCAAATCCCGGTCCACCTGGACATGGAGCGGTAAACCTCCTTGCAGGTTTAGATGGAAGCGTTCGTGGAATGTCTTTGGGACCCTTGGCTGATGGTCGCTGGATATCCCCTTAGGGAGGCTGTTGGATTTCTGAGAAATGCTTTTTTGGTGAAACTGGCAATCTGATTGCTTGAAGCATTGCATGTTTTCCATCTGCAAAATGAACGGTGATCGCTATTGAGATTGTTCGCCATGTTACATGTTCATGTTTCCTTGGTGAAATCTCTGCTAAACGCCCCATGTTCGGGGAGTGATCAAATCTTTTTGAACTCTGGTAAAAGAAGGATATATTTATCATAAACCCTAGCTATTACAGTTTACAAACTTCACTATCATTAAAATCAGCTATCAATCCCATTCAATCCGCATTTTCCTTGGTGAAAATCACCATGTTACCATGTTTTTCACCATTTTCCCATGGTTTTCCCATGGTTTTCCCATGGTTTTCCCATGATTTTCCCATGATTTTCCCTACTGTTCCCCTGGGTTGTGGCGGTTGAACCCTCGTCCCCCGAGGTCGCGGTGCTGGCGCCGGAGCCTTCGAGGCTCTCTGAGCGGTGGAAAAAAAAACGTCCGCGTCGTCGTCGTGAATGACCGCAGATGGGTCCGGCGGAGGAATGGGGAATTCATCGACCTATGCTGGTTAGTGATTTGCTATGGAAAATCACCATTTTTTTGGGGAAAATCCACTATAAATGGCCATTTTCAATAGCTATGTTACATTACCAGAGGGTAGTAGTGGGCTGCTGGATATCCCCTTAGGGGCTTGCAATGGCTGGAACACTGGTTGGATTTCTGAGAAATGGTTGGTTGGTGGTGACTGGAACCATGGACCTATGGTTTGTTTGGGGCAATGATCCCCCATTTTGGGGCTATGAATATGATTAATATGCTATGGGATGATGATGGATATTCAACTGGTATGGGATATATGATCTGCTTGGTGGTTTGGAAGCATGAATGGATTGTTGGGAATGTTCTTGATCCCAACTGACGAACTCATATTTTTCAGAGGGGTAGGTATACCACCAACCAGGGATAGTAGTGGGATAGGAGCAAGGATATCACTTGAGAATAATCAATATATAATCATGGTCAAATAATGATCAAATATGATCAGATAATGATAAGGATGGGATAATAAGATAAGTACAAAAATGATCAAACATGATCTTTCAATTTGACAGCAAGAAAGGGATATTACTTGGGATAATATTGGGATATATATAATAATGATGATAATGAAATATTTTTTCATCCACAACCTTGGATGAAAATTTAATCCTTTAGTTTCTTGTCTTATACCCTCTGGTAATGACTAACAGTTTGCTATTGAAAATGACCATAGAAATAGTGGATTTTCCCATAAATTGTGATTTTCAATAGCTATGTTAGTCATTACCAGAGGGTAAGTGGTAAATTGCCATCACCAGACAATTTTTTTCTGGACTACCAAAGGTTGACCGTGAAATCAATTAGACGACGATTGAACATTGACCCATGATTAACCAAGAATTTGTGGAATTAGCCGCATTAGCCAATGGTTTGACCAGTGATTAACCTAAAATTGAAATTTAACATGATTAAACCAATGATGAGATGGGTGTGTCTGAACATGCTGGGGAATAAACCAAGAACAATTGGGTATAGCCCAACAATATTGGGGGAAATGGTGGGAATCTAATTGAATAGAACCACCAAATGGGTTTGTCTGAAAATTATGAGACAAACCACACATTTGATAGTTTGACAACCTTACTTTTCCCTATCAAGAATTGCCATTTGGGGGAAAGCCTCTATTTTCAGCCCATTCAGGAGTTGATCCGAACATATCCGAAGTAAAGATCTGGTAATGTGCTACACCCGTCATAAACTATCATTAAGTCACCATCTCCAAAGTCACCATGGGCCGCTGATATCTTTACCAGTCATTGTAGGTGCCAGGGTTGCCCACTTTAGGGACGACCCTGGCGGCTTTTTTCGGGACGACCTGAATGTTAATGTGTTTACCCTCCGGTGTTATCAAACATGGCTGGGAAAATCCCGGGAAAATCCCCCATTTGTAGATTTTCCAGCCATGTTTGATGAAACCGGAGGGTAAACACATTGTGCCATGTTGATGGAGAATAGCGGGTCCAAGATGCCAAAATCAGCAATGGTTGTGATGGGACTTCATGTAATCGCTTAAGTTTATTGATTCTATTCATATTATTCATGAATCTGGGACCGAAAAACTGGCATTATTAAATATTATTAATAGGTAAGTTGGGGTTCATTCACACGAATTGAAGCAACTAGATAGCATGATTAATGCATATCAAACCAATACAAATATGGAGGGTACTGAATGACGAACATGGAAATTGAATAAGGTGACCTCGAATCATCAAGAAGAATTGCCGGGACTTGAGAACCGGATGTTTTTTATGTTTTTTTGCATGATTGGGGGATTGAAACAAGCAGAATGTGTGAGTTCACCTACTGCAATTGATATTTTACCACCCAAGAAGTTTGGCATTTCTTTGTCGTCAAAGACATTGGGAGTTAGACAGCAACCTATGAGATTTCATTGACAACATCCGGGATTGAAGTGGCAAGATATGAGCATTAAACATGTTTTTTACGCGCAAAGCTGGGGCGCTTTTTATATTTTTTGTGGCCATTTGCATAGCAGAAATGATGAGCAAAACCATGGCGTTTTGATGCGCTAGTCACTAGTCCTATTTACCAATGACGCCATGATGCCAATCCTGGAAATGGTGAGTGAAATTGTTGGCAAGGGTGTTCTGGATCCATGGTGGGAAAATCGTGTTCGTATCTTGAAGAAATATCTGAAACGAATAGAAACTACAGAATTAAATCCTGAGTTTGAGGTAGTTCAACGACCACATTTCCTTATTTTCGCCCAGAAGGATCTCTTCATGTGGCGAGGGAGAGACCCAACATGATCCAGCGACTCTACGACAAGCAGAGCCAAAACATCAGCGTACAAGTCATAGCCAAAGATCAGAAGGGTCTGTATATTGATCATACCAGTATACAGACCCTTTGAGTATACTAAACACTAGTATGATCAAGAAAAACAGACCATGTGGCTTTATCCACATGACATTTTGAGTACCCTCTGGTAATTTAACATAGCTATTGAAAATCACCATCTTTAATGGGAAAATCCACTATTTTGATGGTCATTTTCAATAGCTACCTTAATTTACCAGAGGGTATACTAAACACATTTATCTCAAGATGTCTCAAGATCTCCCGAAAAGGCCATGATTTCTGTGGTTTTTTCTGGTCGTTTGCACCTGGATGCCACCGTAGCCCGGCTCGGCTCACAGAAACTGTCACGGTAACCTTTAAGGCCTGCGCGGGGCGATGCGTGATGGAAGAGTTTAGGACAGGAGATAGTTAGCCCAAAAAAAATGGGGAAACCATGGGAAACCAACCAGGATATGGGAATATTAGATGGATACAGGACAATAATAGTTTGATGTGATGTACAGTGTATATGTGTTCCGCTTTAAAACCCCTTTTTTTCATGCAGACTGGAGGATTTTCTCTTGCAGTTGTTTAAGTGCAAAAATGACAAAAGAAGCGATCCTCTGGTATTTCAGCATATGTATGTATATATATATATATGGACTACATGTACTAGCAATATGTTCAATAGGTACATCATCGGACTCAAGGAGGAAACAATAAGCGACCAAGGAAAGAAACACATTTGTTTCTAAGCTATCGGTTGGTAGTTTAGGATCGATTCTGAGCTCTGGATATCTTCACAACAAAACATTGGGAGCTAAGGAATTCGAAATAAGTTTCCCAACCATACAGGATGGGGCCCCCGTTCGAGAACGCGTTCAGTTGGTGAACATCAGTGGCTTAACAATGGTTTATGGTAGATATAACTATAGTATTCATGGGGATTATAAGGGTTTATAAACCAACTTAGAACTGTGGGGGCCCCATCCTGTATGATGTTTTTTCCTGAAAATAGAGTACCTCGAAATCCATTGGATATACAATCACAATTGTCCCATACGTTCCCATATATTATCTGGCATGTTTTGGGTATACGGTATACCCCATTTTTAGGCAGACCCATATTTAAGTGTTAAGCCCATGAGTTGGAGTTGGACAACCAATCATCCATTCAGATAGTGTGAACTCGTGGATCATTAAAGAAAGGCCTTGCAGATATGGGGTACCCCCAGATGGATGGTTTGTTTCAGGGAAAATCCATCTATAAATGGATGATAACTGGGGGTACCCCTATGACTTTGGAAACCTTCATATGTTGTATCATAAGTGAAGCAGCTGGATTGATGAATTCAACAGTGGAAAAACCATCCAAGCTACTGTACAACTGGACATTAAGGCCCAACATTTGATTGAGGCATCACAAGCCATGGCTGGTCTTGAAAAAAGCTGTGACAAATATGCTTAAAATCAATTGAAACACAAATTTATATATCAATTTCTCATATGAATTGAATCCAATGGGCTGCCCGGGCCTTTTTCCAAATCTTCTAACGGGCCTTGGACAACAAAGAGCGCGTTTTCCAGGCCGCAATGAGACAGCAATCGACCTGGACAACAAGGCGAGGAATCGCGGCTTTTTGGCGTTTTTTTGCGTGTGGCGCCACACGGTTGATCAATCGTAAATTATTTTAGGGGAATCATCCCCAAAAATGCTGAGTAATAGGGAAATATCAAGAAATATCATATGAAATATCATTAATAATGGTTAGTTATTAATAGGGAAATCATTTGGTCGAAGAATTCCGGTGAGTGATATATTTGATATATTTTTGAATTTACCCAGATCCATGAGTGTCTAATTAGTAGCTGTGTACACTGAAAAACACGTTGCGGCTGCATCAGGGTTGAGCACCATTTCTGCAGGTTGTACCGGGTTGTAACCAGCCATCTCCTCAAAATATCAAGCAAATACCAGCAAATCCAGTATTCATTGATTAAGTATGGTCAAAAGCATATGTAAATCCACATTTTGCATGAACAAAACTCCCAATTAATCAAGTCTCACGATTGACTTCCCAAGAGGTTTTGAACTTGGAACGAACTTCTAGGTGCTATGATACTCCACCCAGACAATGCTCTGGAAGGTCTTGTTGTGTTTCCATGTACATATATGTATAATACATATATGTATAATATATATATATATAATTATATATATATATGTATTGGTGTGTTTGAACGTGGTGTATACCCCTAAAATTGCAATTTCATTCTGGCTAACCACTGACTAACCCTTCCAGGAGTTGTTTTTTCGCACCTCCCAGTTGATAGATAGATAGATAGATAGATAGATAGGCAGACAGACAGACAGATAGATAGATAGATAGATAATATTATTCTAAGATGATATAAATATGTATAATATTGTAATATGGTAATAGATTATATATATAATTACTATAAACCCCTGCTTGACCTACTCATGAAATTCTGTACTTTTGGCCTTAGCCCGGCAGACGTCCACCCAGGGCGCTTTGTTTTTCACAAACACCGGCCCAAACAGGCCCAAAGGCACGCATCGAATTTGTGCCAACGATGCCTTTGGAGGTGGAGGGTCAACAGACCATATTTTTGGCCCAAAAGAAAAGGAAGATGCGGCTCCTTCCGCCACCTACCAGGCCCAAAAGAAACAGAACAAGAAGGAAACTGATGAGTAGTAGTATGACATCCCTTTGCCAGGCACCGGTTGACCTTATCGCTGACCTCTTCGGCGGCCCAAGGCCACGAAACTTATAAGGCCAACGACTGACTTTGTGGCACCTGCGAAGATTTGACTCCCTGGCCTTATCTACATGGCATTTTGCCTATACCTTAGCTGCTAAAGACAATATGCCGCTGGAGTCGATGGTGCCCAGTTTTACAGATGCAGAGAGTGGCCCACTCGTCGGCCTCGTTACGGCGTCTCATACCATCAGTTTCGTAGACTCTTGATTGATCATGGAGGTTTCCAACATGGTGATGTTATCTTACTTTAGGACATTGGATCAAAGAAGTATATACCTGTGTCATGATGTCATGTGATATGATGATAATAACCAATATGGATGATATTCATTATTAATATCAATATGTATAATATCATGTGTAAAATGTATATGATAAATATGTATAGTGATGTCATATTCATATGGATCTTACATGACTTAACACTTGTCATAGGAACAAGCACAGGGATTCCACTTTTTTCAGCAACAAGAGATGGGGATTTGAAGAACACACATGTTTGTGGGTTTGAATGAGGGTACATGGGCTAATCATGATAATATTTTAGATATATATGTTTGTATGTTGGTATATGGTAGAATAATCCCGATAATGATATTCATATCATATTTTGGTATATTGTAGTCATGATGAATCATCAAATACTTGGGATTAATCATAACCCTCATCACCATATTGATATATTGGAAATAGCACCTTCCCCCTCATTTTACTAGTTGATAGGTTTCCCGAAAAATGAGTTAGTTCATAATCCCATACATAATATATACGACTGGTTGGTGGTTTGGAACATGTTTTATTTTTCCAGATATTGGGAATAATGATCCCAACCGACTAATATTTTTCAGAGGGATTGAAACCACCAACCAGACAATCTTATATAATCCCCAATAAGGAGGTGGTAGAACTCCTTCCAATAACCAATAGGCTCAAAGATTACCCTCTGCTAAACGTTTACAGTTTATCAGCTTGTCATCGAAAAAAACTGCTAAAAACACCATAGAAACATGGAAAACCATGGAGTTTACCATCCAAACAACTGCTAAACGTGGTGATTTTCCATGGTTTTTTGTATGTTTCGCAGAGGCGAAATCCATGGCTGTGGCCCAGGCCCAGGCGAACAAGCACGGCCTTTACCCATGAGCCCAGGAGGATGACAGCTTGGGGGTTGGGGGTTAATATTGGCTGACAAATATTGGTTAACTGGTTGGTAAATTAAGAGTTGGACCCTGAAAATCACCAATCTTTAGTGGAAACTCATCTTCCAACCCCTATCTGGCATCTATGTTAATTTAACTCTGGTAAACTAACAGTTTGCTATGGAAAATCACTATTTTTAATGGGTAAATCCACTATTTTGATGGCCATTTTCAATAGCTATGTTAGTTTACCAGAGGGTAACTGGTTGGTGGTTTGGAACATGTTTTACTTTTCCACATATTGGGAAAATTCATCCCAACTGACGAACTCATATTTTTCAGAGGGGTAGGCATACCACCAACCAGTTAATAGTGGTTAATATTGGTTAACAATGCCATAAACCATCCAAAACTAGTGGTTAATATTGGTTAATATTGTTTGAAAATGGTTAATAGTTGGAATAATGTGGGTAAAACAATGCCATGTTTACCATCCCCAAGTCATCCATAGATATTCCATAGATATTCCCGAAAAATGATTCTCACTCATATCCATAGAAAATGAAAATTCACCATTTTTATAGGTGGTAGTGGTATGGTTACCATTCCCAGTCATGAGTGGTTTATTGTTTTACCCACATTCGCCTATTTTCAGAGCCATGTGGTTTCTAATCTCTCCATCCAAGTGCTTGACCCTAAGCATCGGCTATTTGAAGAAAATGTCTTGGCGGAGTTAGGCGGAGTTGATGTTAGTTTTCAGGCCCAGATGGAAACCACAGATGGGCTGATCATTTTTGGATTTTAGATGATGTTTGCACATTTTATTTGTGAAGATCACTTTAATTTATCATATGTTAGCATGTGTTAGATGAATTTATAAATGATCTTTGGTGTTCTGGTTTGGATAGTCAAGGTTGACCTTGGAGATTAGGTGTTTTCTTCATCTTGCATAGACAAGGGTGTATACCCAGAAGGATGGCTATGTGATGCTGCATGGGAGTCAGAATGTGAGATCCACAAAAAATGTAAGATTTTGATCGCTTTTATAGAACCAGCATCCCCATTTTGGTTGCCCAGTTTGTTGGTTTATAAACCTCACTATTTATCGTTACAAATCCATTTATCGTAAATCAGCTATAAATCCCATGAAATTCCATTTTTTTTTTTGAAATCAGATTTGCCCCGGCGTAAAAACACAACGGGCACAGGTCAACTGTGGGAGAAACCCTGAAATTTATGCCCGTGTTCCCATGGTGTTGAAAATGTTGCTGTATAAATATATATATATATATGATACATGTATGTCATTGTACGTGTATATATATACGTACGTATATATATATATATACGTATATGTATATACATTATGTATATATATATATACACAAGTATATATATAATATACACGTGTATTATATATATAAATACATGGCATTGTCTCTATAATATATAAATATATATCATACACGTATCCGTGAAGTATCCAGAAGTATGTAATTATATGTGTAGCTCAATTTACACATTCTCGTTTGAGCCATTTGCAAGTATTCCAAGCATATAACAGGAATCACTGGAGATTCTATTCAAAATTCCAGCACTTGGACATTGAAAAGCACGACGGGAAACCCTAGAATGCTGACACCATTCCTTTAACTGTTTGTGTTTGTGTCTTTTCAGATTTTTCAACGTTTCCCCACATGATTTGGTACCAACTGAAGCTACCCGAGAGTTGGTAGATCTGGATGATACACGAGGACTTCCCCCCATTTGGATGGTCGAGCCCATGGAAATAGTTGGTGCCCCCACTCTTGTTTGGTAAGCCCACATGTTTGTTGCTTCAGTCACTTTAGTCTCTCCTTATTTTTGGGGTTTAACTGGTTTAACCCCAATTCTCATTGGTTTCAGCCCACGTTTGGATGACATCGAGGACTGCCACGGCTGTTGCGGTGCAGAGTCGCCCACAGGCGAGAAATCCATGGCATCGGATGGCGTGCTTTATGGTGCTTGAAAACCTTAATCTCTTAATATCTCAGCAAAACAACAACATGTGTAGAATATATACATATCATACAGGGTATAATTTTTGGTTATATATGTTGCTATTTATAAACATAGTTTTCCCCTATGTTTGTCTGTATATATATATATACATATGTGCGTGTGTGTGTGATAGTTTTGTTGTAGGGTGGCTTGACAGCGATGGCTTCCCCGCTGATCGCAGAAGATCGCTCGTCGTTTTGGCTCTGCGATTCGTTTCGATGTTTCGATGATGTTTGGTTTCTAGAAGCCCAAACATACCAATGGGGGCCTCATTTTCAATGCTGGATAGATAGGGGGTGAAACCACCCAGCATCGGGATGTTTGAAAAACCATGGGTTGAAAACATCCCATGGCATGTTTATCCCATGGAAAAACCCAACTGAATCCTCATTCAGTTGCAAAATCGGCTGGGTGGAAGAAATCCGATAAACAAAACCTATAAAGGATCTTTGAAAGCTATAAAGAATGGGATGTTTACCACCTATTAACTGGTGCAGGATTTCGCTGGCCCATCCACAGTATGTCTCAAGATGTCGATGTTGATGGGATTTGGTGGCTTTGTCGCAGGTCAGTGTAGGCAAGGTGGTCATGCTGAATTCACAGCACCTGGGTCGTTGAGCGCAGGAATGGGATGGTTTGATGTTAGTAAAGCAATAAGATCCACCATCCTCCATAAATTACCCTTTTTATGGCTGGTATAAACATGTACGGTGCAACCCTGACGTTGCTCCGCCCCAGAATTGCGGAAGGCTTGCGTATTTTTTGAAGGGCCATGTCGGTGGACCCTCAATATTAGATGTATATGTGATCCGTGATCATCCACCATCATCATCATCATCATCATCATCATCATATTCTTATTCTTATTCTTATTCTTATTATTCTTCTTATTATTATTCTTCTTCTTTTTCTTCTTCTTCATCATGATCGTGATGATAATGATGATGAGATCATGATCGTGATCATGATGATGAGGAGGAGGAGGAGGATGAGGATGAGGATGATGATGATTGCAAGGATGGAGCAACAACCGGGTTGGACGGAACATGTATAAACCATGATTTTTCATCAATTTACATGCTTTATGACAGTTGCTTTACTAACATTGGAATGGCAGGGTTTAATAGCCAACCATGATATGGTGTGATAGGATATAGTAGATGTTGTGGTAGCCAATGGATCCATAGATTGGAAAATCAACTATAGATGGCCATTTTCAATAGCTATGTTGAACTACCAGAGGATAAATATGATTGAGAACATCTTAGAGGAGCTTCTCAACAATTTTACCATTTTAGACATGTTGGTTTCATGAAATTACATGCCACAAAATTGTAGTCCGGCCAGAAATGATGGTTATTGGTGGTGATACTACTGTACTCGACTGCCATTTCATCATCACAAGCAGAACCTCACAGGCTGGGCCACAACCGTAGCAGGCTAAAAGATCAACATAATTAAGTTATTACGAAGCGTTGACAGATTAATCAATCTGCATTTTGACAGATAGATGGCATCCAGTTTTGCAGTTGTAGTTTTCTGGTTGGTGGTTTGGAACATTTGGATTATTTTCCATTTCATATATGGGATGTCATCCTTCCCATTGACGAACTCCATCATTTTTCAAGATGGTTGTTGCACCACCAACCAGCTATAAATGGATGTATAAATGGGAAAATCAACTATAAATGGGGAATTGTCCATTGCCATGTTTGACTACCAGTTTTTGGATTGATAAAGTCAACGTCCCCCATGATGAGCATCCCCCATGATGACAGTATTGGGGGATACTGTACCCGGAATAAAGTGAATAAGATGGTCATTTGAAAGGAAATGTTGTTAATACCATATGTTACCATATTTTCTGGAAAAAAACGATTCTTGTTGGTTTACATCATGTTACATCCCGAGTCTTTTGTTTTCGTTCAAGCGGCCATGTTTCGTGAACTACCATTGTTTGTTGGCCAACGACACGTTTGGATACATTTGGGTTGTTTCTACGCATACCTACTTTCCTTTGGTGAATTATCTCCTCATGTTTTATGGTTCGATCTACTTTTGCCATTGCCCGGCAAGTAGGCAACTGGTTTTATCAGTTGGTAAAAGAACCCAGTGCAATTCCCATGTGGAGTTTGGCTGAATTCAACAAAAGCGACAAATCATATGCACATTTTTCGGTTTTTAGCTGATCAGACACATTTTTTTTTACTTATATATATATATAAACAAATGGTACCAAATGCAATTTCTTGAAAAATCAATATCCTGTTTCGATTTGCCGGTTATTCTTCTGAAGAAACCATTCTTCATACGGTACACAGGCAGTTTTTTCTATACTAATATACATCAAGCATACATTATTGTATGTCTATGTCAATGTTGTTTTGATATATGAATATAAATATTGTACACATACACGAAATTGTTTAGTGTTTACACCATAGATCATCAAGTTTGTTCAGTCTGCATTCTTTTTGAATTATATGTATATCCTGTAATGGAGTAAACTGAGTAAACCCAACAATAGACCATCCCCAAGTCATCACCATTTTTATGGGTGGGATTTCAACCATCGGTTTCCCACACTCCCCGTCTTGTTGAGCCTTCATTATAATGGACATCCTGTTATCATTGATCATCGGTTTATTACTAGAGGGGATGATACTACTTCATATATACTCCATCATTCATGATCAATTTTAGATATTAAAGTGTATTTTTATTCACATTATGCTGTTTCATCATTTAAGGATATGCCATACCTACTAGGAATTGTCATCATCCGCTACGGAAATCCCTTACCGTTCCGGAAGGCCACCAATTCACAGGAGTTGGCTTTGTCTGAACACGTGGTATACCCTCAAACATGTGGATGACTATCATGATGATAATAATAAACCATCCTTGGATGATGGTAAACATCATCATTATAATTTACTATGATCATTATCATCATGATAATTGATATGAAATGGATGATAATCATGGATAATGATAGTTATGATAGTTGGATGATAATCACCATTATAATGATTATAATCACCCAAAATATGTTCATGAAAATATATATATATAATCACCATTATGATGAACATTATGAAATGAACATATTATATTCATCAAAATATGATAGAGTATTCATGAAATGATCTGCAATTATACTCATGCATTACTGGCGTTGGAAAGGTGATTCAATATTTTTTCAGGCCCCTCCAAGGAACCCACCAGATGGGTCAAGTTCCCCATGAAATTAGCTGCCACATCTTGGATAATATGAACGTCATACCCTCTGGTAATTCAACATAGCGGCATAGAAAATGGCCCAGTCGAAATAGTGAGTTTTCCCATGAAAAAACGTTGATCTTTCCATAGTTATGTAAACGTTTACCAGAGGGTAATCACTATTATGAACATTATGACTATCAGTTGAACATTGTTCAGAAATCTTCATAAAGTAGTTCATATGATAACATACAACATCCCTATATACTGGTATCATATTAAATCACTTTTTTGTCATAGTATAATCATTAATGCTAAAATTATGATCATATTTTGGATAATCGTGATATTTTTTAATAATGATGATAAACACATTTTAAATACTACTATATCATAGTACTATAATGCTATATCATAATTAACATACTAATGGTACTATAATATACTATAATATCTTTTTATTATCAGATCAGTTCATATCATATCATATTTAACATAGCGAACTGGAAAAACCACCATTTTTAATAGGTAAACCATCTATAAATGGGCCATCTATACCATGGCTATTTTGACATAACTAGAGGGTATATCCCAGTAAATCCCATGAAAAATCACCATTTTAATAGGTAAATCAACTATTTCGACTGGGCCATTTTCCAGTAAATCCCATGAAAGATCCCATTTTAATAGGTAAATCAACTATTTCTACAAGGTGGTGCCCCCCAAGTTATAAGCTGGTTTATAATCCCATTAACTATAGATATATCTACCATAAGTCCTAGTTATTAGAGTTATAAACCAACTTAGCTATCTTGGGGGCATCACCTTGTATGGCCTTCAATAGCTCCCATGTGGAACTCCAAGGCCCAGCGCCTCCAGCGCCTCCAGCGCCTCCTTCGTCCCAGCGAGAGAACGCGCGGCCGTGCCGGTGGCAAGGGTGGCGCGGCCGAGCCTTGGAATATGTGGATTGAATGGGGATATGTATAGTATAAAAATTATATAATATATGTTTATTAAAATATATAGAGTCAGTATATTTATAGATATTTGTAGTATTCTAGCAAAATCTTACCCATATTCCAAGGCTGTTCATATTCCATGCCCAAATAGCTCCGGAAATTTGGAAAATAATGAACGACCTTTGATGATGAGAATAAGGTTGTGTGACCCTTGTCAGGCGCTCCCTTGTCACGTGCTGTCATGTCCAGTCGCACATGTTTAACCCCGCTGAGAACCTTCTCAAGCAATGATTTCTTGAATAAACATAATCATAAAGTCTTGTTTCTCTCATCAATCATCAGCTTCTCTCTAGGATCTTTTAAAACCATTGGATAAGCTGTTCAGCTTATTTTTTGACGCGTTTGGCTGGCGGCTCAGCTTCCGCATCTGTAAACGGGGCCAAGTCTGGATTACGCTGTTCTTCCTCGAACCCAAATGGTACCATATTTCCACTTAATACAGTTACATTGAGTAGGATGCCACCCCTGGAGTACGATGCCCCCCTCGTATGCGTTGCCGTTCCTGCATGTGGGCTTCTCAGGCATATGTTAATATCATTTTTGATCAACTCGAGGCTGCAAATTCCATTCCACATACCCACAAGGCATCACACTCTATCGCGCACGACTAAGACAACAATCGAGAATTTCCATAGCCTCCACGGGTCAAAAGTATCAAAATTTCATGGAATGCGATTGTATGCGCGACTGTTCAAAACGCTGGAAAAACAACAATTTCCCCCATATTCCATATTATCAGATTCCAGAGCATTTTACCTCCGAAGAGGAAAAAAAATAAAAAAAGCTCTTCAGGTCAATTTTTCGAAAAAAAAAAAAAAAAAAAGGTTTTTGGCTGTCTGCGCAAGTTTTTCTGGTGTACGATCCCTTTTGTGGAGTACGATGATCTGTGAGTAGGTGTGTGGAGTGCGATGGGGTCCTCTGGGGTGCGATGACACCCCTCGAGTGCGATGCGACATGAGTATGCGCGGCCGGAAATCCCCTGAGAGAAGGATTCTGGGCCACAATTCCCTAAATTCAACAGAGTGGGCGGATGCTGGTTGTTGTAATTTAACAGGATTTCAGCCCACTCAACAAACAAGTCAAACAATATGTTGAAACCCTCTCCTTCTTCAGTCTCCAAAATGGGAAACTCACTTATCAGGACACGCTTTAGCTCATCCAGGCTCCATAGCATTTCAGGAACAACACAAGGCATCGACATGGTGCCAAACAATTTCCAAATTGAGCTGAAAGGTCTTCCCATCTCAACCAGTCAATTCACAGGTGTGAAACATGTCACACACAGGGAAACAGGTTGGGAAAACAGTGGGTCCAAAGAGACAGGTCTGGAGTACGATGGATTCATAGTATATGTACATTTTCTGAATTTGGGTAACTTGGAGCTAGAAGTATATATACATACATACAATATGTATATATACAATATGTATATATACAATATGTATGTATGTATGTATGTATGTATGTATGTATGTATGTATGTATGTATGTATGTATGTATGTATGTATGTATGTATGTATGTATATATATATGTGTGTACGTACTATACATGTTTTTCACATATAGATATACTGGAGATATAGTGGGATATATATATATATGTGCAGTTTAAAGACCTGGAATTATATATTTCAGGCAAAACCCTAGAATAGTCACGATTTCCCATTGCTTACTTGAATGTGCATCACACGAATCCTAAGTGGCGAATAAGCCTCGAAAAAATGCCAGCTAAATATGGACATATCATCGGTGGTATGGTCTATATGTGTTATAAACCATTTACTACCTGGGATGCACCCCAAGTATGTGTGTATATATATATATACGTACCGGGGATATAATGGGAAATAAAACCAATTGAATTGGTTGGTAATGGTGATTACCCTCTGGTAAACTAACATAACTATGGAAAATCACCATTCTTAATGGGTAAATCCACTATAAATGGCCATTTTCAATAGCTATGTTAGTTTACCGGAGGGTAATAATTATAATGATGATTTATACAATGGATTATGACCGCGATTTATTGGATTACAATGGTGATTTAATGGATTTCAGTGGTGATATCGTGGATTGTGGTGGTGGTTGAACTATTATGAGGATCCAATAAGGATATACTGGGGATATTTATCAAACCATAAATACCAGGATTTGCGGTTTGTGGATGATTATTAGTTTACTTTCCCAGAAACCCACTAGAAATGGGGAATCTTTGTTGGGAATATGTTTTATTTTGGGGGCTTCCTTAAGCAAATTCCAGATTATGGCTAAAAGTCTAGACGCATATCTTTGAATTAAGGTGATGATATGTTTTTGTTTGCTGTGTTTGTTGAATTTTGGTTGGTGTTTTATGGACCTACTGGCAGTTGTTTTATCAGAATGGAGAATATCATAGGTATGAAATATAGTATATAGTCTGGAAGAAACGGAATAGGTTGCATTATATTTTTTTATGTGCAGTTTGGATGGGTTCAAAAAATAGTGACTAAAATCAATGGGGTTAAGATACTGTCATAGTGAACCAGATGGATTGTTTGAAAGAAAAAATCCGCTGGGGTATGGTTGAACCAATTGGTTTTTGTTGCCGTTTCCCGGGTCACGCAAAGGAACTTTTAATTAAGGCTTTTTGGCAACTAATATATACCCTCCGGTAAACTAACATAGCTATTGAAAATGGCCATCAAAATAGCGGATTTACCCATTAAGAATGGTGATTTTCCAGTTCGCTATGTTAACGTTTACCAGAGGGTAGCAACCCAGCACCAAAACACCACGGGATTTCCCAGCTTTGTCCGAAAACAAAACCGCTGGAGAAGAAACATTGGATTGTGGATGAGTACGGTGGAAATATGGAAATACAGTAGATGGAAATATACAAGGTGGTGCCCCCAAGATAGCTAAGTTGGTTTATAACTCTAATAACTAAGACTTATGGTAGATATATCTATAGTTAATGGGATTATAAACCAACTAAATATAATGAAATATATGGAAATATAATGAAATATAATGAAATATATGGAAATATATATGGAATTATTGTGATTGGAAATCTATGGAAATCCTCCATTCTATACATTTCTTCCGTTCAGTCGGAAATGCTCCACATATTTCAGCCGAGTGGCCTAATGGTCCAGAGCTTCAAACAATAGGAATCGAGATTTGAGCGGCCACTGGCCAAAATTGGATATGACCAGCAAAAGTAAGGAAGGATAACCAACAAAAATTGTCGTTTTTCTTGTTTGAGCAGACAGATACGTAAAATGACTGGGTGTTGAATGCTAGCAACAACGGGACCTGAAGCCACTGGACGATGTTGGAGCGATCTTTTGGGTTGAATTGCAAAGAAAGTTCAACAAAACATAAGGGAAATTCTAGTATTTGGGGATGTGGTGCGGTTTGACATCTTTTGGGATTTGGGATTATGTTGATGGCTCAACTGTCACGCAGAGAACCACTGCAGAACTAGCTAGGCACTACAAGGTGAGGCCCCCGTTGACGATAACGTTTAGTTGACTTGATAACTTGGTTAACGTTTGGGTTTCTCGGGGATATCCGGGATATCTGTATATTATATATATATACATAGTTAACGGATGTTTTCATGTGTGTATAAACTATAGTTATTGGATATCAATGGATGTTACCCTCTGGTAAACTAACATAGCTATGGAAATTCACCATTTTTAATGGGAAAATCCACTATAAATGGCCATTTTCAATAGCTATGTTAAATTACCAGAGGGTAATATAGTTAATGGGTGTGTAAACTAACATCACGTTTGGGGACCCCACCTTGAAAAAAAAAGACCGTCCCAGGAGCGTGGTGATAGCACCACCACCGGAGGAGATGAATGCGTGGCTATCAGCAGTGTGGAGCCCAAGAAAGACAAGCCCTTTATTTTTTAGAGTGAACCATGAGGATTTCATTGGGTAAAGGATGATATATTAACCATGGGGGGTTTAACAGTTATGGGGATTTCGTGGGAATACGGGATTTCGTTGAAAAATGGTTAACCCTGGGGAAAAAATCGACAGATTTAATAGGATAGATGATGCTTACTAATGATTAGTAATGATTACCTATTTAACATAGCTGTGGCAAATGACAAATTTTCATAGCTATATAAATCATCATGTTTAATCATCGAACTGGCCATCTATAGCATTTAGCAACATTTTAAATAACCGCTGCATAATCCATATTAGTACCATCATGACTCACTATGAATAAATATCATATCATCATGTTATTGATCACTACAAATAGATGAACATTCAATTCATCATTACTATTATATTAATTATTATATCACTATTATATCACTATAATATCACTGTTGTATCAGTTATGTCACTATTAGTAGCTGTTATATCACCATGAAATCAATTAAAGAAAAAAAACATGTTTGGCATTTGGCACAACCAACAAACCGTCCGTTGCCAAGTTTTCGTTGTCGAGGCGCGCAACTTCGACATGAACACCGACTTCGATGTGGCGCCACTGTTAGTCACTTGGCCAGACCTGGGTCTGAAGTCTGGGGGTATATGGAGGTTTCCTAAGTCATGGGGGATCCTCAAAATCGGAGGTTTCAATACTAAAATTGTCTAATTTTGGATGGTTTCGGGGTACCCCCATTTTAGGAAACCTCCATATAGCCGTAAAATAACCATGAAAGAATGAAGAAAATGAGGTAATCCAATGAATTTAGAGGTACACTATTTTCAGGCCAACATGTCTGTTTTCTAATGTAGTTTTCATTTTAAAAACACTCGGTCAGATGATGATGATACCAACTGACCAGCATATTTTCTCACTATATCTCAATATTATATAGGTCAAAGAAGGGTAAAACCGCCAGAACGTTTCAGACCCTGAGAACCACACAGCTGGGTGTTGTTTGGTATGATGCACCCATTTTAGAGACTTACCCTCTGGTAAGTTAACATAGCTGGAACATGACCAATTTTTCATAGGGAAATCATTTGTTTCTATGGTCCATCTGGAAATGCATAGCTAGGCTCAATTGCCGAAAGATAAACATTGCAGGGCCTAAGTCGGGATAGAACCAACGCTGGAAATGCTTTAGAAGCAAGAGAAGCTGGAAAGTCACCTGTATTAACCATGGTGATTTAGCAATCATATAGGATTTACAGGGGATATATATATATATATACTGTATATACTGTATATATATATATATATATATAGTGGGATATAACCAACTTAAATATTCTGGGTGTGCTGAGTCGGTGATTTTTGGCATTTTAGCCCTTGAGAAATCCACCATGACTGGGGAATCAAAAGTTTTTTTTGGGACATCTAAAGCAAATCCAGGTACAAAATAGAGTGGACGTTTGATCAGGACTGTTCTGGATGAGTGCACTGAGCAGATAAGATAGGTATTGCATTGACACAAAATGAGATCTGGTCAAAGGCTGCTATGTAGTAGAACAACCGGATTGGAGAATACAAGAAAATGAGAACTGACACTACCCAAAATTGCAGCATATTCCGAGCAGTAATCAAAAGGTGGTTGTAAGTTTTAGAGGAGGAGTGGAAACCCGTTGCTTTATGTGATTTATGTGACATGCAATGTTGTAAAGTTGCTTGTGGAATTAAGACGGTTTCTACGTGATTTGTGATGGCAGAATGTTGGGGAATGCCGTTCATCAATCTATATGCAGTTTGATAATTGAACACCAAATTGCCAAAGGGTTTTTGGGAACAGCTCAAGATTTTGGTTGAAAGTCGGATTATTGAAGTCTAAACATTAACATGATGTGTTCACTTTTTGTTGTTACTGGGAATTCTGAAATGAGTTGCATCAAAAATATAGTTGGATAGATATGATTATTTGTTATTAATGTGTGTTCGTTAAATATGGTTATATAAAACACGTTTAAACTCTATTAAGCTGACCGCTCTTGTTGAATGATTACTATGGTTCAAGTGTGTTTATTGGTTATACAGTTATACATAATACTGGTTGGCGGTTTCAAACAGTATTTTCCATTTCATATATGGGATGTCATTCTTCCCATTGACGAACTCATATTTTTCAAGATGGTTAAAACCACCAACCAGACATGGTTATTCACCAGAATTTATGGGTTATTCACCAGATACCCTCATAGGGATTGAACCGTTTATTGGTTATACGGTTATACATAATAACTGATAGCCTGATAGCAAAAGAATCAAATCACCACAAGGTCCTAAGGTGGATCTGCCACGGAATCCGCAGATCAAATCAAATCACCAAAATCATGTGGCCAACTTCGTCTACCGGTAAGCAAACATGGCAACGGAAGATCCGTTCGAAGATTTTCCCAGCAATATAAGCCAGAAAATGTGTTCGAAGTTCCCAGTTTGAAGGGCAAAGCCCCATGTTGAACCCAACGAGGCAGCCCAAATGAATAGATCTAATACTAGTGACTCGTGATTTTCGGGTGGTATTTCTTGTGTTGGACCCTTTGGTAATTTCAACGTAGCTTTGGCAAATCACCATCTACAAATGGACCGTTTCTAAATACCAGATGCTAATCAACCGTGGCAATGGGAAATCCCCTCTAAATGGAGGTTATAGCCGGGAAAATCATCTGCACACAGGGAACTGTCGAGGATCTACAAGGTCAAGCGAGAGGCTGTCGAGAAGGTTGTTCTCATCGGATCCATGCAGTTGTGGGCGATCCCATGGTTCCAGCAGCTGCTTTCAGGTCGCCAACCGAAGCGGACACAATGAAGCGATCGACTGGTGGTGCCTTGGATGCCTTCTCCATGAGCTGAGAACAGGCGGACAATCAGGCGCCTGGCAAGGCCAGCCATCACCGCGAGATGATGGGTCAAACCAGGCGGTATTTGTCTTTCATCCCCACAAATTCACTTGATTCGTAGGTCTCCGGGCAGACCAACAGAGGCTACGACCAATCATGCGACTTGTGGGCACTGGGCATCTTATCCTACGAACTTTGCACAGGAGGGAGCTTCAGCTTGATGAGCGCAGGCCCAAGCGACCGCAGCACGTCACCAAAGGCCGCTTCAAAGCCGCCCTGAATGGCCGTCCGTCACCTGGATGGAAAACCACCAGCATGCTTGACGGATCCTCAACTATGCATTGCCATGTGGGCACGGGTCAAAATCATTCAAAATCTAGTATGTTCATAGGGGAAGAAACATCCATTCACATCCATTAACCAGATATTTTAGGATACCATTTGGGTATGTTTGTTAAGCCATGCAGTCCCTGAGGCAGATCGGAGGCGCTCCATCCAGGAGGTGGTGGACGTAATGAAGGCAAGTCAGCTACCTGGAAGGGACTTTGCCATGAAATGTACAGTGCCCAGTTGGAAGGAGTTACTAACCTTCAAACCAGTCCATTGAATGGTGGGATTCTCAAGCCACAAGGACCCGGAAAAACGCAAGAAGTATCCACAAGTTAGAGAAAAAAACACATGTTCCAAATACTTGGGAACTTGGGAAGTTGATCTTGGGAATTCAGAAGGAATGTGACTACAAAAAGTATAATTAAATGGTAAGTTGTGCATCTCATCCATTTTGCCTATACAAAAGGTAGCATTTCACTAAAAACTCTTGTTGGGACGTATGATCTCTGACTGCATGAACCCTTCCCAGAGGTGGCAGCCTGTTTTTTGGGCCACTTAGAGGTTTCTTATGTCATGGGGATAGCCTCACATCCAAGTCACGGATGGCCATTTTAGTATTGAAACCTATGGTGACGACTGGGGATCCAGCGTTTTAGGAAACCTCCATATTTTAACCATAGCAAACTGTTGGTTTACCAGTGGGCACACATCAAATCCTTCTGAAAGACACGTGGATCCACCGTATGTTTTTGGTGGGCACTGCAGGATCAAGCCCCACCATTTTCTTGTTCCTTTCATCAACTTGTTCCTTTCAACCCAGCCAGCAGTTTACCGCGATAAATCAGTAACACATCAATTTGTTTCTATAATTCAATTTTATTTAGCGATGATTCTATATATCGTAATTCTATATATTAACAATTCCCTTTAACAATCAACAACTTTCCTATGTAATCACCGGGTAGTGAAATGACCCGCCAGGTGAACAGCGGTGGAAAGGGCACCATCCAGGCGGCACCACTTGGGAGATCTTGGGAGTATGTTATTTTTCCGTCATGAAATGTCATGTTACTATGTATAATATAATTAATAGAAAAATATCATGCATGTATAGTGTATATATATATATACATATGATTATTATACATATGCAAGTGTAATGTGTTTTTAAGATTTTAAGAAGTCCTTAACAGATCGAATACTGTAATGTGTATGTATGTTGAAAATCTGATGCCACATTCCATGGCCGCCATCGTGGGCCCAGGCGTTAGGCGATAAGATTGTCCTGTCGAAGCTCTTAGAAAATCTGGGCATTCCACAGATGCCAGTGTTGCTTAGCTCGGAAAGCCGAGTTTTCTCTGGAAATAATGAGGGTTTAAGGAGCAATTTTGTGGACGGTGGGCCTGGGACGATAGCTGGTTGAACGAACTACTGTAGGTGAATTCTATGGTTTGCGGTATATAGTGAGTTGGGTTTATGAACCAACTTATACCTGGGGAAAAATGGTCAAAATCTGATGATGAACGATAGGATGGAATGGGGCACCAAATTTTGAGACACACCGATTTGGTGGCGCAATGATGATTAGAACATGTTAGAACCAAGAAAAGTGCTGTTGCAGCATGTTGTAGCGGTTTTTGAGTTCAGGAGATGCACAACTTCAGAATTCAAAAAGGGACGATTTTGCAACAACAACTGGGGATATACCCTTTGGTAATTTAACATAACTATGGAAATCACCATTTTTCATGGGAAAATCCACTATAAATGGCAATTTTCTATAGCTATGTTTGTCTCGCAGAGGGTACACCAACAATCACCAAGACATATGGAGATGGAAGTTATAGAAATGGTGGTGGTAACAATGGCACAAAGAGGTGACCAGCTCCCCTGGTTAACGCAACAGATACCCTCTGGTAAACTAACATAACTATAGAAAATCACCATTTTTAATGGGTAAATCCACTACAAATGGCCATTTTCAACAGCCATGTTAGTTTACCAGAGGGTATTGAATGAGATCATGGCTGAAAATGCCAAAAAACAGGAGATGTTCTGTACAGTAGCCAACAAGAACTCTGGGGAAACAAGCCAAAACTATCCATACGTACTTCTGTGGATAAAGGTGGGTCCGGGCCAAAAGATGTTTCAAGAGTGAGACTACGTAAGCCCAGCTTGGTTGGTAATATTCATGATTTTGGCTGGTGGTTTTCAAGGTACTGGTCAGATAGGTTCCAAAATCCAACCTGACGACTGTGAAGACCAGTCTCTTCGTCTTTCGGATTTGATTTGCAGGGAACCAGTGTTTGGATGTGTTTGGGCATTTTCATCCAAGCATTTGGTTTGTCCCAAAATTTGGGCATGGCAATTCTACAGCAAACATATGCTCTTGAATCGGCCGGAATTGGTGATACCCATGGATAATTACCCCCTCCATTTTCAAAGCCAATCCACCCTTCATACGCTGTAACGGATGACATATTGATTTCCCATGTTTGATGGGGCCCACCATGGGGCCCACCGTTAAGCAAAGCATCACCAGGATGACACCACCATAGGCCACCGCCTTTGGATCAGGTTGTTCTCCACCTACAGCAAGGTGGAGCAGCAGGAGGCACCCATAAACCATGGAATTTTGGGATGTTTTGGAATGTTTTCATGACTGGTTGGTGGTTTCAAACATGTTTTATTTTCCATCATATATGGGATAATCCTTCCCATTGACTTTCATATTTTTCAGCGGGGTAGGTCAACCACCAACCAGATGAGGTTCGTGGACGGACGTTTTCGCCGATCTTAGCTGTTTGTCATGGTGGAACATGATTGAACATGACATCGGAGTTAGATCTGAGTTGTTTTCAGGGATACCCAGATCGGAGGCAACAGGCTTACTGACGCTCGCGGTTCTTGGTTCACCCTTTCAGCTGGGGGTCTACAGTAAACCTTTCGATCCATACGGGCGGTTTTTGAACATGCGGGATTTACCATGGGATTTACTATATGTATATATATATGTTATATCATATATACATAGATGATATTATGATATTACTATAGATGATTTACCTCAAGTGTTGTTCGTCTTGAAAATCAGTGATAAACTATAAACATCTGTACACTTCGGACCAGGTGAATGGGGTAAGTACCTTCTTTTCCAAGAAACCCATTTGGTGTATCCACCATAGAACTGCATGGTTTTGGGGATTCCCAAACCAAGTGCAGGGCGCTAAGATCTTTGGCGCTGGACATTTCCCCACAAATATATATATATATATGCATATATAGACATATATCACCAAGGGATTCGACAGATTTCTTCTTTTTGGTCGTTAACTAGCCACTGCTCTCGCTGGATTTTGGGTTAGGTGCCACCACCTTAATGATGCGCCAGGTAGACAGTTTGGTCGCCTCCTGGAAAACCGAGGAGGATTTCGACGTGGTGATTAAGCCGCCACTTGTAAGCGTCGCCGGCGCGGTGGGAATGGTCTCAGCTGCTCAGCGTGGCTTAGGAGACGCCATAAAGGGTCAGTTGGGGATGTTTTTTGTCCATGAAGAGTCATGAAGAGGTTAGTATTGTTTAGTGTATACACACCACTGTATATATATATAATGTGGGATACAGATTAGTGTGGGGATACAGAATTGTGTCCACAGACTCCAAAATTATTTTGTCAGAACGATTGTGAACGCCATTTGACTTGTTATGTCAACAAAGCCCAGAAATTGGATTTGCAATCGGCCTCACCACCGCGCCCTGGTCTGCTGACTATGGCATCCACCCTATCCTTGACCAGTTCTTTGATGCATTGGAACCAAAGTTCAAGGCCTTGACATGCAGCCCTCTCGGGCTTGCCAACCCCAGATTCCCATGGTTGCGTGCAAAGGGGTACGCCGATGCAATGGAATTCAGAGACCAGTGGCATTTCGCCAACTCTGAAGAAAACCGCGTCAGGCTCTCTGCGTACTGGACGGCAACGATGTTTGCCATCGACTGTGGGTGGAACGTTGGCAGATCAGGCCTTGACCTCGCATCATGTGAACAAGAGACATGGGATGATTTGAGAAGAAACCTTAGCTTTGTCCTTGATAACTGTGGAAATGATCGAGGGGTACAGTTTTGTGTCCACAGGATTTTGGTGTAAGTTTTTTTTCATGTTTTTTCCCCACCTGCCAGGTGAGGGTTGTTAGATTTTATGTCAGTTGCCTCCTCCTCCTCTCCTCCTCGTCCTCCTCTCGTTGTCCTCCTCGTCCTCCTGCTCAACTGCGACTCGCGATCCACAGTGTTCTCTGTCGGACCTCAACCACGACCATCCACGCCCAGTGTTCCCTGCCGGACCTCAACCACGACCATCCACGCCCAGTGTTCCCTGCCGGACCTCAACCACGACCATCCACGCCCAGTGTTCCCTGCCGGACCTCAACCACGACCATCCACGCCCAGTGTTCCCTGCCGGACCTCAACCACGACCATCCACGCCCAGTGTTCCCTGCCGGACCTCAACCACGACCATCCACGCCCAGTGTTCCCTGCCGGACCTCAACCGCGAGTATCCATGCCAAGTGTTCCCTGCCGGACCTCATGTAGGAAGATAAAATGTCAGATAGAGTGCCAGAAGATTTGCCAGGTAGAATGCCAGAAAATATGCCAGAAGATATGCCAGATAGATATGCCAGAAGATATTCCAGAAGATATGCCAGATAGAATGCCAGATAGAATGCCAGATAGAATGCCAGAAGATATGTCAGAATATATGCCAGAAGATATGCCAGATAGAATGCCAGAAGATATGTCAGATAGAATGCCAGAAGATATGCCAGATAGAATGCCAGAAGATTTGCCAGATAGAATGCCAGAAGATATGCCAGATAGAATGCCAAATAGAATGTCAGAAGATATGTCGGATAGAATGCCAGAAGATGTGCCAGTAAGAACATGTATAAATGTCATGGTGGGGATCACACGAAGTAAAGTAATTTTGCTTTTTAATTTTTAATTGTTTTTTATTTTTATTTTCAATTATAATAATTTTTATTTTTAATTATTTATTATTTTATTTTAAATTATTTTTTATTTTATTTTTAATTATATTAATTTTTAATTTAATTATTTATTATTTTGTTTTAAATTATGTTTATTTTTATTTTTAGTTATATTAATTTTTAATTTAATTATTTATTATTTTGTTTTAAATTATGTTTATTTTTAATTAGATTTTTTCTAATTGTTTTTTAAAATTGTGTCAGGATACACAATTGTGTCATTGTGTCAGGATACACAATTGTGTCTTTGTCTTTTTTTGTTGTTCAAACATGTTTCATTTTTTCATTTTTTAAAGTTTTTTCTTTTACTTTTTATTTTCCATCATTGAAATTTTCCCCAGAATCATTGAAATTTTCCCCAGATGCCTTCCACAGAAAATTACATCCAGGTACACAATAGTGTGGTTTGTTTGGAGGGTACACTATTGTGTCCTGCTGCTTCCTGAGGTCATGATTTTTTGATTTTTTCAATCATTTCCTTTACCTTTTCCTTTGCTAAAGTTTTTTCTTTTAATTACTTAATTCCTTTCTTAGTTTCTTTCATTTGAAATTCTCAGAAATGCACAGTTTCCCAAAATATATGATGCCTTATTAAAACCCAATTAAAAAACATCACTCAAACAATTTTTCAAGGGGGTAGTCCATGAGCAACCCTGATACACAATAGTGTGGTTTGTTTGAGGGTACACTATTGTGTCCTGCTGCTTCCTGAGGTCATGATTTTTTGATTTTTTCAATCATTTCCTTTACCTTTTCCTTTGCTAAAGTTTTTTCTTTTAATTACTTAATTCCTTTCTTAGTTTTTTTCATTTGAAATTCTCAGAAATGCACAGTTTCCCAAAATATATGATGCCTTATTAAAACCCAATTAAAACACATCACTCAAACAATTTTTCACGGGGGTAGTCCATGAGCAACTCTGATACACAATAGTGTGGTTTGTTTGAGGGTACACTATTGTGTCCTGCTGCTTCCTGAGGTCATGTTTTTTGATTTTTTCAATCATTTCCTTTACCTTTTCCTTTGCTAAAGTTTTTTCCTTTTAATTAATTAATTACTTCTTAGTTTCTTTCATTTGATATTCTCAGAAATGCCCAGTTTCCCAAAATATATGATGCCTTATTAAAACCCAATTAAAAAACATCACTCAAACAATTTTTCAAGGGGGGTAGTCCATGAGCAACCCTGATACACAATAGTGTGGTTTGTTTCGAGGGTACACTATTGTGTCCAGATGCTTCCTGGTGTGATTTTTTTTTCAAGCATTCCCTTTACCTTTTCCTTTGCTAAAGTTTTTTTCTTTTATGGTATTTCTATGGTATTACTATTGGATTTCTATGGAATTCCTATGGGGTTTCCATGATGTTTCTATGATATTTCTGGAGGATTTCTATGGGATTTCTGAAGGGGTGCTATGGGAGTTCTATGGTATTCTTATGGGATTTCCATTGGATTCCTATGGGATTTCTATGGTATTTCTATTGGATTCCTATGGAATTTCTATTGGATTCCTGTGGGATTTCCAAGGTATTTCCATGATGTTTCTATGATATTTCTATGGGATTATTATTGGAATTCTCATGGGATTTCTTTTGTGGTTCCTATGCTATTCCATGATATTTCTATGATCGTTCTATGGTATTTCTGTGAGATTCCTATGGGATTTCCATGGTATTTCTATGATATTTCTTTGGGACTACTATTGGATTTCTATGGGATGTCGATTGAAAGTAAATTGGCAGTAAAATGAAATCAATTGAAAGTAAATTCAAATCAATTGAAAGTAAATTGAAAGTAAATTGAAATCAATTGAAAGTAAATTGAAATCAATTGAAAGTAAATTGAAATCAATTCAAAATAAATTCAAATCAATTGAAGGTAAATTGAAAGTAAATTGAAATCATTTCAAAATAAAGTGACATCAATTCAAGGTAACTTCAAATCAATTGAAAGTAAAATGAAATCAGTTGAAAGTAAATTGAAATCAATTGGGAGTAAATTCAAATCAATTGAGAGTAAACTGAAATCAATTCAAAGTAACTTCAAATCAATTCAAAATAAATTGAGATCAATTGAAAGTAAATTGAAATCAATTCAAAGTAACTTCAAATCAATTCAAAATAAATTCAAATCAATTGAAAGTAAATTGAAATCAATTCAAAATAAATTCAAATCAATTGAAAGTAAATTGAAATCAATTCAAAATAAATTCAAATCAATTGAAAGTAAATTGAAAGTAAATTGAAATCAATTCAAAATAAATTCAAATCAATTGAAAGTAAATTGAAATCAATTGAAAGTAAATTGAAATCAATTTAAATCTATCAATTTTTTTGATTTCACCGTATTGTGTACCCTCTACTTTGGTTTTTTTACACTATTCTGTATCCAAAATTTGTTGAGGGGGGGGGCCTCCCCACACTAATCTGTAACCTACATTATATACATTGTTTTTATTGGCGGCTATAAAAGGGAAAATAGACTAACCAGCTTAAACATGCCTAAACACATTTGTTTGCCTGGTATCTATAAGATTTGCCATGGGTCCACCGGTCAAAAAAATGATAAAACAATTGATGCCCAGTGACCAGGGATCTTGATCATGTTTAGGTCTCTTAAGTGACTATCCCGTTCTTTGGCACCCTGAGTTTTGACCCATGGCCAGATGATTTTCTTAGTGTACTTAGTGTACTCCACGGATCTGTATGGTGTAGCGGTGATTTTTAGCGGCTAGATGGAGCATGTCCCATGAAATTGTCATTCAGTGAACCAGGCTATTTTGCAGCTGGAAGCCGTTGGAGGGGTCGAAGTGTATATTTCTCAATTCTCAGCTGCAGTCTCAAAACGCCGTAGAGTATCAGGCTGCTGGTTTTTTTTTGCTGTTTGCAAACAGCTGAGGGATTGGTTAAGGGCTTCGCCCTTGGCCCATTTCATGCGTAAGTGACTTATTGGGATTGAACTTCACACCATCCGCACAATTTGTGACAGCTGGTGATTGCCATACGACTGCCACAGGTTTTTGGTGTTGCCAGACGACTTCCCGAAAGGATTTCTTTGCTTGACTCCAGAGACTGAGGAAACATTACGAAAACCATCTAAAAGTCCATAAGGACCATAAGGATACCAGAATTCGAAAGTTTTTTTTCGTGGTGGCTCATCATCCCAGTCATCCCATCATCCCAGTAAACCTGGATGATCCCTTTTTTCTAGATCATGTGTTGGCTATGCATATGCAGTCATATATTAACCAAGGATAGCCAACATGAAATCCCATAATTAATATTGATTAATATCTTCATCAACTTTTCCATGGATTTTTGGGGTTGGATGCGACTAAGGACGCACCTCAGCAGCGCTGCGGGTGCCATTTTTATGTGCAAAAGCAAGTGGGAGAAGGTGCGGAATCTCCGATTTTTTGAGATGAGCACACACCAAGAACATCCAAAAAGCCTCCGGTAACATCCGTAGTTATGAAAGCCATGGCCTATATATATAGAGGATTTAGCTATATATTTAAGATATGCTTTTTTTTTGCATAGCTATATATGTTCAATTCCCGTTACGGGTCCCGGGTACCATGGACCATGGCACAGATTCGTTTTGAGATCGCCCTGGCTTGGGATGATTGCAGCTCTTCTCAGCTCCGACCGATTGGACCTGCCAGGATGGCTGGAATGCCCAGAAACTCAAGGAGCACATGGAAACATACTTGCAGAAGAAAGCCTCTGAGTCGGAAAGTGAGGCGACTGGTGGAGCTGGTTGGTAGTTCGTAAGGCTTCTCTTCTTAAGGGGACTAAGACTGACCAAGGGACCGCAACTAGCTGACTGGGCATCAAACTTTCCGACTAGCCTCTGGTAATCAAACATGGCATGCTGCTGGAAAATGCCATATTTAGTTCGATGAAGTTCCCATATACAGACATATAGATGCTCATTTCGTTCAGGGATTTGCTATGGAGCTGATGACACCGGATGATCCACCAAGGAGCCAGAACTTGGAGGGCACTCTCAGTGACATCCAGTGAGATACTTCACAACATAGTTTCGCCACTGAAAACAAAAGATAGAACCCATGACCTTTGGCACACATTCCAGCCATGCGCCGCCTTATGTGCAACCATTTTTAGACATGTTGGAATCTAAGTGCGGGTCACAAGTGAGCCTGAAACATCCTGAAACATGGTTCTCATGTATTTTGTCCCTGTCAGGAATTACTATATAATGTTGCTGCAAAAAGGCACATCACAGACCATGACATAGTGCCAACTACAGCTATTAGAGAAGACCCATCATGGGCAGCTCGTGCAAACACCATGATATAGACCAAGTGGTGTCTACGGAATTTACAGTACAACAATGTACAACAATGTACATATCAGTACAACGATGAACAACGTCTTTGTGAATTTCAGGGTTGCCCTTTGTTTCCATGATTCATTGGGATACCTTAAGACTGCCATGAAAGATGATGATAAACTATGGAGGGGCAAGGGGGGTACAGATCCAAGGCGTCATAGATCCCACCGAGTTATTCTCAAAATATCTCAAAATGTTGCAAAACCCCAATCAATCACACTAGGAGTTCTATACTAGACATAACTAGACCCAAAAAACCATCTATGACCACCCCGTATCCCAAAAATAGCCATCTACCGCAATCACAAAAAAAGGCCATGATTCTCCTATTTTTTGCTGCGGCTTAGTCGTTGCCCATCATCCAGGCCTTGAAATCTTTGGTGCCCGGATTTGTGGTGCAGCCGCCTCGGGGCCCAGTGGGACCCGTTGTGGGACCCAGGTTCTCGGGCTACGGAACGGAGGCTTAGCTGGCGGAGCTTGGGGGATTATCCACTGATGAGTCTGATGAAAATTGGAATAATCTATATCTGGTTGGTGGTTTGGAACATGAATTTTATTTTCCCATTTTTTCCATATATTGGGGATAATCATCCCAACTGACTAATAATTTTCAGAGAGGTTGAAACCACCAACCAGATATTATCTCTATAATCCATCTATAATCATCTATAATCCACGGAAGTGTTTTTTATCATCTATAATTGTCTATAATCCATGATAGAATCATCTCGGACAAATCCCTGTTGATGATTCTTGGAGATTAAGATTCGTTTGAATCCACTATCCAATGATGATTATCATCCACTAATCCAATGATTATTGGAGATTATAATCATAATCCCCTGTTAATGATTATAATACGATAGTCTACTATCATATAAAATCCTTTTTTTTCGGGATGATGGTAACCCTAACCACGCAGTATGGGGGTTGGTTAAAACCGGCTTAGCCCAGCCCCATATTTTGGGGTCATGTTTGCATCATTTACCAATCATCAATACACCAAAAACTACCAACTCCGGTTTTTATGGCGTTGAAAGTTGCAGGATGGGGCCCCCCAGTTGTAAGTTGGTTTATAAACCATTATAACCCCCATTAAATATAGTTATATCTACCATAAACCATTGAATTCAACCACTTATAAACCAACTTAGCTATCTTGGGGGCCCCACCCTGGTTGGGGTATGGCCACTTTCCAAGGCGCTACCGCTCGTCCGTGGGCTTCAACTTTCCCTTGGAGTTGCGTGTGGTGACTCTTTGGGGCAAGGCGCAGGGGGATTTCATGGGGATATGGGGGAATAGCATGGGATTCTCATTCCCGATCTAGTGGGAATGGGAATAGAATGGGAATTAATGGTGATATAATGTGATATATAACGGTATATATATATAATATGCATATAAATATTAATATATATATAAATACAACCAATCTAATCTGACTTTGAGGTTGATCATGTTCAATATCAATATGAGAGCTTGAAACAATCATGCAGGACCTGCCAAGCAACTGTTTCCTTGCTACACCCAATCTTCCTGCTGATTCCCAATGTGTTTGAGCCATCTTGTGTTGTTGACAATGCCGATGAACTATGTTGAGGGCTTTATCCCCATGTGTTGTGCTTGCAGACTTATTTGAACTTATTTGTATTGTTTCAAGCCCTTCTTTGTTTCTTACATTGCCATGTTTGTTGGTTATGGAGGCTGATGTTAACTCAACAGCTGAACATTATCTTTGCAAAACTATGTCCATAGTAAAACAGAAATAAGTCCATGTAAGTCATCTAAGCCCCTGTTTCTTCAGCCACTGTCACTGCTAGAACTTTTGACAAGTGCTCATGACCGAAGCGAAGCTGTCAGGCACGCGTTGGCATTTGGTGGTCGCTTAACTCAGCGACTTTGGGTCGAGTCACAGTTTTGGGCAGCTGGTCATGGGATGAAACCCAACCATTTTGGGAGGGTTTCATCCCTTCCCGTAATCTTAAGGACCCCCAACCAGAAATTCCATGGGTTTTCTAGGGGATTCACCATGGCTTATACGCATGTTGGCACTAACTTTGGGGTGTGTATGATACTGGGGCGATGGGATAAAATTCAAATGAGGCATACCCGCAGGACTGGCCCAACTGCGCAGCTTTGGCCGAGCTGAGTTTGGAGATTCGAAGGGGCCATACCAGTACCAAGACATTGGTTTGGGGGAATATGTAGACTGGTTGGTGGTTTCAAACATTTTTTATGTTCCATAATAATTATATATATATATATATGGGATAATCCTTCCCATTGACTTTCATATTTTTCAAGATGGTTATTGCACCACCAACCAGTAAATGTGGATTTCTCTTGAAATTGAGAATTCCAAAAACCCCTGCTGAATCATCAATGTTCACAACAAACAACTCACATGGCCCGGGGTGTTCTCTCGAGGAGTTCTCCAAGCAATGGATTTTCCTAGCCCTCGATGGGGGAAGCAAACACACCCAAGATCCAAAAGTTGGGATGAAAGTGCTGATTGTTATGATAAGTTACTGTATGATACCCTCTGGTAAACTAACAGTTTGCGACATAGAAAATGGCCCAGTCGAAATAGTGAGTTTTCCCGCATTAAGAATGGTGATGTTCCATAGTTATGTTAGTTTACCAGAGGGTAAATAAGATAACGATAACAACAGCAAGAATTTTGATTCAAAAATTTTTCATACAGGAACTATGATGAAATTAATTATCATTTGCGCCAGATCCAAAGATGGGACGATTGCCAGAGTGTGTGACCTGAAGTGACGGGCAGCGCCATGTCCATCCGCGTGCAGCTGACGATGTTGAGTGGCCGCTCTGAAGAGGTTGAGGTGACATTAGATGGCACGGTGAATGACTTACGCAGACTGGCACAGGCAAGGGAGGTGGGTCTGAAAATACCGTAGACCCCAATGATTTCCATTTAAAATTTAGAATATACAATAATTTTCGTTTAAAATTTGAAGAAATGTATGAAAAAGGTGAGGTAAATGAGTCATGTGACTAGATTGTCTCATGTTGAGTGACTTTTCGTATCAAACCATCGCAAAATGAGGCTTCAGCGGGACAGGAGGTAGTCACAAAGTCAACATGTATATGCACGGCAGAGTTTTTCAAAAGTCGGCTTTTCAGGCGTGAAGCCAGCAAATTGAGTATGGTTCCGATATGTTCCGATCATCGGGGTTGTTCTTCTTTTGCGCAACGGACTTGCAACACATGCAATAATTACTCTTTGGTAAATTAACATAGACCCTGGCAGATAGGGGTTGGAAGACTAGTTTACATTAAAAATTGGTGACTTTCAGGGTCTATGTTTATTTACCAGAGGGTATTTCCTTTCAAGAGTGTAAGGGAAAAGTATGGACTAGAAATAAAGAGATGGCGGCATGTTGTTCCAACTGTGCCAAGGCTCACACATCAAGTACTGAGCCACCGCAGTGGTACAACAAGAGACAGAAACTATATAGTAGTAAGGAAAAGATGCCAAAAACATACTTACTATATTGAAAAGGTCGGTCTTGGACAAGTAGCGTATATAATATATATATACATACATACCTGGGAAACCATAGAAAGAAGATTTTCTGTCCGTACGGCTTTGGACATTTTTCCGTCCATTACTGCAACCCCTCTACTTGCAAGTCGTCGGACTAGCTCCGCCAGCATTTGGGGCAGCATGTTGACATATGGATACTGTTGTTTTCAACATGATGTTGAAAAAATATTAGTATTTTTTGAGTACATCCAAATTTGGTGAAGTATGGCAGTATTTGTTGCCAGATTTGGGTACCCTATCATGACTTCCAACTTGCTCCATTTTGTGCTGAAATTCCTCTTTGGGAGACTGTCGAAGGATGTCAGAACCCGGGGTTATCAAAGGATCTGAACAACGCATCACAATCAAAGACCAACATACGCAATTAAACAGAAAAAAACATCCGTAACGGGCAAAACCCATAACGGACAAAAAAATTGTCCGTACTGTTTTCCAGGTATATATACATACATTTATTTCATGTTGATAGTTTATATGTATATATATATAGTTATAACATATATATATGTGTGTGTAAAACCATACGTATAATATCTCTATATACATATAATATCTATATATAATATTTGGTATATGTATCATGGTTTACCCCTAGTATATCCCATAAAGTCTCCAGGCTTGAGTTGACGGGACAAGTTCAGGTGACCTTTAGTCTTGGCGTCAGTAAGTTGATGGCAAAGTGTGGCGAACTGAACGAGCGGAACAGCATTGCTGAGTCATTGGAAGATGGAGATGTTGTTACTATTGTGGCAAGGAAATGAGAAACCTGCCCGGGTTGATGGTTTGGATCATTTTTCTCATTTTTCCATTCAGTTGGGAATAAGAATCACTGACTTTCATATTTTTCAGAGGGGTAGGTCAACCACCAAACAGTGCCAGTTTCATGTGAGAAACCCAACTTCATAAACAACTAGCATGACTGGGGATGGTTGAAACATAGCACCCATAAACATTGTGATTACTTGGGGATGGTTTCACGACATTGGGTTTCCACATTATCAATGTTCCATGTTGTTGTTCTACTTGTTTTCATTTGCGGTTAGTGCAGTTAATATGTATACAACGATATGGTGTATATATACTTATATGTACATACCAGTAGTACCCGCACGAGGCGGGGCGGAAGTTGCCTTAAAGATATATATGAGACCTTTCTCATCTATAGAACTTGCATGCGCCATGCGCCAGCCAAGCCCGTGCGTGCGTGCACTCTGCGAAACTGGTGTCGTGTTGCACATGTCACATTTGAAGCTCCACCTCTTACTTCACACTTGACAGTCTTCACACTTCACACTGCACCCTTCGCAATCAACACTTCACACTTCTCACTTCACACTGCACTCTCCCCAATCCACACTTCACACTCCACACTTCACACTTCACAGTCCACACTTCACACTTCTCACTTCTCATTGCTTTCTTCACACTCCACACTTCACACTTCACACTGCACTCTTCGCGCCCCACGCTTCACACTGCACTCTTCACACTCCACACTTCATCTCATCTGAGCTCTTCTCGGCGCTTCTGCACGTCAGCAAGGTTGAGCGTAACTCATGTTGGTTCTTCTACATGCCAAAAGGCGTAGACCATGCCGTAGACCATTCCAAAAACACCTAAAATGAGTTCGCACACGCATTCGCTGAACGCCTTTTGAAAATGTTCATGACAAAACAACAATGAACGAATGCAACTAGGGGCAACAAGTTGGTCGACCCACGTCCCTTTCGAAAGCAGCGAAACCCAAAACATATTTTTCTCTGCCACGATGCTCTCTCAAGCGATCCCTTAGCACACACTGACGCAGACAAACTTTGCGTCACCAGACAACAAACTCCATGTCCCTTGCCAGAAAGTCCATGCCTTGCTTCGACGCAGCCCGCACTGGCATGCCTTGATGCAGCCATTCCAATACGATTTACGATCTTCAGCTGCAAAAGACAATAGTATTACGCATGCAGCCGCTGCGCCAAGCAACCTTGACGCAGCCACTACAATGCGATCTGCAGAGACTGAGTTGCAAAACACAATAGAACTACGCGCAATGGCGTCGGAAATTGCAGCTCCACAACCGGATCTCGACGCCAAAGCGACAAAAAGACGATTTTGAAACACTTTTTAAAAGGAATTTTGAAAGGAAAATTATTAGCGCCAAAATTGAGAAAATCTGCTGACAAATCACTTTCGCAGCCTTGATGCAGCCGTTCCAATACGATTTACGATCTTCAGCTGCAAAAGAGAATAGTATTACGCATGCAGCCGCTGCACCAAGCAACCTTGACGCAGCCACTACAATGCGATCTGCAGAGACTGAGTTGCAAAACACAATAGAACTACGTGCAATGGCGTCGGAAATTGCAGCTCCAAAACCGGATCTCGACGCCAAAGCGACAAAAAGACGATTTTGAAGCACTTTTTAAAAGGAATTTTAAAAGGAAAATCACTAGCGCCAAAATTGAGAAAATCTGCTGACAAAGCCATTTCGCAGCCTGGATGCAGCCACTCCAATACGATTTACGATCTTCAGCTGCAAAAGACAAGAGTATTACGTATGCAGCCGCAGCATCAAGCAACTTTGACGCAGCCATTCCAATGCGATCTGCAGAGACTGAGTTGCAAAACACAATAGAACTACGTGCAATGGCGTCGGAAATTGCAGCTCCAAAACCGGATCTCAACGCCAAAGCGAAAAAAAGACGATTTTGTAGCACTTTTTAAAAGGAATTTTAAAAGGAAAATCACTAGCGCCAAAATGGAGAAAATCTGCTGACAAAGCCATTTCGCAGCCTGGATGCAGCCACTCCAATACGATTTACGATCTTCAGCCGCAAAAGACAATACTATTACGCATGCAGCTGCGGCAACATGCAACATTCATGCAGCCATTCCAATGCGATCTGCAAACACAAACTCAAGAAACGCACGGAACTACGTACACAGGAACATCCAGTGTTACAAAACACATTGAAGGAACGAAACGACCCCAGCCGCACCCGCCGCACAGACGAGGTACCTTTCATCGTCGCCTGCAGCCACTTTACACGGAAAAACACAAAGTTTCGTGCTCCGGCTTCCTCCCCACAACATAGCCCATGCAACATTCATGCAGCCATTCCAATGCGATCTGCAACCACAACTTCAAGAAACGCATAGAACTACACACACACGTACACAGGAACATCCAGTGCAACAACATAGAACATTGAAGGAACGAAACGACCCCAGCAGCCGCAACCGCCGCACACACGAGGTACCTTTCATCGCCGGCTGCAGCCACTTTACACGGAAAAACACAAGGTTTCGTGCTCCGGCTTCCTCCCCAAAACATAGCCCATGCAACATTCATGCAGCCACTACACTGCGTTTCGCAGCATCCCGTAGCAAACCTGCACCTATCTACGGACGTGGCAACACCAAATGACAACAATCATGCAGCCATTCCAATGCAATCTGCAACTAGAGATTCAAGAACCGCATGGAACTGCGCACACAGACACAACCACTCGTTGCAAAACACATAGGAGGAACAATTCGCGACAGAAACGACCCCAGCCGCAACCGCCGCACAGACGAGGTACCTTTCATCGTCGCCTGCAGCCACTTTACACGGAAAAACACAAGGTTTGGTGCTCCGGCTTCCTCCCCAACACATAGCCCATGCAACATTCATGCAGCCATTACAAAGCGTTTCGCAACATCCCGTGGCAAACCCGCACCTATCTACGCACGTGGCAACATCAAATGACGACAATGAAGCAGCGATTCCAATGCAATCTGCAACCAGAGATTCAAGAAGCGCATAGAACTACGCACACAGGAACAACCACTCGTTGCAAAACACATAGGAGGAACAATTCGCGACAGAAACGACCCCAGCCGCAACCGCCGCACAGACGAGGTACCTTTCATCGCCGGCTGCACCCACTTTACACGGAAAAACGCAAGGTTTCGTGGTCCGGCTTCCTCCCCAAAACATAGCCCATGCAACATTCACGCATCCATTACACTGCGTTTCGCAGCATCCCGTAGCAAACCTGCACCTATCTACGGACGTGGCAACACCAAATGACAACAAGCATGCAGCCATTCCAATGCGATCTGGCACCACAGCTTCAAGAAACGCATAGAACTACGCACAGAGGAACAACCATTGTTGCAAAACACATAGGAGGAACAATTCGCGACAGAAACGACCCCAGCCGCAACCGCCGCACAGACGAGGTACCTTTCATCGCCGGCTGCAGCCACTTTACACGGAAAAACACAAGGTTTCGTGGTCCGGCTTCCTCCCCAAAACATGGCCCATGCAACATTCATGCAGCCACTACACTGCGTTTCGCAGCATCCCGTAGCATACCTGCACCTATCTACGGACGTGGCAACACCAAATGAAAACAATCATGCAGCCATTCCAATGCGATCTGCCACCACAGCTTCAAGAAGCGCATAGAACTACGCACACAGGAACAACCACTCCTTGCAAAACACATAGGAGGAACAATTCGCGACAGAAACGACCCCAGCCGCAACCGCCGCACAGACGAGGTACCTTTCATCGCCGGCTGCAGCCACTTTACTCGGAAAAACGCAAGGTTTCGTGCTCCGGCTTCCTCCCCAACTCACCCCTTCCCTTCCTCACCACTTCCCATCGTCACCACTTCCCATCGTCACCACCTCCCTTCGTCACCACTTCCCTTCCTCACTACTTCCCTTCCTCACCACTTCCCTTCGTCCCCACCTCCCTTCCTCACCATTCCCCTTCATCATCACTTCCCTTCGTCACCACTTCCCTTCGTCACCACTTCCCTTCGTCACCACTTCCCTTCGTCACCACTTCCCTTCGTCACCACTTCCCTTCGTCACCACTTCCCTTCGTCACCACTTCCCTTCGTCACCACCCCGTCATTGTCAGCACCCTTCATCAAGGTCAATTCCACCGCTTCTTATTCTTTTGTTATGTATTGTTATGTTATGTATTGATATACGATCTACCGCCCTTCATCATTTCAAGTCTCAGAATTCTATTTGTCCGTAACACGGAAGTATTGCTTCCCAACTTCCTTTGATAAATTAACTTGAGGTGATAAGTTTAACATTTTCTGTCAAGGTCCATGTCTCAGTTGTATAGCCGGGAGGTCCATTTTCTGTTTTGATGCTCCTTCCTACCTGGAATATCCTGGAATGATAATCCGGTATAAGAAACATATGCTCGTTACAATGAGGTTCAACCAGCGACTAGAGTTATGTTTCGTTTTTTCATGTTTTCAATTTTGGGATGACGACTTCCATTCGAACATTTTTTGGTCTCCTCTTTTTGTTGAACCCCAAGCCACCAGGAAACTTTCACCACCAGTTCAGACGTGCGTCTCGTGTGGCACTCCGATGGATCGCTACGGGTGGCTGGCAATCCGCTGTTGGGCGGTTTCCACCCTTCCCACATCGAGCGCCTGTCGCAGGTCGAGGCCTTGGCATTCACCCACGGAGCGGTGGCGGCTGTTTGCTTTGATGGATCAGTGCTGGCCTGGGGCCATCGCAGCTACGGCGGAACGGTGCCGGCAGTGCTCCACGGTGAAAATGTGAGGAAGGTCTACAGCACTGCCGCGGCGTTCGCTGTGATTTGCAGAGATGGATCAGTGGTGACGTGGGGACATGATCAGTATGGAGGAGATAGCCGGCTTGTGCAGGAAAAGTTGAAGGATGTGGCTCACATTTGTGGAACGTGCGCTGAAGGATCTGATTTTGAGGAGGGAGGTCGAGGGCGTTGAAATTCATTCTGATCTTCAGCATATTTCATCATGGAAATATACACCATTTTGAACTACTTTGAATCTATTTACCTGAAACCTGCAACCCTCAAGACCAAAAATGATCCAATTTTTTACTGTATGTTGGAGGATTTGAAGCACAAGATGTGGGGCTTGTGGATCAATTGGGTTCCGATTCTGCCCGACTCATTCGGCCCTTTGCGGAAAACCAACGTTGTAACGGGTTTCAAAGCAGATCCCATCCCCAAATGGTCATCAATTCACCATAATTCACCAAAAATCTTCCATTACCCATGACGGATCCATGGTGCTGGTATATATGCTAACATCCATTTGGGGTATATTGATGGGATCCATGGCACACCATATATAGAAGCACCGTTAGGATCCGTCATGGGTTATTGTGTGTTTTTATCTGGTCTTCTTCCTGACCCCCCCCCAGTTGCTATATATGGTGTGCCATGGATCCCATCAATAAACCCCCTTTATGTTAGCATGTTTTTTCCATAGGATCATGACCATCAATAAACCCCCATTTATAGATGGTTTACCTATTAAAAATGGGTGGATCTTTCCATGGCAAACTGTTAGTCATAACCAGATGGTACTTCTTGCTGACCATGAAACCCCCCAGTTGACCCAGCCCAACTAGGTGCTTTTGCTGCCATCTTAGCTGATGGATCGGTGGTCAGCTGGGGATCTCCAAGGAACGGCGGTGACAGCTCGGCCCTGGACGGAGGCGACGGCGGCGTCGTGCGTTCGCTGCAGGCGACACAGAATGCCTTCGCAGCGGTGAAGCAGGAGATGGTGACAGAAAATATGGGGAACTCATGGGATTTCGTTGGGTTTCACCAAGGAAAATGGTGGTTTAATATGATTATAATATGATTTTTGATGTGGTTTGGGAGTAGTGGTAGGCAAGTTGGATGATGATTCACTGAAAAACTGACCTCAATGATGGCAGGGGTCCCAATTACGAGCCCATCCTTCAAGGATTCGGACTGGGAGTCAGCATCCCAAGAGGAACTTTCACTAGCCTCTGGTAATGACTAACAGTTTGCTATTAAAAATGACTAACATAGATATTTTGTTCATCCCCAAAGTGAATATATCTCGGAATATATCTGGTGATTATATATATATGGTGAATAATGGTATATAGCCACTGGTTATGTCAACAGTTTGCTATTGAAAATGACCATCATTAAATAGTGGTAATTTACGCAGCAACAGATAGCATGGTGGTTATCTTTCCAGTTCGTTTTTTGGGACTGTTTACCATGTCGGGTATCCAGTGGCATCCTCAGTAGATCGAACTATGTGCGTTTCAGCGTGCGTTTCGCCACGACGTTTTGCAAAATTTCAATTTTTGGGGGATGGATCAATACCTTAGTGCGCACGTATACATTGTGCATTAGGTTATCCAACGATGCTGGTGACTGGCTCAAGAGGTGATGATGGTGGGATGATGGTGGTGACTGGCTCTAGTGAACAAGCGTAGATCAGCCAGGATGCATGGAATCTGCTGAGGATTGTGCTTGACTTGGTCCCTTTTAATGTCAACCAAATCAACCAATGATTCCCCTGCTGGTTTGGCTTGTTGGTTAGGAAGCCCAACATTCACCAGTCAATCATTGGTTGACGGTTGACTTAAGCAGCACCAACAAGCTGGTGCCTTATGGTTTGCTAAGTCGTGTTTTAAACAGGTCTAGCTAGGGTTTATGGTGATTGCTAAACATTATGAATATATATATATGTATATATATATACGTATAAATACGGTTAGATGGGATTATTCACCAGCAAACATATCTGATATATTTTAATTAATTTTCATTATCCAACAAGCATGGTACACCACCTTGAAGGACGGTTCGGTGGTCACCTGGGGCCAAAAGTGGGCTGGCGGCGATTCCCTCAGCGTCCAAGAAGAGCTGAGAGACGTTCGCAGCATCGCAGCCTCGCGCTACGCCTTTGTGGCCCTGAGAGAAGATGGGTGACCTGGAGTTGTGCTGATGGGTTTTGTCGTGCGGGATTTTGGTGGGCATCCCATGCACTTAGTAAAGGGATTTAATAGACCATATAGCTGATGATATGTCCATATATATATACATATATATATACATAGCTGACATATACTAGGGTTATTAGCCACTTAGTCAGTGTGATGCACATTCAAGTAGGCAATGGGAAATGGTGACCATTCTCGGGGATTATAGATATGTATAAATTATAGATATTCTCAAACTGCATATATCTGCACATGATATCGTGTATTGTTTGCAGGAGCCCGGTGTGAATTTTTTGGAGCTCCCAAAAGCACCGAGTTCTGCCAGGAGACTGGTGACTTGGGGATCCGTCGAGCATTCAGATCAGGAAGCGGTCAGGAAACTGGTCGATGTGAAGGAGGTCCAGGCTTCGTATGATGCCTTCGCCGCTGGGATTTGGAGGTTTGGCTGATGTGGGCGGCCGTCTGAAAAGGTTGGAAAACATCCTAAAATCTATGGATTAAAACCTCAAACCCTGCTTTTTTAAGTGGATTTCAGCCACAAGTGGATGATTTTTGGGGGGGGTAGTACGGTAGGCCACAATTTTGGACATGGCGCCATGGGGCTTGGTTTCCGCCAAGGCTGCCTTACACCATGATGGATCTGTCTCTACTTGGGGCGGGCGAAGTTCTGGGGGAGACAGCAGCGCGGTGAAGGAGCAGCTCGTAGCTGTCCAGGAGTTGCGGGTGCATGAGTCACTGGTTGGTGGTTTGGAACATTTTTTATTTTTCCATATACTGGGAATAATAATCCCAACTGACTTTCATATTTTTCAGAGGGGTAGGTCAACCACCAACCAGGTCAAATAGAGGTTTCATTGCTATTCTGGGCGATGGGGAGGTGACTTGGGGACCCCTTTCTCGGCACTATGTGGAGGATATGGACTTTGATCTTTTTGATTAGAAATGGAAGTGAGCTGACTGCTGCATGGATTGAGTTTTTTCCCTGGATTCACGTTTCGTTTCCGCCACGTTGACAGGGTTGTTTAATATTGCATCAGAGATTGCCTCTGTTTTGAAAGGCATCCAAGGTTAGAGAGAGACAAAGGATGGGCCAAAGTTCGCCTGCGTTCGTGCTGTGGACCTGCCAAAAGCCATTGCACTCAGTGTTTCAGGCTGATTGGATCCACAGATCCCAAAGATTTGGTTTGTCTAAAAGTAGGGTACTCCGTACTCCCAATTCCAATGGATTATCATCATTGTTTCCATTAAATTTGCCATTTACAGTAGTGGGTATGCCTCGTTTCAGACAGACCCGTTTGGTCCCCTTAACTATGTGTTTGGTTGCTTTACGGTGATGTGTTGTTGTTTGCCCCCCCGAAAGCCCTTTCGTGAAGTTTGATGGAACCGCCCTATGAAGTCTTAAGGATGTCGACTAACTGAAAGTTATTGTCTGTAAGGACGCCCATGACTGTGTCCAGAGCTCTCATCAGAATTATATACTTATGGTGGTTTCCTAAGCCATGGGTGTACCCCAATAGCTGGATGGTTTATTTCATGGAAAATCCCAAAAAAGAATTGATGATCTCGGGGTAGCCTTGTTTTAGCAAACCTCCATACGTGTATATATATATATTATTATTATTATTTTATTTTATTAATATTGTTTATAATTATTGTTAATTATTGTTATTGATTATTTTTGTTAAATATTATTATTTGTTATTTTGTTATCGGCGTTATTATTATTGATTATTATTTTATATTATTATATAGTTATTATTATATCATTTTATATTAAATGATATTATACCATATTATTTTGTATTATATTATATTATATTATATTATACTACATGATATTATATTATAGTATACTACATGATATTATATTATCTCATTTTATATTAGATGATATTATACCATATTATATGATATTATTATTTTATATCATATTATATTATATTATTTTATTTTATTATATGTTATTATATTATTATATTTTATTATATTATTATATTTTATTATATTATAATATTTTATTATATTTTATTATATTATATCATATCATTTTATATCATATTATTTTATATGATTATATATTATATTATATGATATTATATTATATGATATTATATTATATGATATTATATTATATGATATTATATTATATGATATTATTTTATATGATATGATATTATATTATATTTTATTATATTATTTGATATTATATTTTATTATTTGATATTATATCATATGATATCATATCATATGATATGATATTATGTTATAGCATATGATATTATATTATATTATGTTATATTATTTTATGTTATATTATAATATGTATTATATATATATGTATTATTTATCATGAATTCCTATGATTGTTGCTTAATGCTTTGGCGCCACTTGCTCCGGCGCAAAAAAGGTGGGGGCGTCATAGTGATCCCAAGGGACGGCGAAGCACCTGGTTCGTGCGGAGGCCCAGCTCCGATTTCCGACCCGAGGACCCTGGGGGATCCCCAAAATGCTTGGTTTACCCTCTGGTAATTTAACATGGATAATCTATGGATAATCTATGGTTAATATATGGACAATCTATCTGGTTAATGGTTAATAGTTAACTATACTGGTAATTTATTTAACATAGCTATTGAACATAGCCATTTATAGTGGATTTTCCTATTTAAAATGGTGATTTTCCATAGTTATGTTAGTTTACCAGAGGGTATTTCATGGAAGATCCTATGAAAATGATAGGTTGATAGGTTGATATACATGAAAATGAATGAGAATTGGGGGTACCTCCATTTCAGGAAAGCTTCATCTAGGTTCACCAACTGGATGGGTAGTTTAGGTAGTTTAATCCTGACATTTTTTTGTTTGCTATAAATGCGAATATCATGGAATATCTACTAATCAGCTAAGCATTATTGTTTTTGTTGGGTATCTAAGATTGGCAATGATACAGGAATGAAGCATGAGCCCTTAGCAGTGCTGGTTACAGGGGAAAGAAAAACCTGACTGGAATGATGGTTAGGGTTAGGATTCGGGGAATGATCTTCAGATGGCCGAACTGTTCAGGTTCATGAAAGATTCTAAGTTATATAGCCAGATTGTTGTTGGTTCTTACAGAGGATTCTACTACCTGGTTGAATGGGGATCATTACACCCCATAATAGGAATAATATTTAGTAACCAACCAGTATAATGAGATGGGATAGGGGTATGTTCGGTAGTTGTCATGGCTCATATGACTAAACCCGAGTAAGCCAGCAGAAATAGTGATTCCACATGAGTAAACTAACAGGAATGGAGATGAACCCAACAAAGACATGCAAACGCGGCGACTTCACCACCGCGGATTTCATCAACAAAGATGTGGATCAAACCCTGGCAGCCATCAACAATTGAAATGTAACAAACGAATGGAAGAATGGAATAGAAGTTGTCTCAAAAACACATTGGTAAGCGAACACGACAACACGGGAATTTGTCATAAAGAAGAAGTTTTGTTTCAGCACAATGAGTTTCATTGCCGATTGAACGTGATTGAATGAGTGTTCCACTGGGGACTTGGAGCTGGTTCATATGACTTTCACCTATATGTTCCTTCGCAAATGACAATCAGTTTATAGAACCAAGCCGTTTCCTGTTCGTGGAATCGTTGAATATATTCGTGGGATTCCAAACAGTTGGTGTGTATCTATGTTTTTCAGAAACAGTTTCCGTGCGACTTCGCATGGGTCGCTGTATCATCAATGTCCTGATCAAAGTTGGAAGGTCACAAGGTCACTCACTCAGAACTTGTTCCTGCAACTCAAACATTGGATAGTTCGAGTCATTTGGAAATACTGTAGATCCTTAAATGGAACACCCACCCTTCAGCGACGGACCGATGGTCATCTTGAACCGCTAACCATCGCTGATTATTGGGGTGCACCATCTGTGTTCCTCAAAAAAGGTTCTGGATTCTCAAGGTGGGAGTCAACTAAGACCAAAATGTTCATGCTCCCCTCCAAGCACTTGAGATACATTCATAGTTTGCATTATTTTTCCATATCATCCAAGAACAAACAAAATAATCGGTATCATCATTATTATGTATCTTTATCTCATGATCATCATTGTCATTATCATACCATTGTCATTCTTATTCAGATTTAAGAGAAGATGTGTTTTTCTCCATCAACTTCCAGTCGTTCTGTCGTTGAATGCTCAGATTCCCTGCAGTACGACTAGTCTGTTTGAGGTCCGGAAGCCCGCGAAAGCCGGAGAACTTTCCGAGAATGATGATTGGGAGGTGCACGGGGTCAGTTAAGCCAGGGAAACCAACAACGATAAGGGTGTTTACTAAAGAAATGTGGGAGTTACCTATGAAACACACAGGAGTCAATAATGGTGAAGCATAGGTTCATACTTTAATCATCTATTGTCTTTTTTGATGGGAATATGTTGGGGGAGGATGTGGTTGCGGTAATAGGAACTCGGAATAGACGAAGTTCCTGACCATTGGTCTCCTTTCAAGCTTCCCATTTGATCCCATATGATCTCTCATGGTGGTTCATGGGATATACCCGTTTCTGCTTATATCGCCATGCTGGCCAAATACCATGAAATCTATAGGTCAACAATATCATCCCATAGAACCACTTATAACTTTTAAACCACCATTCACCATGGTTTTTGGTAGGTCTTTGGTAGGTTTTCCATGAACAATTCGCCCCGGTTCTTCGTTCTCGGCGTCGCGCCTCGTGGCCACCGGTTTTTTCAGCCAGGTGATCCACGAGCACCGCGGTGGAAATCGTGGCTTCGAGGTCTCCTTGAAGTTGTTCAAAGAGGCCATGCCAGTGATGTGCCTGGGCATCGCCGATGCATTTCGCTAGGATGATTTCCATGGTGAAAAATGAGGATAGAGTGGGTATGATATATGTAATTGATTACTGTATGATATATGTAATTGATTACTGTATGATATATGTAATTGATTACTGTATCCTATTGCTAATATGAATATCCCTGCTGATATTTTCTGGGGATATTTTTTATTGCCATCAAAAATGTCCAAGTCTGAGGTGAAAAATATTTTTTACCATTATCGTCATCTTGAAAATTGGTTTAGTGGGAAATTATAAGAACTTTGGCCAATCGTTTTCTGGTTGGTGGTTTCAAAAATGAATGAATTATTCTCCATTTCATAGAAAGGGATGTCATCCTTCCCATTGACTCTTTTTTTTCATGGTTAAAACATGTTAAAACCACCAAGCAGTATCATAATCCCCTGGTAATTTTGTTACTGTTTGCTATTGAACATGGCCATCAAAACAGTGGATTTGCCCAGCTGGAAACTGGTGGATCTTTCCAGTTCGTTATTTTTCACAGTTTACCAGGCCGGGTATCTCCCAGTAAATCCCATTAGATCCTATGAATTCCCATTAAGTCACCATAAAATCCCATTAGTTTTCCCATTAAGTCACCATAAAATCCCATTAAACACCATTAAGTCACCATAATTCACCATAAAATCCCATGGAAAATCCCATTGATTTGGATTGTTTGTGGCCAAATAACTGAAAAACATCCTCCCCTCGTGGATTTTTTCTGTTACAGAGATCTTTTCCAGAGGCTAATCTCCTGGGGACGATCCCAAAGGATGACAGAAATTCTCTGGCGCTGTGGGCTTCAGTTTTGGGCTCCAATCCGCCAAAAATTAGTGATTCAATGGGATTTTCCATGGGATTTTATGATGACTTAATGGGAATTCATAGGATCTGATCTCTATAATGGGATTTACTGGGAGATACCCGGCCTGGTAAACAATCGATATATTTTTTTCGGGGATTTTGGCGAAGGTTGAGTATCGCATTGCCATGAATTATTGGAGAAGATGGCATGGCAAAGTATGTACCAATTTACCAATGTACCAGGTGAGGCCCTTGTTTCGTTGGGAAAATGGGCTAGAAAATTGTGGATTCATCGAATTGGGAATTCAGGGCTGATTTATGATAGCTAAGTTGATTTGGAACTAGGTCAACTTTATTGGCTTTATGGTGTAGATATATCGAACTAGTTAAAGGATGTTAAATGGGATAGACCTTAAGCAACATAACTGGAGGGCATCATTTTGCGGTCAAAAGTTGGATGAGATGAACAATTGACCATCTGGTTATGACTAACAGTTTGCCATGGAAAATCACCATTTATAATAGGCAAACCATCTATTTCTATGGGCCATCTATACCATGGCTATGTTAGTCATAACCAGAGGGTAAACACATATTAACACCATTGGGGGATGGTCATCGCAGCATTTTCACCGGGATGACCATGGGCAGAGCCGGCTCCGGAGCCGAGAAAAAATGGTGGCGGTATACGTCGGTGTTTTTCGTCGGATTATGATGGACTATGGTATATTAATACGGATTTATGCACAAAATTACTTTACTTCGAGTTATCCCCACAATGACATCTATACGTTTTGTTACTGGCAAATCTTCTGGCATTCTATCTGACATATCTTCTGGCATTTTATCTGGCATATCTTCGGGCATTCTATCTGGCATATCTTCTGCAATATGTTCTGGCATATCTTCTGCAATATGTTCTGTCATATCTTCTGACGTTCTATCTGGCATTCTATCTGGCATATCTTCTGACGTTCTATCTGGCATTCTATCTGGCATATCTTCTGACGTTCTATCTGGCATTCTATCTGGCATATCTTCTGACGTTCTATCTGGCATTCTATCTGGCATATCTTCTGACGTTCTATCTGGCATTCTATCTGGCATATCTTCTGACGTTCTATCTGGCATTCTATCTGGCTTCTGATCTTCTGACGTTCTATCTGGCATATCTATCGTGGCATATCTTCTGACGTTCTATCTGGCATTCTATCTGACGTTCTATATCTTCTGACGTTCTATCTGGCATTCTACGTCTGGGCATATCTTCTGACGTTCTATCTGGCATTCTATCTGGCATATCTTATCTGACGTTCTATCTGGCATTCTATCTGGCACATTCTATCTGGCATTCTATCTGGCATATCTTCTGACGTTCTATCTGGCATTCTATCTGACGTTCTATCTGGCATTCTATCTGGCATATCTTCTGACGTTCTATCTGGCATTCTATCTGGCATATCTTCTGACGTTCTATCTGGCATTCTATCTGGCATATCTTCTGACGTTCTATCTGGCATTCTATCTGGCATATCTTCTGACGTTCTATCTGGCATTCTATCTGGCATATCTTCTGACGTTCTATCTGGCATTCTATCTGGCATATCTTCTGACGTTCTATCTGGCATTCTATCTGGCATATCTTCTGACGTTCTATCTGGCATTCTATCTGGCATATCTTCTGACGTTCTATCTGGCATTCTATCTGGCATTCTTCTGACGTTCTATCTGGCATTCTATCTGGCATATCTTCTGACGTTCTATCTGGCATTCTATCTGGCATATCTTCTGACGTTCTATCTGGCATTCTATCTGGCATATCTTCTGACGTTCTATCTGGCATTCTATCTGGCACATCTTCTGACGTTCTATCTGGCATTCTATCTGGCATATCTTCTGACGTTCTATCTGGCATATCTTCTGACGTTCTATCTGGCATTCTATCTGGCATATCTTCTGACGTTCTATCTGGCATTCTATCTGGCATATCTTCTGACGTTCTATCTGGCATTCTATCTGGCATATCTTCTGACGGTCTATCTGGCATTCTATCTGGCATCTCTTCTGACGTTCTATCTGGCATTCTATCTGGCATATCTTCTGACGTTCTATCTGGCATTCTATCTGGCATATCTTCTGACGTTCTATCTGGCATTCTATCTGGCATATCTTCTGACGGTCTATCTGGCATTCTATCTGGCATATCTTCTGACGTTCTATCTGGCATTCTATCTGGCATATCTTCTGACGTTCTATCTGGCATTCTATCTGGCATATCTTCTGACGTTCTATCTGGCATTCTATCTGGCATATCTTCTGGCATTTTATCAGTTTGTTCATCCAAACATCGGCGGGACGAGACTTCCTGTTGAGGTGCGCGGCGGCCGTCCATCTAGCTCTATGGGCCATCTTTACCATGGCTATGTTAGTCATAACCAGAGGGTAAACACATATTAACACCATTGGGGGATGGTCATCGCAGCATTTTCACCGGGATGACCATGGGCATTGTTGGCTGTATACGTCGGTGTTTTTCGTCGGATTATGATGGACTAGGGTGCATTTTAATATGGATTTATGCACAAAAGAAATTGATCATTGCATTTTCTCGTAATTTAACATAGTTTAAACATCATTCAACATGTAAGAACATCATAAGTTACTTAGTGGTTCATCTCACTTGGTAGGTGAGTTCACCCAAATATCAGTGGATTCAACCTACCTGTTCTACTAACAACGCCTTGGTTATAACCAACTTACCATGTCTGGGGTGAGCCCCTCCACCTTAGTTCTGGAAGCGGGAGCCAGCTGACTTTCCCATGACGATTGTTTCTCAATGCAAGATGATTCAAGAAGAAACTTGTTGAGCCACCATTGAATCCCATCAAGTCAATATAAAACCCCCATAAAACCCCATTAACCACTGGTGAACTAACATAGCTATTGAAAATGGCCATAGAAATAGTGAGTTGTCCCATTGAAATTGGTGATTTTCCATGGTTAAGTTAGTTTACCAGAGGGTAAAACCCCCATTTTCAACCCCATTGAACTATAACCCCTGGGGTCAGCCACCGGATGATCCACCAGTTTCTTCATCCAAAAATTGGCGAGACGAGACTTCCTGGTACCCTCTGGTAATTTAACATAGCTATTGAAAATGGCCATTTATAGTGGATTTTCCCATTAAAAATGGTGATTTTCAATAGCTATGTTTGTTTACCAGAGGGTACCTGAGGTGCACGGCGGCCGAAGCGATCGCCACGGCAGTGGGAGCGCCCTTCCTTCGCCGGGGGCGCTCAGACGGCGCATGGAAACGGGCGTGAATGGGATAGGATAGGGGTGTTTTGGATGAAAAAATAGATCAAAACTCTGGGGGTTCAGAATATATCATTTAATTCATAGTGGTTAAAAAAAGCAGGATTTACATGTGTGTATATATATATATATCAAGTATAGTGTTATTTTAAGTATTAACCATATGGGGAGACTATTCATACCTGATGGTTGGTTGATGATAATAATCTGATAATCCATGACGTGGGAATCTCTCGAAAAAACACCGTTACAAGAGAGATTCAAACAGGTGACATTGCTGAACTGGTCTCCAAGAAACTAGTGACTATTCGCCCCAATGGCAATGGGAAATTCCCTCTAAATGGAGGTTTATAGCTCGGAAAATCATCTACACACAGGGAACTGTCGAGGATCTACAAGGTCAAGCGAGAGGCTGTCGAGAAGGTTGTTCTCATCGGGTCCATGCAGTTGTGGGCGATCCTCCCGCAGCTGCTTTCAGGTCGCCAACCGAAGCGGAGACAATGAAGCGATCGACTGGTGGTGCCTTGGATGCCTTCTCCATGAGCTGAGAACAGGCGGACAATCAGGCGCCTGGCAAGGCCAGCCATCACCGCGAGATGATCGGTATTTGTCTTTCATCCCCACAAATTCACTTGATTCGTAGGTCATCGGGCAGACCAACAGAGGCTACGACCAGTCATGCGACTTGTGGGCACTGGGCATCTTGCGCTATGAACTTTGCACAGGAGGGAGAACCTTTGGAATCGAGGTGACCGTCGCGGGCCCAAAGCGACCGCAGCACGTCACCAAAGGCTGCATCGTGATCGCAACTCGGGCCAGCGCTGACTTCAAAGCCACCCTGAATGGCCGTCCGTCACCTGGATGGAAAACCACCGGCATGCTTGACGGATCCTCAACTATGCATTGCCATGTGGGCATGGGTCAAAATCATTCAAAATCATACCATGCAACCACCAGGATTAGTCCTGAAGATGGGGGACTCTGATATTTATTGATATTTGACAAAAAGATTATTTTTAGAAAGATCGTTCATTCATATTAATTCATGTTTATTCATGTTCTGTTATGCTCATTCTGATATTACTGATGTGCCCAAAAAAATGCGTCAACCTGTGGATGGAAATGGAAAGCATGAAACTCGCGAATGGCTACAGCAGGCCCGGTATGGTATTTTTTGGAAGAAACCACATGTGACAGTCATGTATGTATCTATGGAAAACCCCATTAAGATCCCATTGAAATCATCCATTGAATCCCATTGAATCCCATTATTAGTTCATTAAACCCCACTAAACCCCATTAAACCCCATTAAACCCCATTAAGATCCCATTAACCCCCTTAACAAGCCTCATATAGCCACCATTCCCACCGTTTCCACGCCGTTTTTTCGGGCACCGCCGGAGCACCCGGAGCACCCGGAGCACCCGGGCTGTACTCGCTTTCAAGGCTCCGATTTCTTCGTGGGCGATTCCAGGTGGGGATGTGTTACTTCTGGGTTTTTTTAATCTATGATCAATAATAATCGAAGGAAGTTTAGAAGTCAAACTTCCGACAATATGGAGAGATGAAAAGCAGAGCAGGGAAGAGGCAGAGAGAAGAGGAAGATTAGAAGAGAGAAGATCAGAAGAGAAAGAGTAAGAAGACAGAAGATACAGTTGCGCGAAAAGGTAGGAAAGTCGCGAAACACTGTGTTTTTCCAATGATTTGTGGCTCCGGAGGGTCGAAAAGTAGGCTCGCTAAAGCGGCGGGTGCGGAGCCAGCTGGCCACAGGAGCGATGAAAAATTGCACGCCGTTGTGGCGCGAAGCACATTTTGAAGTCAAAATGTACAAAACACACCATGGTCGGACCACTTTTGGAAGTTGCGATGTCGAAAAAGTGCACGCCGTTGTGGCGCGAAGCACATTTGGAAGGCAAAATGTACAAAACACACCAATGTCGGACCACTTTTGGAAGTTCCGATGTCGAAAAAGTGCACGCCGTTGTGGCGCGAAGCACATTTCCAAGTCAAAATGCACAAAACACACCATGTTCGGACCACTTTTGGAGGTTCAGATGTCGAAAAAGTGTCGAAAAAGTGCACGCCGTTGTGGCGCGAAGCACATTTCGAAGTCAAAATGTACAAAACACCACATGTTCGCGCCACTTTTGGAAGTTCGGATGTCGAAAAAGTGCACGCCGTTGTGGCGCGAAGCACATTTCGAAGTCAAAATGTCCAAAACACCTCAGCTCCGGACCACTTTTGGAAGTTGAGATGTTGAGAAAGTGCACGTCGTTGTGGCGCGAAGCACATGTCCAAGTCAAAATGTCCAAAACACCAGGGGCTCGGACCATTTTTGGAGGTTCAGATGTTGAAAAAGTGTGCGCCGTTGTGGCGCGAAGCTCACTTCGAAGTCACACTACATTACACTACATTACACTCCAGTACGCTCCGCTACACGCAATTACACTACACTACACCACACTACATTACACTGAATGACACTGCAACACAGATAGACAGCTAGACAGGTAGACAGATGAAAGGGAGAGAGAGATAGACAGGTAGGTAGATAGATAGATAGATAGATAGAGAGGTAATTAGATGAAAGAGAGAGAGAGAGAGGCCAGCTGGGTAGATGAGATAGATAGATAGATACACAGATACATCGATAGATGCATAGATCGATACATGGAGAGATAGATAGATACATGGAGAGATAGATAGATAGATAGATAGACAGAGCGATAGATAGATCGATAGATAGATAGATGGATAGATAGACACATAGATAGGTCGATAGATAGATAGACACATAGATAGATACATAGATAGATGGACAGACAGACAGATAGAGAAATAGATAGATCGATAGACAGACAGATAGATAAATAGTTAGAGGGACAGCTAGAGAAATAGATGGCGAGACAGACAGATAGATACATGGACACAAAGACAGATAGTACCAAGACAAATAGAGAAATAGATGGGTAAAGACATAGACAGATAGATGACAGATAGAAAGACAGACAGATAGAGAGAGAGAGATATTTATATATATATATACCTTACAAATCCAAAACCAAAGTTTTTGCAGGGTTTGCTCAAATACCCAGGGTTTACACACAAAACCCGAGGCAGCTGAAGACTCCTGTTCGCACCGCCTGGAAAAAAAGACGCTGCAGGGGCACCGTGAGGGGGACACGTCGGAGGGATGGGCAACACTTTTTCATGTTTTTCTTCTACAACTACACTCCACTACATTCCACTACACTCGACTACACTAAATTACACTACACTACACTACATTACACTACACTACACTACATTCCACTACACTTCACTACATTACACAACACTACCTTACACTGAATGACACTGCACCACAGATAGACAGGTAGACCGATAGACAGATAGATAGATAGATAGATAGATGGATAAATAGATGGATAAATAGATAGATAGATGGATGGATAGATAGATAGATTGATAGATAGATAGATAGATAGAGAGATAGACTGGTAGACAGCTAGACAGATAGACAGATGAAAGAGAGAGAGAGAGAGAGATCGATAGACAGATAGATACATAGATAGATAGATAGATTGGTAGGTAGGTAGGTAGATAGTCAGAGAAAGCGAGAGAAAGAGTGAGAGAGATCAAGCACCTTTCGGTCCATCAGTGGCTTCGCTCTGCCATCCCTGATTCACAACAACCAACCTCTCCTATAGGTTTCCTATTTTTGAAACTTCCGCCACCGCCTTGTGCGGTACTACTGGTAACATTTATGATAGTATTAATATTAGCTTGATTTTTATATAATCTATGATAATAATAACATAATAATAATAATAATGGCTTGATAATATATAATAGCTATTGATAATATTGATGTGAACAATAATGAGCTATTGATAATATTATATAATATTGATATGAACAACTCTATATGATCAATAGCTTAATATACACAATCAATAATACATATATACTTATATATACTTATATATATATGTACATGTATATTATATATTTAGACATATGTGCCATGGTCAAGGTCAAAACTTGGGTTGCTTTCCCCCCCAAAAAAAATGATAATTTGGTCGGTGGATCTTCCGGGGGGTACTTCAGTTAGGAGGTGCTTAGGAGGTGCTAAGTATGTGTTTTTTTTATGTAATACCTGTAGTTCTAAGATGTTATATGATCATATAGTATGCAACCCCCAAAAAAAACAGAAGTGAATTATCATGAGTTATCACTATGTTGATAGGATGTCGCTTCTCTATGCTTCTCTATCTTTTGGTTGGGGTTGCGATCAAACTATCAGCATTTGTGCACCTGAGAATTTTAGGGACCAAGAGGATGATCGAAGTGGATCGCAATCCATCCATGAGTTTTTTGTCCCACTAAAAAATGGTGAAAAAGGATGTTCTGATTTGAATGTGCACCTCATATTTTCAGATTTTTTGAGATATCCATGGATATCCATGTTGAAAACAATGTTTTTTACAAACTCGTTTCATAGACAAATCTTGGGGGTGCAAACATGCCCTTAGTAGGAAACACATCCAGTATATAAATGCTCTGTTGCTGATTTGGCCATTGTTTTGCCTTGAATAGTTTTGCTCCCTCTTTCGCGGTGATGTCTTCATTTTCTGTTGGCCGCGATGCGCGATTTGGAAATAGGTCAATGATTTTCTGGCTATGGCTGAAGTGATTATTTGACCCCAAAAAATAAGTCCATAGAAGTAATCCACACAGCTAAATCATTGATCTGGGTTCTCAACCATTTGACCCATCACCACTCCTGGATATCTTGCCTTTAAGTAGCCAATCTGCGATCAAAAGCACCTCTTCAACACTGGCATCCCAAAAGGTCACAAGGTCACAAGCAACGGGGATGATCCGAGTGAAGGCCCAATTACATCCAATTACATCCAGTTACAATTTCCAACTACGATTATAGCACACATACTTGCACACATTGTCACTCATAAATACATTTATAAGTTGTTTATAAGTTATATGTAAGTTATATATGTTAAGTTATCCAGGGAAGTGCAACAAAACCACCATGATCTTGGACAGCTGGTTCTGGATGCCCTTTTTGTGCAGGTTTTGGGGGCTCGCACCATCCCCGTCTCTGGGGATCAGTATCCATTTGGGATGGATGACCATAAACCATATACATCCATAGTCCATAGTCACCATGTTTGGACCCCACATATGGGGACAAGACAAGGGGATGATGGGATCACCCAATCCCCCAATCTCCTCAATATGTTTTTACCTCCCATAGCCCCCTGAACTGTCGCGAAAAGGTAGGAAAGTCGCGAAACACTGTGTTTTTGCAATGATTTGGGGCTCCGGAGGGTCGAAAAGTAGGCTCGCTAAAGCGGCGGGTGCGGAGCCAGCTGGCCAGATGAGAGATGAAAAATTGCACGCCGTTGTGGCGCGAAGCACATTTGCAAGTCAAAATGTACAAACACACCAGGTTCGGACCACTTTTGGAAGTTGAGATGTCGAAAAAGTGCACGCCGTTGTGGCGCGAAGCACATTTCGAAGTCAAAATGTTCAAAACACACCATTGTCGGACGACTTTTGGAAGTTGAGATGTCGAAAAAGTGCACGCCGTTGTGGCGCGAAGCACATTTTGAAGTCAAAAAGTACAAAACACACCACGTTCGGACCACTTTTGGAAGTTGCGATGTCGAAAAAGTGCACGCCGTTGTGGCGCGAAGCACATTTCGAAGTCAAAATGTACAAAACACACCATGTACGGACCATTTTTGGAGGCTCAGATGTCGTTTCGTGTGGCAGGCGCAAGGGATTGTGGACCTTGTCAAAAGTGAGCAAAACGGGAGGGTTTTGTAGCATTTTCAACTACAACCGCCTCTGCACCACACTACACTCCAATACATTACACTACACTACAACTACAACTACACCTTCACTACATTCTACTACACTACACTCCCCACACTACACTGCACTCAATTACACTCAATTACACTACACTACACTACATTACACTACATTACACTACACTACACTACCTTCCACTACACTACACTACATTACACTACATTACACTACACTACATTACACTACACTACACTACCTTCCACTACACTGCATTACACTACACTACACTCCACTACACTACACTTCACTACATTACACTACAACTACAACTGCACAACTACACTCCACTACACTCCGCTACACTCCACTACACTAAATTACACAACACGAAATTACACTACACTACACTACATTGCACTACACTCCACTACACTGCACTACACTACCGTACACTACACTACACTACCTTCCACTACACTGCACTACATTACACTACACTCCACTACACTACAACTACAACTACGACTACACAACTACACTCCACTACACTAAATTACACTACACTACACTACATTACACTACGTTACACTCCACTACACTACATTACACTACACTACACTACCTTCCACTACACTTCACTACATTACACTACACTACACTCAACTACACAACTACAACTACAACTACACTCCACTACACTCCACTACACTAAATTACACTACACTACATTAGACTACACTACACTACATTCCACTACACTTCGCTACATCACACAACACTACCTTACACTGAATGACACTGCACCACAGATAGACAGATAGATAGATCGATAGATGGATAGATGGATAGATGGATAGGATGGATAGGATGGATAGGATAGGATAGGATAGGATAGTAGGATAGATAGATAGATCGATCGATAGATCGATAGATAGATCGATCGATAGATCGATAGATCGATAGATCGATAGATAGATAGATCGATAGATCGATAGATCGATAGATAGATCGATACATCGATACATCGATACATCGATACATCGATACATCGATACATCGATACATCGATACATCGATACATCGATACATCGATACATCGATACATCGATACATCGATACATCGATACATCGATACATCGATACATCGATACATCGATACATCGATAGATCGATAGATTGATAGATTGATAGATCGATAGATCGATGGATCGAGAGATCGATAGATCGATCGATCGATCGATCGATAGATAGATAGACAGGTTAATAGATAGATAGATAGATAGATAGATAGATTAATTAGATTAATTAGATTAATTAGATAGATAGATAGATAGATAGATTAGATAGATTAGATAGATTAGATAGATTAGATAGATAGGTAGATAGATAGATAGATAGATCGATAGATACATAGGTAGATAGATAGGTAGGTAGGTAGGTAGATAGTCAGAGAAAGAGAGAGAAAGGGAGGAGACATCAATCACCTTTCGATCCATCAGTGGCTTCGCTCTGCCATCCGTAATTCACAACAACCAACCTTTCCTATAGGTTTCCTATTTTTGAAACTTCCGCCACCGCCTTGTGCAGTACTACTGGTATGGGGAAGGAATTACTAGCTAATCTTCTGCTATAAAGCTGGGAAATTTATTATATAGCCCAACTAGTTTTTTTGGATGTGCAGGCTTTCCAACTGTGGCCATGTTATTTGTTCTTCACGCGCAGGGGATTGGGGATTTGAGATGATTTGAGACTTCAACATTCTTGAAGATCACAACTTGTCATGTTTTGTCCCTGTTGAAAATTATACTCCAAAGTTTGTTATCAAGTCTATACCGTCCAGTTTTTTTTATGTACACCACACCGGAAAAAGCCTTCTGCAGGGAAGGGCCCGCTCGGATGGAACATGATGGAACCAGCATCATGAAATACTCGTTGTGATGTCAGTCAACTGACGGGCGGCGAGGTTTTGTTGGGGGAAGTGGTGGTGTGGAGGTGCCCATGCCAATGCCCGTGGGACATGGAGGTGTGGGAGGCAAAGCCCTGGCCAGAAGATTTGAAGGGCTTGGTCCCAGAAGATGTTGTATTGGTCAGCCGGGATGGGCACGGCACGCCCGCATGGCTGGTGGGGACTATGACGGCGATCTGAACATGTTTTCCTTTGACAAGGACTTACTCGATGTGGTCAAAGCTACCGAAGATAGGATCCGCCAGCTGCCAGTGGAGGACTTGGACCAGCAAGACGGTACACTTAAAGGAAATCAGTTTGGAAAGCTGAGTTGGCCGCTCCTAGATTGCAGCTGTGAATGGCACAGATTCACTGTTCATAGTTTTCTTCAGATCTTCAGGAGATATAGCTGCTAATATAGCTATATTTCTTTTGGGAATTTGGTTCCAGCCATGTGCTACTTGGGACGGTATTTTCAACCACTTGGGATCATCGTTGAGTCCAGCAGGTGGGGCGTTCGACTGAATGAAGTCGCTTATGGCAGCGGAATCTCGGCAGCGTTGGAGGGGCGACGTCGGCCGTCGTGGCTGAGAGGCCGGCCCCTAGGAAAAGATGGGAAAATCATAGGACAAGATGGGAATTCCGCATGAAAAGATAGGAAAATCCTAGGAAAATCGAAGGAAAAACATGGGAAAATATGGGACATACCCGAACTCAATGGAGTTAGGCTCAAGCCAGGAAAATCATCTATGAATTACGGATGTTCCAGGTTTGACTACAGGATTGTTTGTTTAACAGTTTGTCATGGTATAAATGGATATAAACGGCCCATAGAAACAGATGATACACATGGCGAATTGCCTGCTGATTTCACGTTGATTTTCGCAAACCGTTGAATAACGAGAGCGTAAACAATATTTTTCCGGCTGATGATCATGGAAATATTGGCATATGATATTGATGCTGGGCAAAATTAGGATTCAACTGATGAAAACGAAGGACTAAGATTCAATCATTGGATTCCAACATGGGTTTGTCATGAATCTTGGCTACTTCAAAGGACCCCTGTGGCCGATCGAGGCCAATCGATGATGCGTATACTGGAAAAAATGGGCAGTTTGAAATTATGGCATACGTTCAAACCAAAATCAGTGATTTCTTTGGTCCCAGAATGATGGTAGGTTAAACGGTTAAACAGCTTTGCGCAAGCCCAAGACCATGTGTGGTGATCCCTCATCTGATCTACACATGTTCTCGAAGAGAATCAGATTTCGGCTACGCCGACGCACATCAAAAAAATGCACAAGTGTAGTCCTTCGCAGGAGCAAAACCATATAAAACCATCCAATTTTCTGGAGTTTTATTGATTCTCCGTTTTTTGTCATATAGATCATCATGCTATCGTTTACATTTTGCGCTCGTCCAGTTTTTGTTGGTCACACCCAAAGACCGATGATGGTTCGACGATGTCAATCATTTGGGATATAGAGAAGGCTCACCATTTCAGTATAATAATTTTGAGCTGTACGTCAAAACCTGTCCCTACACGATGTATCCTTTCAATATCTTTCAGAGGGACTTGACTCGCAGATTGACGATTACCTCGCAAAAGGTGAGACACTGGCAGCGAATAACGTTGCAGCGTTTTTTTGTAGTACACACTGTGTGCTGGTTGTGTACGTCATGCCGCCCCTTCCTTTGTGGCTTCTACCTATAACGTCAACCCTGGATCAATATACACATGGTTAGTTTAAGTGGCCATGCGGCGGTGGCAACCCACTGTCGCCGATTCGGCAGGTCAAAACGTTGGCTTTAGCCATACACAGGGGGCACTTAATACCCAACATATTTTTTCCATTACGGCTGGGAGTCCAGAAACCAGTGTGAATCCATGTTTGACATTAGCCACAGATGTTACATCCAGAGATGGGATTCAGTGAACTATCCAAGCATTCACAAAGACGATTTTAGATGAGAGTTTTTACGACGCTTTCGGGTATGCCCAAAAATGGCAGTTGGAATAGGAAACATTGGGGTTCATAATGGGTTTGTCTGAAAATAAGGTACTTCTATCCATATATATATATATATAGATAGATAGATCATAGTTGAACATCATTTTCCTTAGCCATAATTAGGGCTATACTCATTTCCTGACACACCCGCATGTGATTTGATTTTTTGGGTGCTTTATGTGTGTTGGGTCATTTGACCACGTAGCTGGAGCATCAAAATGAGGAACTGTGGGAACCATAGCCATATGACCAGTGATATCCCAGTGATCCTATCCCCCTAAATCCCCCTAATATGAAATATTCCGATAATACGGGCCCCCAAAAAATGACTAGATCCAATACTAAACCAGCAGGGATTAGATTCCAAAAAGGTGGGTGTAATGGTAAGTTGGTTGAAGGTCAACGAATGGGTTTCTGGCAGATATATCTAGGTTGTAAACTAAGAAAGAGAACTACTATTGAAGTATATAGTTTTTACCCTATCAAAGCCCTTTTTTTCTCCCTTCAAAAAAACCTCATATAACCATATATAACCACCATTAAATCATTTCTTGCTTTGTTTCCCTGCCAAGGCGTGGACTACCGGCGAAAAGAAAAGAGCTCCAAGCAGACCAAGGGGGGCAGCTGGCGAGGGTTTGGGCAGCTCAGGGATCTGCAGGAATTGGGAGAAAGTTTGGGGATGCCACCAGCAATGCCACCAGCAAAAATGGTTAACACCGGGATGTACAGATTTGGCGGGAATTGTTTGAGCTACTGGCTACATTTTGGAGGAATGGAGCTGGATGAAGCTAGTGGAGTGCAAAAGTTTCATACTTTGAACTTCAAAACCTTGAACATGGAATATCTACTAGGCTATTTTTGTTTGAGATTGGTAGTTGATAGAATGCGGGTGATAAGCCACAATTGTTTTTGTTGTACTGGGACGATTTTGATACAACGGCAAGAAACATTCAACTGGCCGTAATGGATGCAGCAAGAGGTACGGATCTACTCAGGCCAGTTGAGGCCAGACGAGTTTCACAAGGGTGCAACCGTTCAGCGGCCAACATGTGATCGCAACCGTTGCAAGCATAGATGTGTATAGATCAGTATACAGTATTTAGCCATTAGATTTCATAGCTTATGTGTCTATATGTTAGAATAGCCATATACGTCTCTAATTGATCCACAAGTGTATTTCCCTTTTTTTGCGTTGCTAATCACCCATGTTACCCAGATCTATATACATGTATGGACCAAGTTTGGCGGGTCCCAATATGTCCCAATGCCATAAATGATCCTCGAGTCATCACCATGGCGCCATGGCTTGGTTGGCTATGTACAACTCTTTATCAAACCATCATATGGGATTATGGCAGTGAGGGTTTCAAAAACATCTGGATGAATCTGTAAATATATGTATGTACATCATATAGATGATATAGATCATATATAGATCATATCGGTGTTATGAATTCATATGGATCATATAGATGATATAGATCATATGGATCATGTCGGTGATATAGATTGATATGGATCATGATATACCAATGATATCCGCGTGGTATCCCCATCTTTTTTCAGGCTGGCCGATGACGGTCCAGCCATTGCAGAGATCTTGCAGGTGCAGACGAGCGCCAAGACATATGGCTGTGGCTTAGAATTACCTTTGGTTTTATGATAGATATAACGAACTAATAGAGGATCTTGGACGAGATGATTTAAGTGTCTTAACTATGGTTTATGGTATTTACGTAGATATAAAATGGTATCCAAAGTGTTCATGGGGTTTATAAACCAACGTTCACATAACAAAAAAAGGGGCACCATCCTGTAGGATTTCTGGGAATGACTGGGGATGGTTCCAATCCCACCCATAAAAATGGTGAATTTGGGGCTTGGGGGGAGAGTTTGTGAAAATGTGTTCACCACATCACCACTGAACATCTGGAGCAATCTCCAAATTTGTCTCGACCTGGTTGGGAAAGCCTCCAGATCCAGTGGTCCCTCTTCAAAGGTCATGAATTGGGGATTGATCTGTTTCACGGAGAGGCAACCAATGGATTGGTACAATGACTGGTTTGCTAGCTTGGTGTTACCAATGTTCCATGATGGTTTGGGAGGGTGCTGATTCACTGAAATACACGTCTCCAGTGGAGATGTACTACTATTCAATGTCAACCCCCCAGAAAGGTATTGACAAACCTTGCTTGACATCGACATTCGGGGCAGTAGTGCCCCAACATGGACTTGATGTTGGCCATGTTGCAAGCAAAAATTCCCAGGATGTTTTTGACATGTGTTTCAAATTTTTGAAACAAAACCGAATAGAGTCAAGTAACTGGGAGACCCCGCTTTTCACCACGGTTATTTCAGGGCAAGCTGGACAACCGCCACAGGAAGGCTTCAAGGTGTGCCAACGACAGCCACCTGCCGACTTCCTGCGCACGTGGCGTGGTTGCAGGTAGAGTCACAGCCGTTGAAGATAGCATTGTTGAACTTCGTCACCTTTTCGGGCTTTGTGCAATTTTATACCACCTGTTTTGAATCAATAGTGATTACAGTATTAGAAATTATTACAAGCCATATTAGGAATGCCCATGAATCCAAGCCATTGACCAGAACAGCGAAATCTGGGTCAGTCAGGGCCAACATTGGGTGTGAGGAAAAAGCCGATTGAGCATCTTTGAAACAAAAATATCAATAATGTGGGTAAAGCAATAATAAACCATCCCCAGTACCATTTTTATAGGTGGTATGTTTACCATTCCCAGTCATGGGTGGTTATAATTGTTTCATCCACATTATCTGAATCTAAATTGAATCCATCTCCACTTTCAAGGAATATCTTAAGGTCCTCAACTACAGGCAGAGCCAGGACCGAAAGCCCTCAACGGAATGGATTGAGGTCAGATAACATCCCGGTGCAGGATGTCAATATCCTCAACCACCATGAGAGATTCATACAACTAAGATTAAGAGGTCTTGGACTGCTTCGATACTTAGAAGTTTGCAATGCAAACCTTTGAAACAGGAGTATCCGGATTGACCAATTTGATACCCACATGTTTTCTATTGCAATGGTCCGGATACAGTAGTTCAACGGTGTTGGGGGGCAGTTGACAGTGCTGGTTTACCCCAGGGTACAGCAGGTGTTCGTTGCCAGCTTAGATTACTAGACGGTATATATGTATTTCCTTTTGATAAGCGTATATCTAGCACGGCTACAATGTGAGGCCCCCGTTCGATAGCTAAGTTGGCGCACATAACTCCAATTTCACTATGGTTTATGGTACGCAAATAACTTAAACTAGTATTCCTGGGGCGAATCTGTTAACCAATGTTCACATCACTTCACGGGGGGCCTCACATTGATCCGCATCAGTTTCTGGATGTATTTCCATTCCGAGGTTGGGGGCCAAAAATGCCATCTATGAGGCAGATTGGAGACGATTGGAGTCATGATTTTTCCCTCAAAAAAAATGACATCCAAGGATACATCAAGTGGAAATCACTACAAGCCAGTACTGGTATTTATGAACAATTTTATATAACTCCTGAAAAACCATCATTTTTGGCGGGTTTTTTGTTTGGGAGCCCCATCTGAAACCATGCTTTTTGGATCGATCTCAATTCTGGATGATGTTCCTTACATGCGGTGAAACTCCTTTTCTGAACTCTTTCTGATGCGATTAGAAGGTATGTTGCGTACTACCGATTTACGTCAGTATCTATCTATCTCTATCTATCGATCTATCTATATACCTGACATATGGGTTCGTTTGGAAATGGGTGGGGATACGCCCAAATCGTCAATTTGAAACGTTTAAAAGCAAATTGTTGTGTAAGATCTGGGTTAATGATGGTTACTAGTGGTTTATAGTGCTTAATAGTGGTTAAATGACGGTTAGTGGAGTGGTTTAGGGGAAAAACTACAGGAACCCCCCGGAATATCCAGGATTTCCTGTAGAATTTCCCTTAAACCAATCCATTGAAAATGACTCATGAGCGACCCAACATCCAAAAAAAAATCACAGGAAAATTAAAATGAGGATTAATCTTCAAGTTTGGGACCCTATTCTCACACAACCCCCAAATTTGCACATTTTATCATTGGAGGTTCCTGAAAAAGAATTGAATGCATCTTCCGGCTGAAGGTGTTAGATTCAGATATTGTGGCGTTAATAAACAAAGATATGATGATATGGAAATTCATGGTTTTTCTCTAGGAACAATCTTTACAAATGGTGGATTTTCCATGTCTGTGTGAATTGATTGTAGGGCAAGTTTAACTTTCTATACTGGATCTCCCAGGGTTATCTTTCCCCGTTGCTTTTTGGAGAAGTGAAATTTCAGTTTACTTTGGTTCATGAGGCTGGGTTTTAACTGATTTGCCGCCTTTCGGACTGAACGTTCTGGAACATATCATATACTCTATACATATCTGGGGTATAGTGACCTCATTCAAATCTTGGCTAGGGAAATCATCCCCATAGCTTTAAACAGGTGCTTCGATGGATGTGTCTGAACAGGGCGTATACCGACCGTATACCCCAAAATGAATCAGATAATGGCCCTTGTCATTGGGAAAATCATGGTAAACATTGATAAACCATGAAATCTTGGGGTATCCGATTTTGACAAACATTGATAAACCCATGGAAATTTTGGGGTAAGTGAAACATTGATAAACCATCATTGAAAATCAGATGTTCAGACAGATCCACGCATAACCCACACTTGACCTGGTGGAATCCGGGCCCCAACTTGTGCCATAAGTGATGCCACCTTACCAAGACCCCAGGTCCTGTGAACCGCAGATGATAAAGATATTACACCTTCAAATTTCAGCTACGAAATGGGGAGGACTTGGGCTACAGTACAGATTGCCAGCCAGGATTTTTTTGTACAAACAGGAGGGTTTTTGCCCCCATTTTGTATTTGGAATCATTTTGTAGTTGGTTCCTTTCAAATCATCATTTTCATTTTGTAGTTGTATATGTTGAGTTAGTTGAAGCATCCAACAAAAACTCACGGGGTCAACACTTGATCCAACTTAATTCAATCATTGACAACTACAAAATGTTGTCCGAATTTATGTTTGTCGGAACTTTGGATGGCAAAGACCCAAATACAAAATGTCATTGGGAAAAATCATGTTAGCAATTCCGACGTTCAGCTATTTTTTAACTTCAGATGCATTGGATTTTGTAGTACTGGTTTTGAAGTTGTGCACCCTATGCATTCCGCTTTGTATCTACCAAAACCATCTGCACAACTCCTCCCCCCTTATCTGAACCCTGTTAAAGATATACTATATAATTATATATATATACAATGCTTGACAATGCATAAGAATACATACATAATCATAAATATACATATGTACATAGAAATACATGACAATACATATATAAGATATAATATATCTATATAGTGTAGTTCTAAAGCTTCCCCTCTCAATTTCCAGGCGTCGGGCCGCATGGCGCAGCTTCTTTCGAGCACCAAGAGCGGGGGTCCACCAAGTGAGCCCCGGATGCGCATCGAGGCTGGAGGGAAAAACTGGAGATACCATAGGCTGCAATAGGTATTCACATAGGTATTATATGGAAATATGACATAATCCCATTGTATAGATATGATATAGGCATTATATTAACACAATGGGATTATGTCATGGGATTATGTCGTAATACGAATTCTTGAGAGGCGTATTCGTAATCAATATTCTGGGATGAATATTTCATCATCAATCCGGGATGAATATACATAATGTGTTTAATTTAGGATTATCTATGACATAATGGGACAAATATGGTATAATCAATATTATGTTTAGTCCATAAAATATCATAGGGAAAATATGGGGATATGATGGGTATAATAATATGATAATGGGTGTATAATATAACGAACTTTACCAATGACAATTCGGGAGAAATGGATTATCATGAAAAAATTGATATCATTGGTGTATGGTTCGCAGAATCCCCAAGATTTTGGGTGTATTGGCCAATTATGACTGAAGATTTTATCATTGGTATATTATTCATCTGGGACAATATTCAACGTGAATATTAAAAACTATATCCCATGATATTGACTAAACATGATACAATAACTATGGATATCATGGGATAATATTTCACACAATGGGATTTATAGACTAGCCAATCTGACATTTAGTCAAATTAGTCCACATGGGGGAGATCAGGGAAATACGTTCACTCCATCATTTTTCAGAGGGGTAGGTATACCAAACCACCAACCTATGGGAATATCACCCCAATGCGGATTCCCTTGGTGCGGGATGAATGACCATACCATACCTATACCCAATAGAAGTGGTTCAACCAACCAAGCCCTGTTGGTTGATGAAAGGGTACACCCAACCTGGTTATGACTAACATAGCCATGGTATAGATGGCCCATAGAAATAGATAGAAATAGATGGTTTACCGAACCCAAAAATGGGTGGATCTTTCCATGGCTAATTATGTTAGTCATAACCAGATGGCTACTAAGGATTCTACTAGCCAACAAATGGGAGATGAATATCAGCCACAATGGGAAAGCCTCTCTGAAAACCAACCATTGTATTGCGAAATGTCACAGGGATTTGATTTAAAAAAATAAGAGTTCACAGCTTATTCACCATGAAAAACATCGGGTCTGGTGGTCATGTAATGGACATAAGATGGGATATGATATTGTAGAACCATGACATGGTGATGTTTCTTTTTTAAATACCGCACTACATAAACTGAAACCTCGGTTTTGCACTGGATCAGAGGATGGATAAAAACATCGCCATGGTCAAAAAGGTGTGGACTTTATTTGTAGAAAAAAGTGGGGACAGATGGGGGTCTTATACTTGGGTCATTCCACTTATCATTCCACTAACCAGCAACTAACTGGGTTTGTAACCCATCAAGGGGGGACAAGCCAGCTATCTGCGCTGTTCTGCATCAGCTGGGATGATCTTGCCAGATTCGTTGAGAGACCAGCAATTGGGGAGAAGAAAGTGTGCTACTAGAATGATGATTTTAATGGTTTTTGCCCGGGTCTAATTGGGAAAAGAATAAGTTGTTTTGCTAGAATTAGAATGTTGATTTTCATGGTTTTACTAGGGTCTAATGATGCTATTTGAAGGAACTACGATTAGAGTTAGATCGAACTATTAGTATGTAACATTATTAAGGTTACTAAACAACTTATATATTTTCCTGA